TAGGGCGTTTGCCTTGCATGCAGACGACCTGGGTTCGTTTCTCAGCATCCCATATGGTCCCCTGAGCACCGCCAGAAATAATTCCTGAGTGCATGAACCAGGAGTAACCCGTGTGCATCGCCAGGTGTGACTCAAAAATAAAATAAAACTTTTTAAAAAATTGGCTGGATTCATTTTGGAGAAGACTACAGTGAGTAGTCACAACAGTGAAAGCTTCCAAGTTAATTAAGGTGACCAAAAGCATTTAGAAATTTATGAGCTAAAAATATTTTGGTACTTGAGCTTTTTAAAAAGCATCCAGGTATTAGTGAAGGCTAAAACTGATTTAACTACATGTGCAATTTATCCACTAAGCTTGGCACTTAAGATTTCAAGCAGTGGATAAGGCATTTGCTCTGCACGTGGCCAACTTGGGTTCAATCCCGGGCATCCCATATGGTCCCCTGCGCACTGCCAGGAGTGACTCCTGAGTGCACTCCTGAATACTGCCAGGTGTGGCCCAAAAACAATAATAATAATAACAACCTTAAAAAGGAATCTCGAAAGATGGCGGCCGCACGGGAGCCTTGTGGAAAGCAGGTTTGAGCCGGGCTCGGGGGAGCGGCGGGGACCTCATGGGAAGGGGGGCTTTGTGGGCCGTCCCCCACGCCCCACCGAGGTCGCCAGCTGCCCCCCACGAGCGGCTCTCCGGCACGGCCACGACTCCAGGGCACAGAAACCAATCTCTTAACTAGCTAACTTTTAATAGAAATTCTTCCAGGGCCAATAAGTAAAATAGCAGAAATTCAAAACCGCCCGGCCGCTATTGCGGCCGCGCGACATCATTCTATTCTTAAACCAAGTTGTAGAAAGCAAATCATTTCACAACGCTGTTTCAGCATGTCTGATTGTGGGGGGTGGGTCGTAAACTCTAAACAATAATTGTGCATCTTCTATCGAAATAATCTATCTAGTCAAAGTAGATAGAGTATTAACTAGAACTCATCTGCCTCACAAGAATTGGGAGGGGTGGGAGGTGGGGGTCTATTGGGGTTCGGGGTTAAAAATGAGTATTGGTAAAGGGAAATGTGTTTGGTATCTACATGACTGAGACCTACACCCGAAAGCTCTGTAACTTTTTCCACAGTGATTCAATAAATAAATAAATTATAAAAAAAAAAAAACAATAAAATTTCTGAATCTCAAAAAAAAAAAAAAAAGGAATCTCAAGAAGTTATGATGCCTAAGCGAAATCTTGCCAGGAAAAACTATGCCTGTAATTTATTTCTTATGAATTAAAAAAAAAAAAAACCTCTGAAGATACCTACTAGATACTAACTGAAAAGGAAACACTGTCAGAAACTGGTCATTTTAACAGACCAGTTTAACTCTATAACATATCCTCTTGGAAGTAAGCAAACTAACATTAGCCAAGAAGTAGGAATTTTTCACTATTCCTCTCTTCTTTGCTCCATGAAGTACTCAATATAAAAGCAGCTCAGATCAAAGCTATCTTTTAAAATGAGCAATGCATTAAACCATATACCAATTACTTTTAAGATAAACATCTTCACATCTTCCTAATATTACATGTGTGTGGACAAAGTCTCCCATGAAAAACCAACCGTGAGAATGTCACGTTAAGTTTCCACTGGGCAAACACCGCTGATGACGGCAGACAGTTCTGTATCGAAATCAACGCTTCTAGGGAAAAGCCACAAAGCTCTTAACACTCTCCTGCTACAAAAATTAACATCTCCAGTTCGCTAGAGAAATTAGGCTTGAGGGCTAATAAAAAAAAAGTCCAAAAAAAAATGACAAGGGAGAGAAAAACTAACATTTTAGGTCACAGACAGAAAAAAACTGTAACCAAAAAAAATGGAGGAAGGACAGTGAACTGTCTGGAAATGAGAGCAAACTCAAAGAACTAAAGGTATTTAGGCTGCAGAGATGAAAGGGTAACATCCTGTGGTGAAGTGCCGCCAGCAGGTCAACCTATATGTGCGGGGCAGGGCGAGTGCATCAGCAGCCTGATGGTGCCTTCAGGCTTCTGGTACCCCACAACTGCCGCTGTGCTTCTGGATGGACCCGAACAACTCGGGACCAAGTTTCCCGAGAAAGTAAAAGCCCAGAAGTTAGGTAGGTGGGAATCACGCCCATAAATCACCTCCGGCTCAGCTACACAAGTTCATTTATCGGCCTTGCTTCAGAGACTCATAAATAAATCTCCAAAGAGATCAAAAGGCTGCAGTTAATCTCTGCCCCACGCAAGGCTGAAGAGACTGGGGTAAACTGGACTGGGGGCAAGGGTCCATCTGCCTGCTGCCGGCAGAAGCGCAGACCTGGCAGCTGCTGGACTCAACTCAACAATACAAAAATCGCCGTGACCCCAGGCCAGACTCCATCCACTGTCTCGGGACAGACCTCACTGAGATATAATCTGCTGAAAATTCAGGTCTATGGGTTTTGTGACTTAAATCTCCAGCTTTCTCTCGGGATGGGCTACCTCCCCTCACCTCCCTGCGCTTCCAGAAGCCCGGGCAATCATGTCCACACCCCCAAGCTGCCACCCGGTTAAAAAGCTACCCCAGCTGTACCTTCCTGATAAAAATACTGAACGCTCTGAGCAAACACGACGATCTCTTAGTACCTGTATTGCAAACCCTAAGAACAAAAGAAGAAAGAAGAAAAGTGTGGAGGGAGGGAAACGGGACACTGTGGTGGGAAATACATACTGGTGGAGGGATGAGTGTTGGATCATTGTATGACGGAAACCCAATCATGAACAGCTTTGTAATGGTCTATCTCAGGATGTTCAATAAAAAAAAATTTTTTAAAAAGGGTAGCACCCTGGCAGCCTGCAAATATTTGAGATGGGATCCTAAGCATTTATAGACATGTTTTCCTTAAGCAGTACTTCAACTCTATGTGGTAATGGAATAATTTTTTTCACCAATCATTGCCAACACTTTCATAAAGTGTGGCAACAATATTATACCAAAAGAAAAATGCTGTAAAAATACATAGATGATGGGGCCGGAGCAATGATACAAACGGTAGGGGGCTTTTCTTGCACATGGCGAATCCGGGTTCAATCCCCAGAATCCCATATGGCCCCCTGAGTACCAAGTACAGCCCAGAGTGATCGCTGGGCCAAGAGCCAGGAGTAAAACCTGAGCAACACCAGGTATTGTGTTCCCAACCCCCAACCCCCATTGATGAGAGCCAGAGAGACAGTATAGGTAAGATTTTTTTTTTGCAAGAAGCTGGTCCCAGTTAGGTCCCTGAAACCACCTGGTGCCCCCTCAGACAGCACCCCCCCCCACATACTGGTATAGTCCAACCGTGGGCGTGAGCACGTATGTATGAAGTATTCTTTTCTACACTTAATTTGTTGTGAACAGAGATGAGTTACGTCTCAACCTGCATTCCTAGCAAACAGGCGCATCCGCAGCCAGAATGGCTCACCACGGGCTCATGAGGTACTCGGGGGGGCCATTGTCTCCCATTGTCTCCGACTGAGTGGGGACACAGCTCAGTAACAAGTACATGTCTTGCAAATGTGAGGCCCCCAGCACCAAATCAAAAGGGGGAAACAAAAATTCCTGCAGAATTATCTCTTATCTTCTAAGAGATGAAGGCCAAACCCTCCACTCCTGAAAGAAAACAAAAAAGCACACACACCATCCTTTTAAGTAGCCATTAAGGAAATAATCAAAGCCTATTGCAGAAATGAGCTGTGGTGTTAATGGGCAGAACGTAAGGGAGAATGAAAAGGACAGGTCATAATATAAAAAGGGCCAACGTTTCCCTTTTCATCCCCCCAGTTACAGAATACATTCTGAAGCTGTGTCTTCAAAGTTTAAGACTGCCCTTGCTCTTCAAAAGCACAAGGATGACCGTCCTTTTTCCCCTTCTTGAAGGGCCACTGAGAAACATCGCTGCCATCGTAAGTGCTCGCTGAGTGACATACCTGGTCAGCACTGCACCAAAGCTGGCCCCAGCCTTACAGTGTATGCTGACATACACTCCTGCTCTCTTTCCTCTGATTGAGTCTAATCCCCTATCTACACAGACTTCAGACTCTCAACCGGGTCACTGAAATTATTCACGCTGAGCAAATTATCACCAAACGGACGCCTTCGGTCCTCCTCTAAAAACCACCCTCCATGGGCCAGAGAGAGAGGACAGCGGGAGGGTACCTGCATGGCAGGCGACTAACCAGGTTCAATCCTCAACATCCCATTCGGTCCCTGAGCACCGAGTGATTCCTGAGTGCAGTCATAAGTCAGTCCTGAGCACTGCCAGGTGTGGCCCCAAAACAAAAAAACCAGCCTCCATAAAACTAATGTCCACGATCTACACCAACTTCTAGCTTGTTCCCTCCAAGGTACAGATGACACTGGGCAATCTCTGCTCATACGCAACAGTCAACAGTGGCCCCTAGACAGGCCTCCTTCCTCCCCCCACAGGCACAGGCAGGAATCCTTTAGGGTTTGAGAGCGGATGGCCCCTGGAGGCCCACCTCTGTCAGTGCACTGGATGTTTCTCACCGCTCATCTTGTTCCCTGTTTCCCGACTTCCTGATCTATAACACTGGAGGATGAGTGAGTTTCTTAAAAAGAACGAGTATCAAGAGTGACATACATACACGGAAACTGTGAAGGCAAACCTGTTACAGAGAAGAGAAAGGTTAAGTTCAAATGAAAGAAAAAGGGGAAAAAAAAAAGAAATTTATCCCTCATGTTTAGGGGCTTTTAAAATCACCGAAAACCCATCTGCAAAGTAAAAGTCATCACAGATTTGCCAGCTTTCTTTTAAAGTCTGAAACAACCTACCAGAGACTCACACTCAAACATAAATACTTAAGACTACTACACTTTGAAATGTTCCTGGAATGTTAAGAAATCACCTGCAATGAGCCCTTTTCCATAAGTTCTTTCAGTGGCATGAAGACTTTAAAAATTCTAAGCATGAGCTCCAAAATAAATTCTCAATTCTGAGAAACATTTGAAAATCACCTGTTTTGTCTCTCAGTATTCTGTAGCTCCCTGTGGTCCCTTTTCAGGTGTTTGGTCAAAGACGTAAAGTATTCTTTTAAAAGGTTCTGGAAAGGCTGCTGTTTCTCTGGACTGATTATCTCACCAGGAGGAAAATTCAAATTAAACTTCTCTGCAGCGCTCTTCACTCTCCTTGGTACAAGCCCAGCAATGTCATCGCCACAATGTCGACAAAAGCTGATAACCACAGACACGTGAGTATGGGATTCTCGATCAGCATTAATAATATTTTTTAGCTGTTCATAGATTAAGGAAAGCCCTTCCTTATCAGTGAAAATCCCAACTATTGTCAATTCTGCAATAAAACGCAGATCGGTTCTTAACTTGGTGATATTCGGGGTTTTCTCCTCTTTCCTTGCTTCAAAATGCTTCTTCCAGACCTGCAGGAGGGATGGGGCAAAGTCGGCGTAGCGCTGGTGGAAGAGAGAGCACAGGTGCACGGCACAGTTCACGTCGGAGATCTTCAGCTTGGCCTCCACGATGGACGCCACGGCCTCGGCAATGTACTTGCTCAGATTCAGGCCACTGAAGTCATGAGACAAGGAGTCTCTCTGCTGTTCCGTAATAGTTTTTAGTTTCTTCACAAAAGCAGTATTTTTCTTCAAGCTCGAGTCCAGCCGGCTAAAGAAGTTTTCCTCCGGTCGGTTATCTGGAGCATTTTGGTTTTTGCTACGAAGTTCCTTCCTTAGCTGATGTCGTTCCCAAGCTTCCTGATGAAGCTGAAGGGATTCTTCTTTCTCTCTACACAAAAATAAAAAAAAGTTAATACACTGATATATCTCATCCCTTAAGAGAACATTCAAGAACAAAAGATGAAAACAGCTCATTACTACTTTTCAAAACCCTTATTATGGCTTCAGATAGAGAAAACCCAAAATATTAATATTGCCAAATCTGGTATAAGATTATGAATAACTAGAATGAAAATGATTCTGCCAACTGACAAAGTGGATGAAAGAGACTTGTCGATTATACCTACAATAAAGTTGAAAAAAATAAGTGGATGATACATGCTAGAAATCCTAAAACAATAAAAGTACATGGGGCTGGAGAGATAGCACAGCAGGTAGGGCATTTGCCTTGCACACGGCCAACCCAGGTTCGATTCCCAGCATCCCATATGGTCCCCTGAGCACCGCCAAGAGTAATGCCAGGTATGACCCAAAAAGCAAATAAAAAAAATAAATAAAATAAAATAAAAGCACAAGAGGAAAACAAAATTGGAAACATCACCTGTGAAGTACACTCTACGGATCTGTGGACAGGAAGCCAGAGAGTCAGCGCCCATGCGCTGCACGCAGCAGGCCAGCATCAGACCCTGACCCAGTCACTCCCTCCCAACCTCCAGGGCCCAGCCAGGGCCCATTGAGCTAATCCCGACTCCTCAAAAAGAGTACTACACATGCACTCGAGACGGCTGGAGCCAATGCCATGTACGCGGGGTTTGATCTACAGCACTGCAGGGTCCCTGCGCACCACCAGGAGTCACTGGGCACCCTTGATGTGGTCCCAACAGCAACAGAAGAAGACACAAACCAGGTTTGTTTTGAGATGTTTAAGTACCATTTTCCCACACTTCAATATTATCCAAACCTGTAACAAGACACCTGTTTCGGTTTAAGTCCTAACACTTAAATGTGATGTTAAAACCTTAGAAACTCAGAACTAAGACATCCATTAAAAGTTCTTTCAGGGGCTGGAGAGATAGCACAGCAGGTAGGGCGTTTGCCTTGCATGTGGCCGACCCGGGTTCGATTCCCAGCATCCGATATGGTTCCCTGAGCACCACCAGGATTAACTCCTGAGTGCAAAGCCAGGAGTAACGCCCCTGTGCACTGCCAGATGTGACCCAAAAAGCCAAAAAAAAAAACCCGTTGTTTCATAGGGGCCAGTAATGTTGGAGTGAGCCCTGAGCAGAGCCTGGAGTGAGCTTTGAACACAGCTGGGTGTGGCCCAAGACAAACCCGACACCCAAAAAAGGTCCTTTAATAAAGGACTTCAAGGGACTGGACCACAGGTTCTCCATGCAGAAGGCACTCCAAGTACAACCAGGAGTAACCTGCACACTTGGCCAGAAGGAGAACTAAAATATGGGAGGCTGGGGAATAAAAACTCTGTGTGTGTGTGTGTGCACTGACATATATATATATGTATATACTCACAGACACTGACCTATTCATAAAACCATATATACAGATACAGTCATAAAACTATTTTTCCATGCATAACTCAGTCTTTATTAGGACTGTACCTGGGAGCGGGGGGCAGACTTCCAAACAAAAACATTACTCTATACTTCAAAATATTAAAAACTGTTACTATTATTTCAAGAATCAAAGCTTTGTTAGCATGAGGCACCAGGAGCACGCCTCGGGCCTGAGTGAAACAAATAGGCTGGCTGAGATACTGTCAATTCCCAGGCCAGGAGACAGCTTGGAGGGCGGGCGCTCCGGGCCTGATGCAGGGACTGCATGGCCCCCTTGAGCACTGTGGGGATAAATCTCCAAGCACCCAGCCTGGAGTAAACAGCACCAGGGCTGTGGTTCCAAAAAAAAATTTTTTTAAATAAAGAAGGATGCTCCCCGTTCTCAGGAGGCTGAACTCCAAAAAGTGTTTTTTGGTTTGTTCGTTTGTTTGTTCACAGTGCCAGGACTTAACCCAGCACCTCACACTTGGCAAGGCAAGCATTTCAAGGCTGAACTGAGCCCCTTGCAAATAGCACTGCTTCCCCCGGTTTCCCCCTCCCACCCCTTTCCCTCGAAAACCAGGACATATGTTCTTACTTCATCTGGGCCGCTGCTTCCTCTTGCTGTCGTTTTGCCTCGTCTTCTTGCTGTTTTCTCTCTTCCTCTTCATGTTTCTTTTTTTCTTCTTCCTCTTTTTTCTTTAACTCCTCTTCTACCTTCACCTTTTCTTCTTCTTTTCTCTTGCGTTCCTTGTCTTCTTTTTTTCGCTTATCTTCTTCCAGTTTCTTCTTTTTCTCTTCAGGGACCTTAATAACCTCCTTCTTGGCAGTGAGCTTGATCTCGTCTTTTGGTTTCTCCCTACTGCTTACTGGTCGCCTTTCACCGCAGTCTTTTTCCTTGTTGTTTAGTAAAGAATCTTTTTCTTCCATACTTGCTGACTTTTTACGCTCAGCTGGCATTATGTGACCCAGGACAATCTGAAAGAGTGCAAGAATGTTCATTTAGTAAATGCAGTGACTTTTTTTTTAAGCAGGACATAATAAAGGGGACTTTACTATATTAAGAGATTAAATAAATGCAAAATGAATACTCATTCTGTAATAAAAACATGCTGTGGAGCACGTTATGCATTAGGTCACTTTTGGTTATGCCTTTTTTTTTTAATTTTATTTTATTTTTATTTCTTTTTAACACAAAAGAACCCAGTATGAAAAACATCCATACTCACATTACCCAGATCCCACTACCATCAACTCCAAAATAACGTATTTAATCAGAAAACCTCAGTATGTTTCCAAGAATTTTCTGAATTCCTTTTTGTTTTTCTTTGGGGGGTTACAGCCAGGGGTGCTCAGGGTTTACTCCGCTAAGGGATCTCCCAAGGCGGGCCTTAGGGGATCATATGGGATGCTGTGATCAAACACAGGTATGGCTCATGCATGGCAAGGGCCCTACCCATGTGCTATCTCCCAGATCGAGTCCATTTTTCTAAACTAGAGGCCACACCATGCAGAGCTGGGGTGTCTGTGGAGTTCCAAGGACCCAACGGGACAGCCATACGTTAGGTGTGTCCTCCAGAGGAATCCTCTCCCCAGTCCTTAGATCCATTTTAACCCAACACTGCCAAGTCATTAGGGAGTGACACTACTTCAGTCAATAGCCAACAGAATTTAAGTTGAATCACTAAGCTCTCACCTACTATAAATCAACCAAATAGACAATGAAAGATACATATTTCACTGCAAGGCTATATATAACCTCACTGACCTTTCAAGTACAAAAACTGGTAACCAACTCTAATTGGATTTGAACTCTGTTTTGTTTAGATTGTTTGGTTTTGGGGCCACACATGGTCTCCAGGCAGTGCTGGGGGGACCATACGGGAACCAACAGTCGAACCCAGGTGCAAGGCAAGCAACCTACCCTGGACTATCGCTCAAGCCCCGAACTCTCACTGTTATTAGTCAAAATGAATTTATAAACAAAATCATAATTACAAAACTGTACTTCATTGCATACATGCTAATTAAGTGGCCACAGCCCAGGTATGTTCTTTAGTGTTTTCTGGAGGGCTGGGGGAGGGACCCAGCAACCCTGGGCACTGAACCAAGTTTAAGAGCACTGCTCCTCTAGACAGGGCCAGTGTCCTCCGGGCACAAAATCATCACCAGCATCAGTCACGCATAGCTACTTATAATTAATTAAAATTAAGTAAAAATGGAATCGCTGTCCCCTGGGCACTTTTTTAGTTTAGATGCTCGATTTCACATATGGCTGGCTAGAAGCGACCTCAACGGACAGTATAGATACAGACATTTTATCACAACAAAAAGCTTGATCGGACAACACTGGTCTTTGGCATAGGTTCTGTATAGTCAACTGGAAATAAACTCAGGAACCAAATAAGTCAAGATTTTGGCTTTCTAAAAATATAGCTCTCTACTTAAAACTAGTGCTGCAACCTCTCATCCACACAGCGTCATGTTTTAACTCCTAAATCACATAACAGTCATGTACCAGAAAAATTGGGAAAGTATAGGGTTATTTAAATTTCCTGAGTTTAGGGTCTTTTTTTTTTTAGCTGAAAAGTAACATATATAGTTTTCTTAAATGTTAGTATTTTCTAATATTAATATTGAGTTAAAAATATTAAATATTAGTATTTTGAGAATGGTACTTTCAAACATAGGTTTTAAATTACATCAATAAAGATGTCAGCAAAATAATTTCGCAGTAACTTATAAGCATAGAAAAGCATTACTTCAGCGCTAATAAAATGCTATCATTGAAAGATAATCTAGATCAGAGGACACATTATAATTAATTTTTGGCTACACAGACTCTGTACTTTGTCTCAGTGCCTCTCCAGTCCCCCTTTTCTCCTTTACTCTCCTTCCTTTTCCTTACTGTCCTGCATGTCCCGGTGCATTTCTTTTCACATTGACGCCCAAAGACCTAAGTTAACCCAATCGTAGGACTCAAGACAAAATAAGCTGTGAAGCATTCAAATAAAAAGAGCAGAGCTACTTGTGGAGCTGGCAAGACAGGGTCAATATTATCCAGAGCGCCGTTATCAGTTTGCACAGCTGCAATTAAATACCCACCTTACTGTGAATGCACTCTGCCTTTAAAATGCGAACTTTCAACAGAGGGTAGCAGAGACCACTCCCTGGCACCAGAGCACCCTACAAACATTACAAACATTATCTCCTTCAGTGCTAAGATCTTTAGGAGGTATTATTTTCCCTATTTGATAAATGAGACAATGAAGACCTGACCTAGTAACAAGATCTGTAGGGCTGGTGACAGCTGACCTCCGACCCATGCTCCTCACCAAAGTGACTGAATACCTCCAGTGCCAACTGCAGTTGGTAAGACTTGACCAAGCACAGCACAATGGACCTCAGGGCACAGAGCCCCTAATGACAACGAGGCAGTTTTCACAGAACATTTTCACTTTGGGCAGATCTAGCTAAAAGAGGAGGGAAAAATCTAGTCCCAAGAACACAGCCTTATTTAGGACTATTTGTCATTAGGCATAGTATATGTTTTGCAGAATTTCTATCTTCTTTTCTGTTTTTGGTTTTCAGGCCACATCCTGCAGTGCTTGGGTGTTATTCCTGGCTCCGTGCTCAGGGATCACTCTTGGCAGAGCTCAGGGAACTGTATGGGGCGCCAGGGAATGAACACCAATGGGGCACAAGCAAGGGAAGTATACCATTGTACCCTCTCTCCAGGCCCAGAATCTCTATTTTCTGATGTGAAACAAGTGATTTTCATTAGTAAAAGAAGTGCAGTTCTAGGGCTGGAGAGAGAGCACAGAGGATAGGGCGTTTGCCTTGCACGCTGCTGATCCGGGTTCGATTCCCAGATTCCAGCATCCCATATGGTCCCCCAAGCACCGCCAAGAGTAACTCCTGAGTGCAGAGCCAGGAGTAACCCCTGTGCATCGCCAGGTGTGACCCAAAAAGCAAAAAAAAAAAAAAAAAAAAGAAGCACAGTTCTCATCCCTTAAAAAGACACCGTAATTTATGAAGAATATCTCAATTAGGGGCCGGAGTGAGATGACAGCAGGGAGGGCATTTGCGCTGCACATGGCTGACCAAGGTTCGATCCCTGGCATCCCGTAAGGTCCCCCAGCACCACCAGGAGGGATTCCTGAGAATTGGAATCCCTGAGAATTGCTAGGTAAGACCCAAAACGCAGAATAAATGAATAAGCATTTTTTTTAAATCTCATTTAAGTTGTGAAAACATTAATAAACTCATGGGGGCAGAGGGCTAGTACAGTGGGTTGGGTGTTTGTCTTGCACACAGGTGACCCAGGTTTAATCCCTGGCATCCCATCCGTTACCCCAGCATCACCAGGAGTAACCCCCTGAGTATAGCTGGGTACTGCCCTGAAACAACAAGAAAAGTCAATAATAAACTCAGTCCAACTCACAGAAGATCATCAGCTTTAAAAAGCCTCCCAAACTTTTCTGCCATCCCCGCGCATGCAGTGTCTAAGTCCTCACTGAATCCAATGCACTGGAGCAGACATCCAGGCCCAACCCTTCTCTGGAGAGTGAGTATGCCTCAGCCAGTCTGCACGTGTCTGCTCCAGGTCCATGGACCCCCAGGCATAACCTTGGTGTCCAACACTGCTTCTCAACCCTGAACCCCCAAGTCCACTGCTTTAGAGCAAGAGAAGACACACCCTCAAGAAGGTCCTGGAGTCTCAGCTAAGGCAGCTTCTTTGGGTCACTGAAGCCATATATATCCAAAGATCTACTTCAACCTAAATTTCAGTGACCAACAACAAGAAAAAGGACAAAAATCTACAGATTCATGTAAAGACAGCAACGTGACCTGTGAAAAGCATGTGCTCTGAAATCAGACAAAAGAGCATCCCAACTCTAAAACCAGCTGACTACAGTGATCAGACAACTTCGCTGAGTCTGTTCATGGGCAGAACAGTGATACTGCTACCTAACCGGATGCTGAAGCTTCCAGCAGGACCGCTGGCACCTCCACAGAGCCCATCAGCAATGGTTTGCTCTTTTGAACACACAACTCTGAAATGTTACTGGAAGACAATACACTAGAGTTAGGACAAGTTTTTTTACCTCCTTCAAGTCTCAACTTTCACACTGAGGTGGAAGAAAAATTGACCATCTAAGATTATACTAGGTCAGTAGACAAATTAACTCTCTAGTACAGGTTTCGGCTATCAACCCTGACTTTAAGATTTCAAAACGCCAAATAAACCAAACATAATCCAGATCAATATGCATTTGGACAATTAAAGAATCAGCACTAAATTACATTTAGTTGAAATTAAAAGTATGAAAGTTACCTCTTTTCATAAATCCATAGCTTTAATAACTGGCCAAATATTGTTCAAAAGGTTTTCAAGCAAAACGGAAAACTTCCAATATTCCACCTAAAAATGAAGATTAAGAAAAAGAAAAAGAAAAAAAAAGAATGGTCTTTTAAATGGCCTGTGATGAGCGCTGACAAAGGATCATACTGACTACAATTAAATTCAGAAAGTCCTTAAAAGGAAGCCATGCTTTTAAAGCCACTCTTCCTAGCTCCCAAAAATAGTGTCCTGGCACTGGGGTTGTATATTTTATTTGGTTTATCTAAATATATTCTGAACTTTCAAAAGAAAGAAAGAAAGAAAAAAAACTCCGAGTAACTCAGAGCCCAAGGGTGCGCACTGGGGTTGAGTGGGGTTGAGTGGGAAGGGGTGCTTCCCGTTTCAGCTCTCCCTCTGCAGGGTACCATATGGATTACGGATGAAATCACAATCAGCTCTGAAAATACTCGGCTGTCAGGGAAGGGCCGGGTCCCTTCCCGGGCCGGTGCGCGCCGTGTTCCCGAGGCGGGCCCGCAGCGGGGCGTCGCGAGGAGCCGCCCCCGAGGCGCGGACGGCCCCGGCGCGAAGTTTCCCGGGCTCGGGGCGAAGCAGCCCCCGCTCCCGGCGGGGCTGGGCGGCAGCGGCGCCCACCCCGAGCGGCTCCGAGGGGCTCCGAGGGGCGAGCGGGGGCCCGAGAGCGGGGCAGGGCGCAGCCGCGCCCCCACGCACGGGCCCCCCGCGGGCAGCAACACCGGGGTGCGCTCCGCCGAGAGCCCCCCGCGCGGGCTGCCCGCGCTCTGCCGGCCGGACACCGGCGCCTGCCTCGCTCCCCGGGCAGCGGGAGCCGCGACGGAGAGCGGGGAGCGGGGGACGCGAGGACCACCGAAGCCCCCAGCTCCGCCCCGGGACGCACGCCGCCCACCAACCCCCGCTCCGGTCCCGCGTTCCTGCCCCCCGCGCGCGGCTCCCGCGGCCGGCCCCGGGCGCCCAACTTCTCCAGCCCCGCACCGCCCCGCACCGCACCGCCCGGCCCGGCCCGCGGCGCCCGCGCGCCCCCCGCGCGCCTCCACGCCCCCAAACACCCGCCACCCCGCCGCCCCGGGCTGCCCGCCCCCGGTGCCCGGGCCCGGCGCGGGCAGCGCGGGCAGCTGCCCCCCGCCCGGCCCCCTCGCGCCCGCCGCGCCGGGGGGCGCCCGCGTCGCCGGGGAGCCGCGTCCGGGGAGGACGACGCCGCCCGCCGGACCCCCGCGGTCCGCCCCCTGCGCGCCGCCCCCGGAGCGCCGGGGGTGCCGGCTCGCCTCCCGGGCGCCCCCCGGGGAGGGGGAGTCCCGGCCGGGGCGCCCCCAGCCCCGCCGCCCCCCGAGCGCCGGGGCGGGAGGGCGGGAGGCGCCCCGGGACTCACCTGGAGCCTGTTGTCAACATGAGCCCCGGGTTTCCCAGCACCAACTCCAGCCCGGGCTCTCCCCTCCCCTCCCCCCGCTCGCTCGCTCGCAGCCGAGGGCCCGCCTTCCCTCCGCTCCCCTCCTCCCTCCGCCCGCCGGCCCTCCCGCCCGCCACTCACCAGCGCGGCCGGGCTGCGAGTGGGGGCGGGGCGGGGGCCGGGCGGGAGGAAGCGGCTGCCCGGGCGGCCGCCGGACGGAAAGCGCCTCAGCCGGCCCGCCCTCGGGCACGCCCGCGCCCTCCGACGGCTCCCGGATGGAGAGCCTCTCGAGAAGACTCTCCCGAGAGCCGACCCGGCCTGAGGCTCTGTCGGAACGAGCCCCCGCTGCGGGCCAGGTACGAGGTTTTCAGACAGGCGCTGCGCGGGGCAGCCTCCACCCAGCAGTTCCAGTCGAGGCCCCCGGGCCGCGGGGAGGAGGGTTCTGAGGGCCGGAGGCAGGAAGTGGATTGGTCGCCAGGAAAGGGAAAGCGCCTGAATTGTAGATGCGCAGGCGCCGGCACACGGGGGAGGGGTGCGGGTGGGGGGTGGCGAGCGAGACGGGGCGGGGCGGAGCTAACAGGAGGAAAGGGACGGAGGGGAGCTACGGAGCGCCGCGGCGGACAAGTGTGTCCACGTGACTTGCCCTGGGAGTTTCCTGGCGCGAACGCGAGGCGGAGGGCTGAGAAGGGAAAGTTTGATTGGGCTAATTCGAGGGGAGGGTGCAGTTTTAGGGAAGTTGGAGCTGGAAAGGCCGGTAAGGGACGGGGGAAGGAGGCTGGGAACCGGTCTCGATTTTAGCATCCCAGAAAGACTTACTAAAGCTTCTGGGGGAATTTCCCTGAGTTTGAAAGTGGTTCGCCGCCAACACACCGCGGGGCTAGGATGAAAAAAATCCAGACTTTTCCATACGGAAGAACCCTACGAAACACCCACTTTTCGCAAAGTTTTTTTTTTTCTTTAATTACAGTGGCACGATCTCCCTGAGTTACTGAATGAAGTCACCTATTGTTGGGTTCCGCCCCCGCCCATGGGCTAGGCTTGTCGCTTCTCCCAAGTAGAAACCCAAAGTCGACTTTTTAGAAACGGTCATCAACGAAGTTCCCCGACTCGCTCCCTTGGAAGTTGCTGACACGTGTGCGTCCGGCCGCCGATTTCCATCGGGACTTCGCTGACTTGGGGTGGCGGGTCAGCTTTGCTGATGAGCTGGAAGGAACAAGCGCTAAACTGCTCTGTGCAACCTCATTCCCGTGGAGCAGGTTGAGGCTCCCTGGGAATCCGTTTTTGCCTCTGTTTTCCGTCACATTCAATATTATTAGCACGCAGGTTCTTCCTGCCAAACGGTGCCTGCATTCTGTCCCACCGATAAATGATTTTCAGAGAATTGACCCCAAAGTCCGTGCTGACGATAACCACCCACTGTTAGGGCACTCTCCCCCTCCTCCCTCCTCTCTCCTTTCTCTCCTGACCATGTTTTTTTTTTTTTTAAACCTGTGCTGGGGATCCATCCTTCTAAATCCAGTCTACCCTGCCCTCCAGGATGATCTCAGTAACCCCAAAGGTAAGAATTATAGCTGTTGACTCACAGGGCTGGTTTACTCCAAACTAGTAATCCCAAGTGTTTCACTCAAGTCTAACCTCCAAAGGCAAAGTTTTTTTCCGCTATATCTCACTGCCTTGATGCGCGCCTTTACAGACTGAAGATGCTGCCAATGTTTTTTCTTTCCAAAGGAAGCTGTCAAGCTAGTCACCAAAAAAAAAAAAAAAAAAAAAAAAGACCTCTAATGCAGGGACATCACTGCAATCTCACTAGAAGAAACACATTTCCCTAAAGGTGCTATCGTTTTTGCAAACATAATTCGGACATCACTGTCTCCTTAAAACGACATCATACCAAACAGTTCGGTATTTACCTAGATGTTGAAAAACTGTTCTAATGTCCTAGGCCCTGTGGTAAACCTACTGGACATTCTCTATGTTTAGTCCCAAGAGGTTGTTCGAGGGTGTGTGTATGAATGTGTATGTGTATGCCTTATTCTAATACTGCTTTGCAGAAGCAAACAAGCACACAGGAAAAAAAAATACAATTACAGGGCAGGACAACCTGAGCTTGAAAAACAGGCCTTGTGGGAGACGGCGGGTGTGTGAGTGCTGAGCTTGAATAAATTCATCTCTGTCTTTAGAGATCACAGTGCAACTTAAACGCATCTGAGACGCTATCCCTTCATGAGAAGTCTCCAGTAAAAAATCTTCAAACACCATTGCCTCTGCTTGCACGGCATAACTTCTAAAACATATGGATTGAGATGTAACTCGCTCAGTAAGGAAGATAAGTGTTGAGTGTGCATTTAAGTAAATTTGAATATTAGGACTAATGGTCAAACCATGGAGAAATTTCTCATGAAACATAGAAAGTCATTCACTAAAGTGGACATCTACAAATTTCAGCAAAATGTAAGTGAAATAATCTGAGGTTCCCTTTTTTTGTCTGTTTTGTTTTAAAGCTCTTAGGTTGTTATTAGAAAAAAATAGATCAAAAGACATAAATTGTTGGGGCTGGGCGGGCAGGGCGTCTGCCTTGCACGTGGCCGACCCGGGTTCAGTTCCCAGCATCCCATATGGTCCCCTGAGCACCGCCAGGGATAATTCCTGAGTGCAGAGCCAGGAGTAACCCCTGTGCATCGCCAGGTGTGACCCAAAAAGCAAAAAAAAAAAAAATTGTTGAGAGCTGTGCTTAGCAAACAGTGAAAATTCAATAAGTGTCATAGAAAGCTAATACTAGAGATAAATCTAAGTAGATAAAAAGGGTAGATGTTTAGAATAGATGCTACAGAAGAAATGAACAGGGTTATGGGGCTGCAGACAAGAGCTTCTGTAGAATAGTCAGAAAGCTTTCCTCAGTGATCTGGATCACACCCGGCAATGTTCAGGGGTTACTTCTGGCTCTGCACTCAGGATCACTCCTGGCAGTGCTCAGGGGACCATATGGGATGCAGGGGATCGAAACTGGGTCAGCTGCATGCAAGGCAAACATCCTACCTGTTTGCTATCACCCCAGCCCCAATGAGGCAAAATTTTATCTAAAATCAGAAGAATCAGGAGGTCCAGATTTTCCGCCTCTGGAGAGCCAATAGGCATGTAGAATTCAGAGAGTTTTGGCTTAAAAGGTTTTAGTCATCCACAGAGCTCATGTTGAAAGCTGGAAGAAAACAGGTGAAATTGGTCAAGTAGAGGGCGGTTCTGAGCGCTGAGTAATTTCTAACCTTAGAGACTTCCGCTCGGAAGACAAAGGAAGGGAAGAAGGTCCCAGAGTAGTGCCATGAAAGGCAAGAAAAGGCGTGTTTCGGGAAAGCAGATGGACTCACTGTCTCCAACACCACCAAGAGAATAAGCCATGGAGAGCTGCTGTTGGTTTCCCACCTAAGGCATCATGACTGACTTTGTAGGAGCCTCTTTGGGTAAGAAGTAGAGACAGCTGGGAGTAGCTACGGCCAAACAGAAGATAGGAAGAAGAAAACAAGCATTTGGGAAAATTTAGTATGAAGAGCACAAAAAGTACATGAAGTCAGGAGAATTTTGTATTTTTTAATGACAAATGGTAGAGAATAGGTACTAACAAAGACAATCCAGTAGGCAGAGAAACTCTAGTACAGGATAAAGAACATAGAAAGATCCTTGTGGTTAAAAGATTCTAGGGTGAGAGAGATAATACAGATATTAAGGCACTTGCCTCGAACATGGCCAACCACAGTTGATATTAAGACTAAAGACAAGGGGCTGGAGTGATAGTACCGCGGATAGGGCATTTGCCTTGCACATGGACAACCTGGGTTCGATTCCCAGCATCCCATATGGTACCCCGAGCACCGCCAAGAGTAATTCCTGAATGCAAAGCCAAAAGTAACCCCTGTGCATCCCTGGGTGTGACCCAAAAAGCAAAAAAAAGTGAAGGCAATGAAGTTGGCTGCTATTTAGGTAGAGTTTTAGGTTTTGGGTTGGGGGCCACACCTGGCAGTAATCCCCGAGCACTGCCAAGTAAAGCCCTAAAACCAAACTAAATAAAAATAAACATTATCCTGCCTGCAGCATTCACTTTGTCCAGAAGAGTAGAAACTCAGGATTGTTCCTCTCTGCCCCTGCATTACAGTAGTGAGAGCAGCCCTGAAGAGTAGGGGAATGGGGAAATTTGCAAGAGAATTGCTTCCAGGGAGAACTCTGGACTCCAAGCATAAGAAGTGGGCAGCTGAGGGAGATGAGGGTCCTGTGTAGTGGGTAGACATAACAGGTTGACACAAGTAGAAGGTGCGAAAACAGTTGCCCGCCACAACCATGGGTTGCCACATGCTCCTGGGATGGGCTGGTCCCAGTGACCATGTCCTGTCACCACAGCGTCCCCACCTGGCTGAAGCTAGTGTCAGAAGGAACAAATCTACAAACGGCCAGAAATGCCCAAGACCTCACACATCAGCGCCTTCTGAGAGACTCTTGGGGCACTGCACAAGTATGCTTTGTGACGGGCAATAAAATCTTGGAATCATTGGCACGTGAGATCGATATACCTGCATGTTAGTCTTAGGTTCTGATAGAAATGACATGCAATTATGCTGCCATTCTTGACTATCAGGACGTGACTGGTGAGCAGACACTAATGATGATGAAAATTTCTGCTTGGCAATGGCAGAAGTTAAGTCTCCCATATTCTATAGAGGGATTATGTAACGTAAAAGACATAGACTTTCGAACCTGAAGAAATAAATGCTTACCTCTTTATTGGAAAAAAAAATCTAAGGAAAGCTTTTTTTGGAAGGGGTACAACCCCTGTGCTTAGAGGTCACTCCTAAGGGTGCTTCAGGGACCATATGCAGTGCCAGCAACCAAATGAGGGTCGGCCACAAGCAAGTCAAGCGCTTTAACCCCCTGTGCTAACTCTCCGGTCTCCAAATTCATTTATTTGATTTTTCATTTTTAGATTTTTTGGGGGACCACATCAGGTGATACTCAGGTTGCTCCTGGCTCTGCACTTAGGAATTACTCCTGACGGTGCTGGGGGGACCATATGGGATGCTGGGGATCAAACCCAGTTCAGCCACGTACAAAGCAAGTGGCCTACACACTGAACTATCTCTCCAGCCCCTTCACTTATTTGATTTAACGGTTATAGTTTGGGACACATTTACAGTAGTGCTGGCACTTACGATTTTGAGGTGTATTTAACATCTATACCACTAAAGTGACCAAGGTCCCATACATGAGGAATTCTAATCCACGGTTCACAGGTCTGCGAAAGGGGTTTCCAGCCCCGCACCTGCAGTGCCCGCCTCTGCTTTTGGCCCCACGTTTCAATTTCAACCACTAGTTTCCTTTCATTAGACTCCCCGTCCCAACCATCCCAGCGTCTTCACTCTGCCGGTCCCATCTGTTTGTTTGTTTGTTTGTTTTAATGTAGGAATACTGCTATTTATTCAGCCATTGATTAAGCTGATTGAATTGAGCATGAACTCCAGATTACTTTTTTTTTAACTTTTTAATTGAATATCCATGAGACAGACCGTTACAAAGCTGTTCATAATTGGGTCTCAGTCATACAGTGATCCAGAACCCATTCCTCCACCAGTACACCTCCCACAACCAAGGTCCCCCGTCTCCCTACCAACATCCCCTAACACCCCACACCCCACCCCCAGCCTCCCTCCATGGGAGGCATTTTCCTTCTGTGCATTATGGTTTGCAATACAGGTGCTAAGAGGTCTTGGGGTTTGTTCCGGGCATTCGGTATTTTTATCGCCATCCCATCTGTTTTCGGTGAAAACCTCCCCCTCTCCCCCCGATTCCCCTTTCCCTTGCTCTCAATCTCACTGCTCAGTGCTCTAGATGGCCTCCAGCTTCATCTTCACCCCCTGCCAGGCAGAATGCCAGCCTTGGCTGACTCCAGCCCCTGACTCCTCTGTACACAGAAAAGGAGTGGAACTCTTCTGGAGAGAAACTCCATAGTTCTGACTGGACTTGAGTCAGAACCTAAATCACTGTCACTGTCTTCCCATTATTCATTGATTTGCTGGAGCGGACACCAGTAATATCTCCATTGTGAGACTTGTTGTTGCTGTTTTTGGCATATCGAATCTGTCACAGGTAGCTTGCTAGGCTTTACCATGTGGGAGGAATACTCTTGGTAGCTTGCCGGGCTCTCCAAGAGGGGCAGAGGAATCGTTTGTGAAAGGCCAACGCCCTACCTGCTATGCTATTGCTCTGATCCAGAACCTAAGTAGGCTGCTGAAATTATGCCCCCCCCCACACACACACACTCAGCACAGTGTTTCCTTCTCACTGCTCACTGTTTCTTGACATTCCCTCAGACTTTGGTGGGAGTGAGGGCACTCTTAGTGGTGCTCAGGAATTACTCCTGGCTCTGTGCTCAGGGATCACTCCTGGTAGGGCTGGGAAGACCATGTGGGATACTAGGGATCCGACCCAGGTCAGCTGTGTGCAAGGCAAGTGTTCTACCCTCTGCACTATCTCTCCAGCCCTGATTTTTCTTTTTAATTTAGACACCATGATTTACAAAATTGTTGACAACAGGGACTCAGGAATGCAATGTTCCAACTCCAGTCCCAACTCCAGTGACTGTGACAGTGACCCCAGTTTCCCTCCCACTTCCCTCGTCGCCTCCTTGGCAGACACATGTTTACCTTCTTATAATTTTGATCCCCTGCTTATAGCAGTGCTGTCTGGTGGTGGTTGAGAGTTGTAGAAAGCCTGAGAGTCTTCACATGTGAGCCCGCCCCACACACTAAGCCTTTGCCCCCATGTTCCCTCCAGACTTCCTCTTCTCTCTCCTCCCCTGGCATTTTTGCTTCTGTAATCTAGAGTTAATGTTTTGCCCACCTTTGCTACCTTCCAATCTCTAGACACGTTATACTCTGTACCACAGATCAGTAAGAACAGGGTATTTGTCCTTGTCCTTCTGGCTTCCTTCACCTAATATGAAGTACTGCAGTTCCATCCAGGCTGATGTGAGTTGCAGGATCGCCTCATTTCTCATGGCTGCATAGTGTTCCATTATGTATATATTCTGCTATCAATTTGACTTAACATTTCACCCAAAACATAGAAGAATTTCCCATGATCAAATCTCAGTTCATCTGAGTCAGTTCCCCTAGTTTCTGCTCTTCCTTTTAGTAATCTGTAAAGAATCCTCCCTCCTGCCCAAGATGAACCTTTGCACTTTGGATCTCCCATTCTGTGGCATGCAAAGGACCCTTATCCTGTGATGACTCCCTTACCCTTTACCCAAAACCTTTTTTTTTCTTTTTGGGTCATACCTGGCGATGCACAGGGGTTACTCCTGGCTCATGCACGCAGGAATTATTCCTGGCGGTGCTTGGGGGACCATATGGGATGCTGGGAGTCAAACCCGGGTCGATCGTGTGCAAGGCAAATGCCCCATGTGCTGTGCTATCACTCCAGTCCCTTACTCCCCAATTTTTTTCTTTTTGGGTCACATACGCCCCCTGAAGGGACTCAGCTCACCTTGACATCCAGCCCCCTGAAGGGACCCAGCTCACCTACACGTTCAACCGAGACCCTAAGAGCCTCAGTGAAGTGCTGAGGCCGCTTGGGCAGATCTCTGCCCGGCCCCACCCAGGGCATCTAGGGCAGCTGCCACCAAGTGTGGGCTCAGTCCCTGCAAGCCGGCAGGAGCCCAGGTTTCCCCCCTGCAGGACCCTGGGTTTCCAAGGCTCATCCTGACCTTGGACTCCACAGCGAGCCCTCACACTGCCCCACTGAATGAAACACATACCTCTGCGGGCAGGGATAAGTCGAGAATGCGGCCAGCTGGTCTCCCATTTCCATTCTGAGGAAACATGGTGAAACGCACTGAAACTCAGGAAAGTAAAGCCCCAGCTGGACCAAGACTGCTGGTTTTTGTGCGTGCGTGTGTGTGTGTGTGTGTACCCGCTCGTGTGTGTGTGCATTTGTGTGTGTGTGTGCGCATGTGCAGGACAGGGTTCAGAAGAATGCAGGGACGACCCCTCGCCTAGGTGTGGCTCTGGCTGTCACCGGGGCTGGGGCATGTGTCCGCTGTCTGCTTGCTCCCAAGCAAGCAGAGTGTGGTGGCAGGGCGCACCCTTATACTCGCACACACATTCATGCACACATACAGCCATACACACACACTCACACACATACCCCACACCTGTGCACACACACCCATATGCACATATACACTCTCACACCCACACTCACATTCACATGTACACACATTCACACTTTCAAACACACATTATTGTACACATACACCCGTACAAATACACATTCACTCACAAACACACTCATACATTCACACACTCATGCCCATGAACACATTCTTTTTTTTTTTTTTTTTTTTTTTTTTTTGCTTTTTGGGTCATACCTGGTGATTCTCAGGGGTTATTCCTGGCTCATGCACTCAGGAACTACTCCTGGCGGTGCTCGGAGAACCATGGTATATGGGATGCTGGTAATGGAACCTGGGTCGATCGCGTGCAAAGCAAACGTCCTACCCGCTGTGCTATTGCTTCAGCCCCTCTACCCCAAACTTTTAACCTTCTGATTATCCCTATCCACCTTCCACTATGGTCTCTTAACAAATGCCCAATTTTCTAGCCTTTGGACACTGTATACCCTGACTTCAAATTTCTCTTCAAGATCCAGGGGTTGAGAGCATTGCAGAAACTCTAGGTTCTGTCCCCAAATCACAGGGTCCCCCCAGGCATCCCTGGGAGTGACCCTTCCCACCTTGACTCCTAGTATAGAGCCCGAGTAGTTTCTTATTTGCCCAAAAGCAAACAAACAAAAACCCATCAAATGTCTCTCCAGCTCCAATGCCCATGATTTCCTTCGGAGACATGATTTCCTTGAGACTCTCATGGTATGCCCTTCTCCTTGTGCACCAACCAAAGTGCCCATCTCAGAGATTCTGCCCTTGCATCTCTTCCACTTGGGGACTTTGCGGATACCCAATGCTTCTCTGTGCTTGCAGGGCGTCTGCACATGACTGGGTGGTTCCATCTCTCGGCTGTGTGCCAAGGTCAGTATGCCACAGACTGAGGATTGATTAAGGGCAGATGGTATATTTGATTCACCTCTGGGACCTGGCATTGGGCTCGCTGGGAATACAGGTTGAACGTGTAAGGAGGAAAAATATCTTGGGCTCTTTTTGTCAATAAAGTTCCTAGAAGTAGTGACTGTCGCTGTACAACTGACTAGGATGACGGCCGACGGGGAAAGGATTCAGTTGCCCTCCCTTTGCATTCTGTTGGCACAGGAGGGTCGTTGGATGGAATAAATCGGTAAACTGAGAGAGATGACTGAAAACCGTCCCTGTCCGATTCCTTCTCCCTTTCCCACAGGCTCCTCCTCCCGGATCGATTTCTTTCTCCAAAACTCTGAAGAAAAATGGAGGGGGAGGCAAGATATTGATTTTCCGACTCCTTTAGATGACCTTTCCCTCTGGCCTCCCTTGATCTCAGTCCCAGGCACTTTTTTTTTTTCGAATTGAATCTTTTCATTTCTTTTGCGTGCACCCTCAGATCCCCTCTCTGCGTGAGGCCTTCCATCCGAGGGGTGGCGGCTGATGACCCCTGGTGGGATGCAAGCGTCTGGACGCCGCCGCTGGATCCTCCCACACTCGGGCAGCTGCAGGGCGGCCCCCGGCGCCCCCAGCACAGCGCTGGCCCCTCCGAGCTCCGGGGCGGGGTTTCGCCTGGGGAATCCGACGCCCCCATTGGCTCCGCGGCGGCGGGCCCGGCCAATCAGGATCGGGGGCGTCGTCCGGAGGCGGGGTTTCCCCGGTTACCTCCCGCGCGCAGCGTCCCGGGGCTGGACCGTCTCTCCCGCCCGACTTGCAGCTCCTCGTCCGCTACCTCTAGGCCCCGCACCCGGTGGACATGGCCTCGGTTACCGTGACAGCCGCGAGACGGGGCCTCGGCCGGGCGCCTCCCCTGCTGCTGCGGCGCGGCTACCAGACGGAGAGGGGAGTCTACGGTTACAGGCCGAGGAAGCCTGAGAGCCGCGAGCCCCGGAGCGGCCTGGCGCGCCCCCCAGGTGGGGCAGGGGGCCGGGTGGTGGGCATGGGGGGCTGTGCTGGAAGGAAGGAAAAGGCCTGGGCTCGGGGGTTCTGCACAAGGCGTGCCGTCCGGGCGGAATCAGTGTCGGGGTCCCCCCAACCCCCCCCAGGCCTGCCAGCCCTGGTGCTTGGGGGTTCCGCGTAGGGCTCGTCGAGGTCTCCCCTTTACCCGGGTGGTGGGAGTGCGGGGAAGCCTCGGAAAGTCCTGTCCTCACCCATCAGGCTCTCCCAGGGCGCCCCCTGAGCCTGTCAGAGCTCAGGACAGCAGCGGGCAGGGCGCTCGCTTTGCACAGTGGAGCCGTGTTAGACCCCCGCGACTGGGTCGGGTAGAGTCAGTCCCCCAGCCTCACCCGGAGTGACCCCTGAGCAACGCCAGGTGTGGCTCCCATATCGAAAAACCGCTGCTGGACTGGAGAGAGAGAGAAGAGAGAGGAGAGAGAGACAGAGAGAGAGAGAGAGAAGAGAGATAGAGAGTCTGTCCAGGGTCTTGCATGGGAGGGACCTGGCTTCTCTCCTGGCACCGCTTGGTCCCTGGCATCTCAGAGTGATTTCGATGGGTCAGGAGACATGTTTGGGAGCCTCTGTTGCATGTTCATGGGCAAGTAACTAATGCTGAGTGTTTGGGGGGGTTGTTCATTTTTTTTTTTGCCAACGGTGGGGAGGGGCTTTGGGGGTCACACCCGGTGATGCTCAGGGCTTAGTTCTGGCTGTGCACTCAGGAATCACTCCTGGCAGTGCTCAGGGGACCATATAGGATGTGCCAGGGACTGAACCTGGGTCGTCCGCGTGCAAGGCAAACAAGCCTTACCCTTAACCTGATGTGCTATTGCTCTGGCCCCTGATTGTTTGGTTTATGCTTGGAATTTCTGTTTTGTTTTGTTTGGGGACCACATCCAGTGATACTCATGGCTTACTTCTAGCTCAGCATTCAGAAATTACTCCTGATGCTTGGGGGAACCCTTATGGGGTTCTGGAGACCGGGCCCAGGTTGGCCTTGTGCAATACAAACATCCTGCCCTCCCTCCACCTTTTCTCTCCTGCCACTGTTTGGTTTATGCTTGAACGTTATTGTATTTTTATCCATCATCCTCTTAGTTGATGATGAATACTTATATCAAGCCTTAGAAAAAATTAATAATAATTTGGCATCTTAGCCCACTTGTTAGATTAACATTGACAACTCCATCATTTAAGCAGCTGACCTTTGAATCTTACACCACACACTGGAAACCTCAATATTTGGATCTGGATCTAACAGGACATTAAGAATAAGTCTGAGAGGCTGGAGCTCGGTCCAGCTTGGACCAGTAGGAAGAGCATTTGCCTTACATGTGGCTGACCCAGATTCAGCCCCAGCATTCCTTATAGTCCCGGGAGCACTGCCAGGAATGATTTCTGAGTGCAGAGCCAGGAGTAGCCTCCAGACATCTCCAGGTGTTGCCCCCAAACAAACAAAAAAGTAATCTTATTCCTCTTTCTTGAATGCCATGGGGTTGCTTTAGGGAAGGCATTTGGCCTTCCTGTCTGGTTCTTCTTCAATGGTTCTCATAAATTCCAGAATATATTGTCTTTGTGGGAGCCGGGGGTAGTGGGTCGGCTGGGGTCCACATCTGGTGGTCCTTAGGAATCACTCCTGACTCTGGACTGTAAATCCCTGAGGATGAGACTATATATATATATATATATATATATATATATATATACACAGCTTATTTCACTTTGCAATTCAGGTGTCTTGAATTATATGTAAGTTGTCCGTATACCTAAGTGTGCATTTAAATCACGCTGATTGATGCTCAAAATGCCAGTTCCCAGCCTCCCCTCAGGCTCTCCCCTTTATAGCTTTTTGTTTGTCTGTTTGTTTGTTTGGGGTGCCACACCTGGCTGTGCTCAGGGCTTACTCTCAGGCATCACTCCTGATAGGGCCCAGGGGACCATGTGGGGGCCAGAGATTGAATCCAGGTTGTACACATGTCAAGCAAGTGTCTTACCCACTGTACTATCGCTCCACCCCCTTTTCTGGTTCTTCTTCAATGGTTGTCATAAATTCCAGAGTATATTGTCTTTGTGGGAGCCGGGAGTGTGGGTGAGCTGGGGCCACATCTGGTGTTCCTTAGGAATCATTCCTGATTCTGTGTTCTGGGGTCACTCCTGACAGAGCTCAGGGGACTGTGCAGTGCTGGGGGTTGGACCCGAGTTTCCCACATGCAAAGCTCAGCAACCTCAGCTCTGGGAATATGTATTCCTTCCTGCAGTCTGGGCAGTTCTCTGGCTGAGGGCTCTGGCTACCTGTGACAAATGCTGTTATGTCATAAAAGTCACGAAAAAATCCTAAAAAATGTCCACGCAGGTTCAATTCCACCTTCACTTAGGGGACTACTATGTGCCAGATGCACAATTGTTGAGATACCTTCTAAAAAATGTTTAGTATTGTGGTTTATGATACTCTTAATGCTAGGGTGCCATATGTATAGCATCTCAACACACCAATTCCCCTCCACTATTCTCCCAGAGTTCCCACTGAACAACCTCCCCCCACACACAGGATAAGCTCCCCACCATGGGATAAGCTCAGTTCTCAGGTTCGGTTGCCTTTAGCCATTGTTATGCCCTGGCTAAGTTTCTTTTCCTCCCTCCCTCCCTCCTTCCTTCCTTCCTTCCTTCCTTCCTTCCTTCCTTCCTTCCTTCTTTCCTTTTTAAAGAGCCTCTTTATTTTTGTTAGCTTGTTTTTTGGGCCACATCTAGCTGTGTTCAGGGCATATTTCTAGCTCTGCACTCAGGAATCACTCCTGGTGGTGCTCAGGCCACCCTATGGGATGCCAGAGATCAATCCCGAGTCGTCCGTGTGCAAGGCAAGTGCCCTCCCCACTGTACTATCTCTCTGGCAGCAAGTTTCTTTATACCCCACAAATGATGAGATCATTCTGTGTCTCTCCCTCTCCTCTGGCTGACTTCTCTCGGCATGAGCCCCTCCAGCTCCATATAGCAGAAAATTGTATGATTTCATCTTCCTGCTACCGGAGTTTCTTTAACCAATTCTCTGTTCTTGGACACTTGGTTTGCATCTAGATTTGGGCTGTTGTGAATAGTGCTGCAGTGAACATTGGGGTTCAGAAGTCTTTTCTGAAGTGATTGTTTGGGTCTTTGGAGTATATGCCCAGAAAGAATTGCTGGGGCTGGTGGGTCTTCATTCTTATTAGTCTGAGGAGTATTCTTATTACTTTCCAAACAGGTTAAAGCAGTATTATTATTATTATTATTATTATTATTATTATTATTCTCATCAGCAGTGAATGAGGTTCTTTTTTTTTTTGCTTTTTGAGTCACACCCGGCGATGCTCAGGGGTTACTCCTGGCTCATGCACTCAGGAATCGCTCCTGGCAGTGCTCGGGGGACCATATGGGTTGCTGGGAATCGAACCTGTGTTGGCCATGTTGGCTGCGTGCAAGGCAATCGCCGTACCCGCTGTGCTATTGCTCCAGCCCCAAATGAGGTTCATTTTGGAGGGATTTTCTTGAGGTTTTTCCTCACTGCCAGATCTCTGTTTTGTTTTTTTGTTGTTGTTTTGTTTGGGGGCCACACCCAGCGATGCTCTGTGCTCTAGCATCTCCTGGTGAACACCAACAGACCATATGATATGTTGAACATTGAACCTGGGTTGGCAGCATGCAAGGCAAGCACCCTCCCTGCTATATTATCGCTCTGGCTGTGCTATCACACTTTCTGTCATGGTTGTAGATAACCAGCTCCTACCAGACTGTGTGGGAGGGGGACTGTAGATGCCACTTCTAGTAGCACTGCATTCATCAGAACTTGGTCAATGTCAATACTTTTCTATATATGACTTGCAAGGGAGAACACACAGCCCAGTGACCATGTGCCAGTGAGAAATATTTAGGGAAGAAGAGGAAAGTAAGTATTGGAAAATAAGTGTTAGTCATCACACTCGATCCCAGTGGCCAGGACTGCCCTGGGCTTTCCTTGCCGTGCCCAGAGTAACCATGTCCTCCTTTTTCTGTGCCCAGGCTTGGCCTTTCTGGAGAATATGTAGAAGAATGTGTCAGGTGGCCCTTCTGGAATGTTATCAACTGACTCCGCCACTTCCATAAACATCCCCCTGTTACGTCTGTAAAGTATGAATGGGAAAACAAGAGCTGAGTCATGGTCGGATGGAGTGGGGCATCCCTGGGCTGTGTGGGCAGTTCACGGGTTGGCTTGATCCCACCGGCCTATGGCTAGTCCCTAGGCTTTGCGTTGTTGAATCTTTTCCCCCCTTTTCAGTAATTTTGGGTGTGTTATTTTGTGGCGATGCCCAGCAGTGCTCAGGGCTACTCCCAGTTCCAGGAACCATCTTTATTTTTGAAGGTTGTCACCTTCACCCCCTTGGAATTTTCTGGGGTCCATGGGGTCATGTTCCCAGCTGGGAAACCAGCCACGTTCCGAGGCTGCAGCTGCAGGCTTTCCCTTCTCGGCATGTGATTTCTCTGATAAAGTAGACAGTCCGTTTCTCTTATAACGCTCATAGGCCTGAAGTCTTGCTTCTGTTGGCGCCGTGAACACATCGCCCCTTCCCAAGACCTAGTTTTTAAGCCTGTAAAGTCCAGCCATTTTTGTTCATTTATCTGATCCCTTTCCCCCAGCCCCCTGGTCCCAGGGTCATAGCAGCTGCATGATGGCTGAGAAGTGAGTCTCAATTCTGCAGGGAGCAATGTCAGGGGACCATATCAGGTGCTGGCTATTGACCCGGGTAGGCTGCGTACAAGGCAAGCACCCTGCTCCCCTGCACTTTGCAGGCCCCACCTTCCCTGCCTTTATCTGAGTCTCTTCCCCTCATTCTCTGCCTGTTTCTTTTTCTCTGGCCCAGCCTGGCTCCATTCCCAGCTGCTCCGTGATGCCCTACCCACATTCCCTTACCTGCGGGGACTTTATCTGATCCTGTGGTTTTTGTGTAGGGATCTTCTCATGGACGTTGGAAGATCTTGTACTTACATTCTTCTCAGCTCTCCAGTTAAAAGGACATTTCTTAAGCGATTTCGTTCTACTAAGAAATCAGACTAGCATTCCACATAAGCAGCTTATTTGGGGCATTTAATCATTTAATGAATTTGAACTGTGCATGAACAACCCTTGTAGCCTGCATGAGGCAGGGAAGGGAGCGGTAATCACTGCTTGGGGCCTGGAAAAGGCTCAAAGGCAAAAACTGCAACTGTGAGACCTGTAGTCTGACTCCAGATGACACCTGCATACATCTAGTATGCCTGTGTGTATGTGAGAGAGAGAGAGAGAGAGAGAAAGAGAGAGAGAGAGAGAGAGGAAGAGAGAGAGACAGATAGATAGATAGAGAGACCCCAGTCATCACAACATAAATAGCAAAGTAGCGAAGGGAAGGGAAGTGGGAAACAGAGAAAGGGAAAACAATCTTTTTTCGTTGCTGATTCGGCCTCGCTGAGCTTCCCTCTCGTTTCATAGGGTGTCCGGGCCAGTTCCTTCCATTTCCACGTGATGAAGAGGCCGGGACAGGCTTTGATGGCTCATCTCTGTTTTTAGGATGGTGCCGGTTGTCCCAGCTCTGACCAGCTTGGTCACAGGCAGTGAGCGGAATCTTGTTCCTAACTGCCAGGTGGGGCCAAGCGAGCTGGAGAGCCAGTCCTACAGATCGGGGCCCGCGTCCTCCCCCTGCACCCAAAGGTGACACCGTCGATGGGAGGAGGACAGCCATGGGGCGTTCTCCCCTTCGTGTGCCCTTCGTCAACCATCTTTCTTCATACATTTATCTTGGCAGCGTCCCGCAGGTCTTCCTTGGCGCTGCTTGAAAGGACTCCGGTGGCCTCTGTGACCTTTTGAATGTCCGCGGCTCACTGGTTAAACTTTGACCTCTGCGAGTGTTCTTTGTCGTGGCTGGGAATGACAGTGTGTACTTTCACCTCCGTAAACTGCCCGAGTATCCAAGTAAACTTGAATTTATTTGCCGTCCACCCCAGTTTGAAGTGGGGGCGGGGGGGCCGAGTAGAAGTGCTGATTTGTGGGCTGGCATTTCACAGCCCCAAATAGCAGGATTTGGAGGTGGGCACCCTAAGATCCAAACTCTGTCATGGTTACTGACCACGGCCATGAGCTCTGAGAAGTGACAAGAGGCCCTAAGTGGCTTGTTAGAATAATGTATTAGGGAGCTGGAGCACAGCAGGGAGGGCATTTGCCCTGCATGTAGCCAACCCAGTTTCAATCCCTGGAATCCCTTATGGTCCCCTGAACACAACCAGGAGTCATTCCTGAGTGTGTGGCCAGGAGTAACCCCTGAGCATCGCTGCGTGTGACCTAAAACCCAAACAAACAAAAAGAATAATGTATTAGGCCTGGGATATATTAGAATCACAAGAGCCTTTCTCAGATGTTGAAAGGGGTTGGAGGAAATTGTGCCTCATTAGAGATTATGAGAACCCTGGATGGTGGGGCTGGAGAGAGGGTCTGGGGCTTCAGGTACTTGTCTTTTGTTTTATTTTGTTTTGTTTTGTTTTTGGATCATACCTAGCTGTACTCAGGGTTTACTCCTAGTTCTGTGCTCAGGGATCACTCCTGGCAGGCCTGAGGGATGGCAGGAATTGAATCCGGGTTGGCTGTGTGCAAGGCAAGTGCCCTCCCAACTGTACCATCGCTCCGGCCCCATTCAGGTACTTGTCTCGCACGTGGCAAATTCTGGTTTGGTCCTTGGCACCACATTTGGCTGCTGGAGCTCCAAATGTTCCTAAGCTCACACTCAGGAGTAGCCCCTGAGAAGCACTGAGTGGCCTAAGGCACCTCCTTCCCCGCCCCCCCCCCCCATGTAGCTCAGTGTTCTTCATCCTTTTTATATCTTTGGACCCGGCACCCGCTTTGCATACTGGCTCATGGCTGGGCAGTGAAAGCCAGGGCAGTAGACAGTGGGCTCCAACCTGTCAATACCTGCTACCTGGCAAGGTCTATAGACCAGAGGGTCAGCGAACACTGGGCTAGATGACCATGGAGGCCTTCAGGGACCCAGCACCGCTGGTAGTGACCCCAAGCCAAAAAGGAAAGAAAACACAAATGTCCTTTTCTTCAGGACCCCCAGACAGGCCCCGCACAGGTGCCATCTCTCTGCTGAAAGCACTTGGCCCCAAGAGTTTTTTGGGGGAGGTGTTCCCCAAATTTAAGATGGCCAAAGGAAAGAGGATGGGTCCCATAGACTACTGCTGGCACACAGACACATAGTCCAGAACGTGCCCCCCTGGGCCACGCCTGGTGATGCTCAGGGAGTTTTCCTGGCTCTGCCTTCAGGACTCTCTCCTGCTCCTGCTAGGAACCCTGTGGGAGCCAGGAGTCAAACCCGGGCTTGCCACAGCAAGCAAAAACCTTCCCCATCACTCCAGCCCCGGTTATTTGCTTTTAAATAAGTCTCTGAGGACTGGAAAAGTACTTGGGAGAGTGAGGTAAGATCATTTTAAGACAGGAAATGTGTTTGCTTGCATTCTGAGACTCCAGTCCTGATATCCCCTGGCCAATGCAATGGGTAGAAAGGATGAGTTGGACATAGGAACAGCTGGAGGGGCTGGTCTAGGGCTTTCTTTTTCTCTGTTCTTATCGTAGTTGAGGGAACGTGGTTACACAGTGTTCCGGTTTGTAGTTCTGCTGTGCACCTTCTCCAACCAGAGTACCCAAACACTTCACCATATCCTGTCCTGCTGCTATTCCAGCCCCCTGATCCCTCACCCCATTCTCCCACCACATGGTACCTCATATAACCCTAGGGTGGGTTATCCTTAGATGCTCCCTGTCCCCTTGCTCTGTCCCTTTATGTGTCACAGCTGAGTGACCTCCAGGATTTGTCCTCCCTCTCACCGATTTCACTTAACAGCCCCATCCAAATTGTAGCAAAGGCACGATTTCCTCTTCCCTCAAGGCTGAGCAGCGTCCTGGTACACACAGAGACCACAGTGCCTGTATCCACTCATCTTAAACTCTGTTCTTGGTTTCTTCTCCCCAATCCAGTTGACCATGGCCTTGCCAGGCTGGTGACAGTCTACTGTGAGCATGGTCACAAAGCAGCCAAAATCAATCCTCTGTTTGCTGGACAAGCCCTACAGGAGACAGTGCCTGAAATCCACAGCCTGGTGCAGACTCTGCAGGGGCCCTTCCACACGGCAGGTAAGGCCTGCTGACCACTGACCATCATCCTGCGGGGCCCCTCCACATGGCAGGGAACACCCATTAAGCACTGACCACGGCCCCTCCATACAGTAGGTAAGGTCCACTGACCACTGACCAAAGCCCTGCAGGACCCCTCCACACCACAGGGAAGACCCACTGACCACTGACCGCAGCCCCGTGGGACCCTCCATATGGCAGGGAAGGCCCACTGACCATGCTCCCTACAGGGCCTGCAGCCCAAGATGGGCTCTCATCTCCTCTCTGAAATGTCCACCTAGTAATAGTGAGAGGCCACTCAGGATGGTCCAGAAGAGCAATCTTAAACTTCTAGAATGCTCTTTTAGGGCACATTTCTTCCACTCCAAGGCATGGAACATGCACAGAGAGTCACAGATAAACCAACCGGGTGAATCATGGGGCAAATGCGTACCAAGATTTCTGTCATTAATTCCTAAGATACTCCCTGTTGCTTCGTCCCCTAGGATTATTGAACATGGGGAAGGACGAGGCCTCTCTCGAAGAGGTCTTGGCCTATCTCGACCAGATCTACTGCGGGCAGATTTCTATTGAAACATCCCAGCTCCAGACCCAGGAGGAGAAGGACTGGTTTGCCAAGCGCTTCGAGGAACTGAAAAAGGAGGCGTTCACCACAGAAGAGCGCAAACATCTGTCCCGACTGATGCTGGAGTCTCAGGTACGAGACTGGAGCGGCCGGGCCAGCGGAGCAGCTGAGCTCCCGTTCGAGGGACACACAGGTGCCGAGGAGAGGGGATTCAGGCAGCAACACCCTGAGCTGAACCCCTCCCCCCTGCCCCACCACACACACCCCTTTATTCTCAGGAGAGAAGAATGGGCCACAAACAGTGCTACCTTTTGCTTCTCTTGAGTCCAAACACCTTTCCACCTTTCTGTGTTTGCCTGCTGACTCTAGGAAAGCGGGCAAGACTCTTCAGACTTGCTTCCCCCGTGAAGGGAAAGAGCTCGCCCTGCTGTAGGCTGCGGTGGTAATGGGGCAGAATTAAAATAAACAGGCAGCTCGGACTGTCGAGAGGGCCCAACCCTACACCCAGTAACGGGCAGCCGGCTGGTGCTCAGACGTCCAGCGGGGGAAGGAGTAGATCTCAGGCCTGACCCCAACACAGGAGTGTTCCAGGGAAGCCTGGCCGTGTCCTTGGCCTTCCCTGCTGTATCTGCTGCTCTGGGCCTTTCTGGGTTGCTGTGGCCTGACCCCCCTCACTTCTGCCTCCACTGTGCAAGCCTGCAGCGTCACGGTGCCAGAGAGGCTGGAGCCCTGTGCCTCCGCTCTCTGACATCATGTCCCTAGGAGTTCGACCACTTCTTGGCCACCAAGTTTGCCACCGTGAAGCGCTATGGCGGCGAGGGGGCAGAGAGCATGATGGGCTTCTTCCACGAGCTGCTGCGGATGTCGGCCTACAGCGGGGTCACCGACGTCATCATCGGGATGCCCCACAGAGGGAGGCTCAATCTGCTGACTGGTCTGCTGCAGTTCCCGCCCGAGGTGAGGCCTCTCCCTGGCAGGACAGAAGAGGGGCGGAGCGTGTGAGCCAGGATGGAACTGGGGCGGATTCATCAAGGGGTGTGTAAGCCTGTCGGTCAGGATGGAACTGGGGATGACAGTTCCTCAGGAGAATAAGCGAACCCTGTGAGCAGTTGGCCTAGGACAGGGCTGGTTCCCTGGTGATTCCCATACTGGCCAATAGAGCTAGTTTTGGGTTCATTTTCTAGATATTTGGACTGTCTCTCCCTCAAGGATGTGAAGAGTTGCTTTGCTTCCTCCATACTTTTAATCCATTCTCTCAAACACAATTTTTTTTTTCAGGAGTGCTCAGGAGTCATTCCATATGGTCCCCCCGAGCACCAGCAGGAGTAATTCATGAGTGCAGAGCTAGGGGTTTGGCCTGAGCATTGCTGGGTATGGCCCAAACATCTTCCCCTAAAAAATTGAAACTGAGAAAATGATCTGAGGGGTGAGACATCTGCCTCGCACTGTGTAAGCGCACAGCTCCCGCCAGCTCCGACCCAGGAGCAATCAGTAGGCAGCTCACCCGTGAACAGAGACAGCTGTGTGAGTGCCTCAGTGCCCAGCCTGCCTGCTGTTCCCAGGCTAGGGGCACTAGTAATTTAGTCACTGTCTGCAGCTTGGGGTTATTTTTTTTTGGGTGGGGGACAGGGATCATACCTGGCAATGTTCAGGAGTTATTCCTGGCTCTGCACTTAGGAATTACTCCTGGCGGTGCTCAGGGGACCATATGGGATGCTGGAAATCGAACCCGGGTGGGCCGTGCGTGCAAGGCCAAAGCCCTCCCCCACTGTACCATTACTCTGTTCCGTGCATCTTGAGTTTTAAACCATCCCAGCCACATCTCTGAGCGGGAGAGTGTGACCCATGGGAGAGAAGGCCACCGTGTGGCTCTCAGTATGTCCTGCCCTGCCGACGGGGTGAAGTTCGGTTTCTTTCCCTTGCTACTTTCTGCTTTGTTTTGTGTTTTGATTCTTGGGTCACACTCAGAAGTGCTCAGCACTTACTCCTGGCTCTGCACTCAGGAATTAGTCCTGGCGGTGCTTGAGGGACCATATGGGATGCCGGGGATTGAGCCCAGGTCAGCTGTGTGCAAGGCAGACACCTTCCCTGCTGGACTATTGCTCTGGTCCCTCACATTGCTAATTTTAACAAGATTGATAAGAGGTTTTTTCAAAAAAATGTGTCCTTTCTCTCTCTCTCTCTCTCTCTCTAGGTAAGGCTCAGGAGCCCCGCCCATCCCACACACCATGTGCCCCAGCCCTTTGTGACATCTCCCAGCCCAGGGAAATAAATAGATTCTAAAAGGAAATTAGGAGCTGGGAGGAAGTACAGTGGGTAGGGCTCTTGCCTTGCATGCAGCCAACCCAGGTTTGATCCCTGAGACCCCTTAAGTTTCCCCAGGCCCCACCAGGATTAAGCACTGAGCACAGCTGGGTGTGGCCCCAAGACAAAAATCAACAAACAAAAGGAAAAGTATAGGCAGAGATTATTCACTGTTCACAGCTTGTCAGAGGGCCGGTGCTTCACTTGAATGCGGTTTCCATAATTCTGTGCATAAAGCAGCTCGAAGTGGGTGCCTGGGCATCAGAGAAAAAGCTCAGTGGATGAGCCGGGCAGGAGAGGGAGCCAGGAAGGAGAGGGAGCCGGGCAGGAGGGCGGAGCCAGGCAGGAGGGTGGAGCTGGGCTGAGTTTGAATCCAGCACCAGGTGCTCCCCTGAGCACAGCCAGGAATAACCTTTGAGCACAAGCTGGCAATAAGGCATGGCCCTAAAACAAAAGTTGGCATCTTTCTTTAAAGAATGAGAAGAATATCTGTGAGATCCTGTGCATAAGGTGTGTGTGCACGTGTGTGTGTGTGTGTGTGTGTGTGTGCAAGAAGGAGGGGGTATGAAATAAACCGAGAGGGGGTATGGTATAAACTAAGGAGGGGATGTGATATGAACTAAGGTGGGGGTATGATATAAACTAAGGAGGGGGTGTGATAAAAACTAAGGAGGGGGGTGTGATACGAACTAAAGAGGGGTGTGATATAAATTAAGGTGGGTGTGATACAAACTAAAGAGGGGTATTCTATAAACTAAGGAGGGGGTATGATATGAACTAAGGAGGGGTCTGATATAAACTAAGGGGGCTGTGATATAAATAAGGGGGTATAATTTAAACTAAGGAGGGGTGTGATACAGATAAAGGTAAAGGTAAAGGCCCTCCCGTTGATCATTGATTTCCTCGAGCGGGCCCAGTAACGTTTCCATTGGAGACTTTGCTGTTACTGTGTCTGGCATATCGAATACGTCACGGGGAGCTTGCCAGGCTCTGCCTTGCGGGCGAGATACTCTCGGTAGCTTGCCGGGCTCTCCGAGAGGGGCGGAGGAATCGAACTCGGGTCGGCCATGTTGGCTGCGTGCAAGGCAAACGCCCTACCGCTGTGCTATCGCTCCAGTGTAATATAAACTAAGGGGGGGTATGATACAGTATGATACAGATAAGGGGGTGTGATATAAATAAGGGGGGGTGTGATATAAATGAAGGAGGGGGTGTGATAAACTAAGGGGGCTGTGATAGGAACTGCCCACCCCTTCCCAGGTCTCCGTTGTGATATAGGACATCTACATAACACAAACGCTTTTCCCTAACAGCTGATGTTTCGGAAAATGCGCGGGCTGAGTGAATTTCCGGAGGATGTTTCGGCCACGGGAGACGTGCTGTCCCACCTGACTTCCTCAGTGGACCTGGACTTCGGGGCGCACCACCCGCTGCACGTGACTATGCTGCCGAACCCCTCGCACCTGGAGGCCGTGAACCCGGTGGCTGTGGGGAAGACTCGAGGCCGGCAGCAGTCCCGTGGGGATGGCGACTACTCTCCCGACAGCTCTGCGCAGCCCGGGGACAGAGTCATCTGCCTGCAGGTGCCCGCAGCTCCCGGGCCAAGGGGCGGGCCCAGATCTGAGAGGCTGAACTTTGGGCCAGAAGGTGGTTCTGGTGGTCTCACAGATGGACAGCTGGTCCGAGGCTGCTCCCGCCTTCTCCAGGCAGCTGCTTCCACTGACTTTGCAGGGAACAATGTCAGAAGGCCCCTCCCACCACTTCCTCTGAGTTACCATCTCAGAGGGTGTCCGCTGACGGAGCTGCTGCTCCTGAGAGTTCAGGCACGTTCCTGGCCTGGAAATAGGGCACCAGGGGGCCCATGGGGGTCCAAGCCCCTTCCACGTCCACGATCTGGGCAGGTTTTATGTGCAGGGTTTGCTGTTGCTGTAGCTTAGGGCTCATTCCATCTGGTGTGCACTCCCGGCTTGGTGCTTGGGGGTCATGACTGTGATGCGGGGGCTGGAACCTGGGCCTTGCGCTTGCAGAGCAAGTGTTCCAGCCTGTGACGCTCTCCCTCTTTCTCTGATCCGTTGTTTGCTTGGTTTCAAAAGGAAGGGTCTTGCCTTAGCTGTAGTGCAACTCTGAACCCGAGCATTAAAACTTTCAGCCAGGTTGAGCATCACTGGGAGCAGCCTTGTTCCTCCTGAGCACTGCTTAAGAGGGCCACAGTCACTGTCCTCCCGTTGTTCATCAATTTGCTCAAGCGGGCCCAGTAATGTCTCCATTTTGAGACTTCCTGTTACTGTGTTTGGCATATTGAATCCGTCATGGGTAGCTTGCCAGGCTCTGCCGTGCGGGCGAGATACTCTTGGTAGCTTGCTGGGCTCTCCGAGAGGGGCGGAGGAATCGAATCCGGCTCTGCCGGGCTGGCTGCATGCAAGCCAAACGCCCTACCGCTGTGCTATCGCTCCAGCCCTTACGCAGTAAAGTAAGGATAAAAGTAAAGAAGTCTTGCATGCGAAAGCAAAAAAGCACAACTGATTTCTGTATTTCTGACTTCGTCTTCTCCCTTAATCCTGGGAGTGATCCATCAGGAGTCTATAGGAGGTTTCATTTAACGATGAACCTTTACTGGGGCTCCTTTACCCTTCGTTTTAGCTGTTTCTTCATATCTATCAGAAGGGGACTGGAGCAATAGTACATCCAGAAAGGCATTCGCCTTGCATGCAGCCGACCAGGGTTTGATCCCCAGTATCCCATATGTTCCCCCGAGCCCACCAGGACTAATTCCTGCAGAACTAGGAGTAAGGCCCGAGCATCAGTGGGTGTGACCCAAAAGGCCAAAACAAACAAACAAACAAACGAACCACTAACAGATACAGTAGTGTGGAGAAGGCAGAAGGATGAATGCTGCCTTCACATGTGGCAGATGTATGGAGCAGCTCCGGTATCCACCTCCTGGCCTCAGACCCCCACAGATACACCGAGCCATCCCCAAACCTCCACATCAGCCCCTGATGCTCACAGTGGTGCTGGCACCTCACAGGGCTTGGCACTGTGAACTCTGTGGAATTTCCTTCCTGATGGGTAAGAAGTTGGAGGACACAGCAGGGTTTGGGCTGGGAGTTGTTCCTGGGAGACTCCCCCCTGACACCTTCCGTGCTCCAGCAAGGGTTAGGTGATGGCATGCAGGACAGGGAGGAAGTCACGGGAGGCAGCTGCAGAGGACAGGGAAGCCGCTGTAGGAAATGAGCTGATGGTTTTTTACTGGAAAAAGGAGCATTTCGATCCAAGAACCTGGATTTCTCACTCATTTTTTCTGCTCTTTCTTTCTTTCTTTCCCACCCTCCCTCCTTCCTTCCCTCCTTCCTCCCTCCCATCCTCTTTCCCTCCCTCACGCTCTCCCTCCCTTCCTCCCTTCCTTTCTTCCTCCCTTCCTTCCTCTCCTTCATGATTTAGGTTCACGGCGATGCGTCTTTCTGTGGCCAAGGGATTGTTCCCGAGACATTCACGCTCTCCAACCTGCCGCATTTCCGAATCGGTGGCAGCGTGCATCTGATCGTCAATAACCAGCTGGGCTACACCACCCCGGCCGAGAGGGGGCGCTCCTCCCTGTACTGCAGTGACATCGGTAGGGGACCCCGCGGCGCTTGGGGGTGAGGGGGCATGAGGAGCTCTAGAGAAGCACACAGTTCTCAGCATGGTGGGCCTTACTGGTTACTCCAGTTTAACTTTGAACCAGAGATGGTCAGTCGGCACCATCTGCGTTAATATTCCCTATAAAGTCCTGGTACGGGTATGGGGAGAGAACCCAAAGCCTGGAATCCATGCTTTTTTTTAAATTTTTAAATAAATTTTATTTATTTTTTGCTTTTTGGGTCACACCCGGCAATGCTTAGGGGTTATTCCTGGCTCTGTGCTCAGGAATTACCCCTGTCGGTGCTTGGGGGACCATATGGGATGCTGGGAATTGAACTCAGGTTGGCCGCGTGCAAGGCAAACGCCCTACCTGCTGTGCTATTGCCTCAGCTCCTGGAATTCATGCTTTGCATGTGGGAGTCAGGTTCTGATCCCTGGTACCATGTCATCCTCTGAGCACTGAGCTGGGAGTAACCCCCAAGCACCAAACAAGACAAAGCAAAGAAGCCAAAGTCTCTACCATGACTCTGGGTAAAAGATAGGGCCTGCCTGTGTTTCATCCCCAGCTCCACAAAAATCTAAAAAAAAAAAAAATAACGAACAACTATATCCGAGTGTGTGATCTTCCAATCTGAGAAATATGGTAAGAGTGGAACTGAGGGGCTGGAGAGATAATACAGCGGCCAGGGACTTGCCTTGTGCACAGCCCACCCTCAGTCAGTCCGCACTGCATAGAGCCTCCTGAGCACTGCCTGGAGTGACCCCTGAATACAGAAGTAGCCCCAAAGTCAAAAGCCAAAAATAACAACAGTAATAAGAGAGGTGCTTAAAGGTGCAATTTTAAATGCCTAAGTGGGAGGGGCTGAAACTAAGGTCAACACACGAACACATGAGCGTGATCATCTTTAGGGCATTCAGGTGTGGGCTGCCCAAGCTCCAAGTCGAGATGGTGCATGGCAGCAACGAATTTGACCAGCTGGCCTGTGTGCTTAGTGGTCAGAGAGGCAGGGCCCACCTGCTTTAGCCTGTAAAACTGGGATCATTTGCAGATACCAATGGCTTTTGTCATCCTTTCCCGATTTCACGGGGTTATAAGAATTTCTGGGTGGTAAGAACTAGTCTGTTTTTACATGCCGAGCTTGGCCTGGGTGCCCTTTTTAAAAAAAAATGATTTTTATTTGTTTTTGGGCCACACCTGGCGATGCTCAGGGAATTACTCCTGTCTCCACACTCAGAAGTCACTCTGAGCAGAGCTCAGGGGACCGTATTGGATGCCAGGGATCAAACCCAGGTGGGCTGCATGCCAAGCCAGCGCCCTACTGTCCTATCTCTCTGGTCCCCTCCCAGGTGCCTTTTAGAGCTGAGTATTTCTGGTTGGTTTGATGGTGACATGAACACAATATTCCAGAATTTCTCTCTGGAGAAAATCCATCTTTTCCCCTGGGCTGTATCCTTTTTATCTTGGAGAGAACAGTCACAAAGCAGATGTTGCTCATGAAGTGCATGCTTGTCACAGTTGCGTTCTTAGTGTATTCACTGACTCATCTGCAATACTAGAGGGGCAGAGCCATTACCGAGGCAGGAGCCATTACCCCACGTGACAAATCCAGAGACTCAGTGGCCTGGCTCGCCCATCTTCCCCTGTCAGTCCCAGAGCTGGGATGGGGCTCCTTTGGGTTCACAGCATCTAGCCACGGGCTGTCTCCCCAGGCGGCCCACAGATGCTCAGCACACGCCTCTTTCCCCCAGGGAAGCTGGTGGGCTGCGCTGTCATCCATGTGAATGGGGACAGCCCAGAGGAAGTGGTCCGTGCCACCCGGCTGGCTTTTGAGTACCAGCGCCAGTTCCGGAAGGATGTGATCGTGGATCTGCTATGCTACCGGCAGTGGGGCCACAATGAGCTGGATGAGCCCTTCTTCACCAACCCCATCATGTACAAGATCATCAGGTACACGCATCCCCCCGGCCCCCTCTCCACAGCGCACATGAGTTTATCGGAGTCCCCAGCCTTGACATTTGCCAAACTGGGAGGGCCGGTTGTAGGACAGCCCCTCTCTATTCTTGAGACTCTGCTCTTCCCCTCAGTAAGTGAACAGAGAGCAACTGACAACCCCCTCTACAGCTGGGCTCATGCAGGGAGATGCCCTCAGAGCTTTGCCTGAACTTACTCAGGTTGGCACTGCTGGGCCAGAACAGAATGTCCCCTGCTCTCTGGTACAAGTGACACCTCCTTTGAGGGGGGAGGATGGATTTGTGGGTGCACTTCTCAGAGGTGCCCTTCAGCATGAAAGCCAGTGACCACGAGGGGAATTCGAACTCACCCAGATTTCAGAGACTTGCTGTGATAAAGACTCAAAAAGGCTTTCTCAAGAGTGATTTTGAGGGACTGGAGTGATATTATAGTGGGTTCGGCGTTTGCCTTGCATGTGGCCTACCTGGGTTCGATTCCCAGCATCCCATAGGGTATCCTGAGCACCACCAGGAGTAATTCCTGAGAGCAAAGCCAGGAGTAACCCCTGTGCATTGCCGAATGTGACCCAAAAAGCAAAAAAGCCAAAAAAAAAAAAAAAGGAATGATTTTGATGTGGATTAGCCACTGTAGGGACAATATTTTGGATGGAAAGAAATGAAGTGAAAGAAATGAATTATTGAAATGAACTCACCAGTGCCTTTCCAGACTGCTTGGGGAGGTTTGATTTGTTGTTTTTGTTTGGATTGTGGACCACACCTAGCAATGCTCAGGGCTTTTTCCTGGCTTACTGGAAATACTCCTGCTGGTGCTCAGGGATTTGTGACCACATGGGATGTCAGAGATCGAACCTTGGTCAACCAATGCAAGGCAAGTTCTCTACCCGCTGTACTCTGGCGCTGGGTGGGGAGTTTTAATGATAGAAAGCTGTGTCGGATAGCTTTAGGACAGTGCAGGCAGGCTCAGGCAGTGGGCCGGTGGGGTGCCCCGGAGCACCGTTTTCAAGAGGCTAGACCTAACACAGATCCCCTCCCCCACTTTGTTCAACCCAAATTAATGAGCTTGGGGGCTTGCTCCAGGCTATTTGCTCACTGCACTGGTCAGCTTTTGGGACGACAATCCAGTTTTCTTTAAATTCTGAAGAAACTGAAGGATTTGAGATATCTCAGGATCTACTGAAAACACCCTCTCTGCCCAGCCCTCACTTTGGGGGTCAGAATTAGATGTGATGTTATGCGTGCAGGTTTTCCAGCTCAGAGCACTGTGGAAATGCGCATTGGCTCGATTATCACTGCAAAACTCAGTAACTGATGATGATGATGATGATGATGATATATATATATACACATGTATAATGTGTGTGTGTGTACATGTACATATGTAGGCCTTATTAAAGCTTTCTGAACAGATACCAGCTATACTGGGCTCTCTATTTTTTTTTTAAATCCAGGAGTGCTGAGTAGGTGACGCAGGTCAGTCCTGCAAATGATTGTTCAGAATTTACTGATTCATAGCAGAAACCTCCCCACCGATCACTTCTACGTGGCAGTAGACCCCCAAACCCCAGAAAGATAATTTATTTATTTTTTCTGGCTGGCCTACAGAGGTGCTTACTCACCAACACTTTTGGGGAAAAAGTGATTTATTGGCCCCAAAGGGCATGAACCATGCAGTGGACCTGGACGTGAGCAGCAGCTGGCCTTTGGGTGCTCACCCCGTGCTACCCTGTTCCGCCCTGAAGCCCCCGACCCCCCACCCCAACCCCTTCCGCCGTCTCTCTCTGGGCGGCACAGGAGCACACTGACCACCAGCCCCGTCTCTTGCAGAGCCCGGAAGAGCATCCCAGACACGTACGCGGAGCACCTCATTGGCAAAGGGCTCATGACGCCCGAGGAGGTGTCAGAGATCAAGACCTCGTACTACGCCAAGCTGAACGGCCACCTGACGAACCTGGAGCACTACCGCCCGCCTGCCACACACCTGCAGGCCCACTGGCAGGGCCTGGTGCAGCCGCCGGCCTGCATCACCACCTGGGACACGGGCGTGCCCCTCGACCTCCTGCGCTTCGTGGGTGCCAAGTCCGTGCAGGTCCCCGAGGAGCTGCAGATGCACAGCCACCTGCTGAAGATGTATGTCCAGGTAGGTGGGGCCGAGACAGACAGTGACTGTGTTCCTGCCAGGAGACGGGCCCAGCCTGCAGCACTTGGCGGCTGACGGGAGGGAAGCCCCTCTGGTGTGTTGGACTGGGATTCCCCTTCTGTGATTGCGCCGGAGATGTGGCATGTGAGAGATGTGGCATGTGATAAGATGCCTGGTGCCACAGGCGCGGCGTGACTGAAAATGCAGCCGCACTGAGCACTGGTTTCATCTTTCTGGCTAATGAGCAGAACACACTTTGGTTCCTGTGGTTTTTATTTTTTCGGTTTTGTTTTTGTGTTTTGGATCACACCTGGCCATGCTCAGGGGTTCCTCCTGGCTCTGCACTCAGGAATTACTCCTAGCGGTGCTCAGGGATGCTGGGGATCCAACCCGGGTCGGTCGTGTGCAAGGCAAACGCCCTACCTGCTGTACTATAGCTCCTGCCCACTTTGGTTCTTTTGGATGGCTAATAGACAGTAACCATAAGAAAGCCAAACATGCATCACGCGATGCATGGAGGCCAGAGGGGCTCCAGCCTTTGCGTGGAGGAGGCCCTGGCAGGCCCCTTCTCAAACTGATCACTTGATAGGAAAAAGAAAGAAGATGAACAAATATCCCCAAAGACAAGCATGACACAGGCAGCTTTTACGCACTACCTCAGCTTAGGGGCTGGACTCGTATGTCCCTGGGTCTGGGGACTTGCAGCACCCAAACCTAGAGAACAGGGAGCCAGGGGCCTTCATCTTTCTCCTCCTCCTCCTCCTCCTCCTCCTCCTCCTCCTCCTCCTCCTCCTCCTCCTCTTCCTCCTCCTCCTCCTCCTCCCCACATCCTCCTCCTCCTCCTCCTCCTCCTCTTCCTCCTTCTCCTCCTCCTCCTCCTCCCCACATCCTCTTCTTCCTCCACCTCCTCCTCCTCCACCTCCTCTTTTCCCTCCACCTTCTTCTCCTCCTCCTCTCCCACCTCCTCTTCCTTCTCCTCCACCTTCTTCTGCCACACCTGGTGATGCTTAGGGCTTACTCCTGGCCCTGCACTCAGGAATTGCACTGCTCAGGGGACCATATGCAGGGATGGAACCCAGGTCGGCAGGGTCCAAGGCAAATGCTCTGCCGCTGTGCTATGGCTCCGCCTTTGCCTTCATCTTTCTTGAACTTGTAGAAACTTTGCCCTCAGGGTTGCTATCGATCACTAGTTTCTGTCTTAAGTTTTTATCCTATGCCTACAGACGGTAAAAAGCAGCTGAAGAAACAGACCCTTAGCAGTATATCCCCTGCCAGCCAGCGTCTTCTCCCCTCATCCGCAGGGCTGGCCACAACCCCCACAGCCTGTCTCTGCTGTGTGGTGCCAGGGGTCAAGCCCAGGCTTGCCCAGGTGAGGCACGTGCTCTAACGCTGAGCCACCTCCCGAGCTTGTTTCTGGAATGTTCTGGAGCGATGTACAGTTGCTCTCTCGGTCTCCCTCTGCCGTCCGGTTTCACTTAGCAAAAGCGTTCATTTGAATGCTGTGTTCCGCTCAGAGCTCGGCGCAGACAGCAGTGAGGTGCCCAGCAGCTCCCCCTCAACCCCTTTCTCTCTGCAGTCCCGGTTGGAGAAAGTGATGGACGGGACGAAGCTGGACTGGGCCACCGCAGAAGCTCTGGCCCTCGGCTCTCTGCTCGCTCAAGGTAGGAACTTGCAGCTGAGTATGTGGCCCTTGGGGGCCACTCAGGGTGGCCTTTGTGATAGGTGATTCCTGCTGTTCTGAGCTCCGGATGAGAAGCGTTCTGAAATGTGTCAGTGTTCCTTCCCTGATTCCATCACTCAGTGGGGAAGCTGTGGGGTGGCCTCATTTGAGAATACACATAGATGTTTGGTATTAATCACTTAATCACTTAATCCCCGTTATTCATCGATTTATTCGAGCGGGTGCCAGTAACATCTCCATTCATCCCGGTTGCGTGCTAGCGTAGCCCAATGGTATCTGTTCGTTTTAGGAACATGTAGAGCCTCAAACCGATCATTTAGGGTCTTGACGAAGAAGTCTGACCATCTTATAGGTGGGCGTCCACGTGATCTTTTGATGTCTCGTGGAATCCAATCAGTAATGGCTCTAGTCCAGCGGTTGTCTGTAAACCTCATTACATGTCCAGCCCATCTGATTTTTGATGTCTTGGCAAATGAGACAGCGTCTCTGATTCTTGAGCGTTGACGAAGATCAGAACTCCGGATTCTATCTCTCATTTGAGTGAATCGTGATATTCCAAGCATAGTTCTTTCGATTCCTCTTTGAGAGACCCGAATAGTGTTCTCATCCTGTTTTCGTAGGGTCCAGGTCTCTGAGGCATATGTTAATGCAGGAAGAATAGTGGAATCAAAGAGATGTGCTCGTAGTTGGAGGTTCTTTGTCCTTTTAGTTATTTCTTCAATGCTCTTGAAGGCATTCCAAGCCGCTCTCTTCCTCCTGCGTAACTCAGGTGCCAGGTCATTCATCATGTTGATTTCTCGACCTAAGTATATATAACTGTTGCATTCGGAGATGGTGGTTCCGTTGAGAGCGAATGGAGCGTCAGGAACAAGGCTGTTTCTCATAAACATTGTCTTCGTAAGATTCAGCTGTAGTCCAACCTTTCCACACTCACGGTCAAAGTCCGCAAGCATTTGTGCCGCTTGGCTGATGTTTGGTGTTATTAGAACGATGTCATCAGCAAAGCGGAGGTGGTGTAGTTGCCGACCATCTATCTTCACTCCCATGTTTTCCCATTCTAGTTGTCGCATGATGTTCTCGAGAGTGGCACTGAAGAGTTTTGGTGAAATGGTATCACCCTGCCGAACCCCTCTCTTGATATGGATGATTACTTCTTTGTAGAATGGTGAGATCTTGGTAGTGAATCCGCAATAGAGCTCACGAAGGATCCTGATGTATTGAGTTTGTACGCCCTGATTGGCTAGGGCTTCCATGACCGCTTCCGTCTCAACAGAATCAAAGGCCTTCTTTAAATCAATGAACGTTAGACAGAGCGGCATCTTGAACTCCCGAGATACCTCAATGAGCTTGGTTATTGTGTGGATATGGTCGATGGTACTGAATCCTTTTCGGAATCCAGCTTGTTCACATGGTTGTCCTTCATCTAGTGTTCTGCTAATCCTATTCAGGATGACTCGAGTGAATAGTTTGTAGATGACAGACAATAGGCAGATTGGGCGATAGTTGCCAATGTCGTGGATGTCTCCTTTCTTGTATAGTAGTACAGTCTTGCTGGTTTTCCATTGGGATGGAACCTTGCATTCAGATGTTTGGTATTGAGGGTTTTTTATTTTTTGTCTTTGTTGCTGTTTGGTTTTGGTCTATACCTGACGATGCTCAGAGGTTACTCCTGGCTCCACTCAGAAATCACTCCTGGTGGTGGTCAGGACACCATATGGGATGCCGGGGATCAGACCCAGGTTGGCTGCATACAAGGCAAATGCGCTATCCGCTATACTATTCCTCTGGCCTGGAAGTTTTCATTATTTATTTATTTATTTGCTTTTTGGGTCACACCTGGCAATGCACAGGGGCTATTCCTGTCTTTGCACTCAGGAATTACTCCTGGCGGTGCTTGGGGGACCATATGGGATGCTGGGAGTTGAGCCCGGGTCAGCTGTGTACAAGGCAAACGTCCTATCTGCTGTGCTATTGCTCCAGCCCCAGTTTTTATTATTTTGAGAGGTGGGTTGGGTCATTTCTAGTGGTGCCTAAGGGGGTCATATGAAGTGTAGGAGTGAACCAGAGTCAGCTTCGTGCAAGGCACGACTTCACCAGAACTAAATAGCTGGCCTTGGATACTTGGGGTTTTATTTATTTGTATCATTTTGCTTTGGGGCCACACCCGGTGGTGCCTGGTACTTGTTCCTGGCTCTGTGCTCAGAGATCTTTCCTTGGTGGTGCTCAGGGGACCATATATAGTACTGGGGGATCGAAGCAGGGCTGCCCATGTGCAAGGCAGGTGCCTTGATTCCTGCACTATTCCTTCAGGCCAGGCTCTGGATGCTTGAAGGAGGTATTTTCCTCTATAAATCATCAGGCAGATAGTGACACGTGTGTGTGTGTGTGTGTGTGTGTGTGTGTGTGTGTGAGAGAGAGAGAGAGAGAGAGAGAGAGAGAGAGAGGAGAGAGAGAGAGAGAGAGAGAGAGTATATGTGCACATTCTGTTTTGTTTGGGCCACGTCTGGCTCAGTGCTTGGGGCCTTACTTCCAGCTGTGTGGGAGCTTCTTCCAAGAATGCGCAGGGACCCAGTGGTGGCAGGATTGAACTCGGGGTTTCCATATGCAGAACATGCGCTCTTGCTTGAGGTGCCTCTTGGTTCCAGCTTCCCATTCTCACAGTCACCCCAACTGCAAGATTTTGAGTCAGGACCGGTATGTTGTAGTTCCTGCCTTCGTTTGTTGATTGTGTTGGGGGCTGAGGACAAAACCTGGAGCCTCACACCCATAACACACGTGGTCTGCCAGTTCCCCAGGCCTAGTTTAGTTAGGCAAGTCCTCAAGGGAGATTCAGGGTCAGGGCTGGAGGGATAGTACAGTGGACAGGGCACTTGCCTTGCCTGGGGCCCACCCGAGTTTGGTCTTCTGCATCCTGAATGGTCTCCTGAGCACCATCAGGAGAAATACCTGAGTCCAGAGCCAGGATAACCCCTGAGCATCACCAGGTGGGTGATTCTAAAATCAGATTCACTGGCCTTCGAAGATGAGGTCACTCACAGAATCCCGCCTTCCTGCTTAGGTTTCAACGTCCGCCTGAGTGGCCAGGATGTGGGCCGCGGGACATTCAGCCACAGGCACGCCATGGTGGTCTGCCAGGAGACGGACGAGATCTACATCCCTTTGAACCACATGGACCCCAGTCAGAAGGGCTTCCTTGAGGTGGGCGTCTCCCACTGCGTGAACCCTGGTGCTGAGCTACTCTCCCGGTGATGCTTTTCTCTTTGGTGGGAGGGGTTCACACCCAGCGGTGCTTGGGGGTTCCTCCAAGCAGGCGTTCCTGATCATGTTTAGGGAACCCTACGGTCCTGGGGACCAAACTTGAGCATGAGCTCCGGCCTCTCCTCAACCCGATTTCGCTTATTCTGAAAGGGACTCTTTCAGCCCCCACCATCTTTCTCTCTTCCTCTGTCTTTCCCACCTTTGCCCCACTGAGAGAACAAGCAGTCCTCCTCCTCAAGGACAGCGGCCTTGACTGGAAACCCAGTCCTCACCCTGCCCCTCTGTCCTCCGAGAGCCTCGTACAGATGTGGTGCCCCCACCCCAACTTCCGAACCCTTTCTGTTTGACACCCCCCCCATGTCACCTGATGCCACAGGTCAGCAACAGTCCATTGTCTGAGGAGGCGGTGCTGGGGTTCGAGTACGGGATGAGCATCGAGAGCCCCAGCCTGCTGCCCCTCTGGGAGGCCCAGTTCGGCGACTTCTTCAATGGGGCCCAGATCATCTTTGACACATTCATCTCTGGAGGTGGGTGTTGGCTTCGGGGGCAGAGGTGGGGGCAGCCTGCCCAGGGCCGCAGCCTCCCAGGGGCAGGTGTATGAAGCGGGGTCATGGGGGGCCTAGAGATCTGGAGCATGGACTTTGCATGCAGCGGGGAGCCCTGGATTTAAACTCTGGCACTGCATGGTCTTAAGAGCACTGAGCCAGTAGTCCCTGGGCAGCAAAGCAAGGAGAGTGAAGCACCCTGGAACTCAGAACTCCTGCCTCGGATTTCATCCCTGGCGTGCATGGTCTCTGGCACTGCGATAGCCCCCTGAGAGCCCTACCAGGCGGGAGTGGAGCTGCTGCTGAGACTCTCTGTCCCACACTGCAGAGTTGGGGGTGGCCCTGCAGACGCTGCTTAGGGATCACTCCTGGCAGTGCTTGGGGAACCCAATGGGGTGCCGGGCCCCAAACTGGGCTTGGCCAAAGGCAGGACGAGCGCCCTGCCCACCCTGCCATCTGGTGCGCTCCTGTCTCCCTTACCCTGACCATCACTTACAAAAGCAGTGCCAGTCGAGTGCTAGGACGGCGGGCAGGGTGCTTGCCTGGCACACGGCTGACCCGGCTTTGATCCCGTCATCACATGTGGTCCCCTGAGCCCTGCCAGGACTTATCCTTGAGTGTGACCCTCTGCCCGCCCCCCAAACCCATAACTGGCTCACAGCAACCCTTCAGGTTGAGTGCATGGCGACACCTCCCCTGGCCTTCTGCCTCGTTTTCTGGTGGCCATCCTGGGGGTGGGGTGCGCACCTCCATCCTGCCTAGGCTCGTGGCCTCTACGCCTCTGTGGCGGGAGGACGAGAAGTACCTTGAGGAGCCAGACCCACCCGGCTGGGCTGTCGGGCAGCCGGTGCCCTGCTGGGACCTTGGCCTGTGACCTCAGGGGGGCTGTCCACTTCCTCTGCCGTCTGCTCGAGGGCCCCAGCACCCTCGCTCCAGAGTTCTGGGTGGCAGCGTGGGCGCTCTCTGGCCCCGTGGGTGTGTCAGGGAGCGCGTCCTGCGTGCACCGGCCTGGCAGCGTCCTGTGTGTTGCAGGCGAGGCCAAGTGGCTGCTACAGAGCGGCATCGTCATCCTGCTCCCCCATGGCTATGACGGGGCTGGCCCTGATCACTCGTCCTGCCGCCTGGAGCGCTTCCTGCAGGTGTGCCCAGCCCCTCTGTCCACCCCCTGGCCCCACCCTGCCCCGGAGCCACCTGTCCTGCGGCGGTTCCGTCCGCAGCCCGCTTTGCCCTCGCCCAGGTGAAACTGGCTTCTCCTGGCACGATGTCAGACTGGGCTGGCCTGTGCTGCCCGCTGCCTGTCTCATCCAGATGTGTGACAGTACCGAAGAGGGAGTGGACGGAGACACAGTGAACATGTTCGTGGCCAACCCCACCACCCCGGCCCAGTACTTCCACCTGCTCAGGAGACAGATGGTCCGAAACTTCAGGAAGCCCCTGATTGTGGCTGCCCCGAAGATGCTGCTGAGGTTCCCCGTGAGTAGGGAAGGAGGAGCCCACGCCGGTATGGGGGGGTGGGGGGTGGGGGGCGTGGCCCCCGCCCACAGCTGCACACCACCCTTCCTCCCTCCTCCCTCCCTCCTCCTCCTAATTTTCTCCCTCCTTCTTTCCTCCTCCCTCCCAAATACCCGAGCTCCTCCTCCTTCCTTTGTCCCTTCCCTCCTTCCTCCCTCCTCCCTCCCTCCTCCTCTTCTTTCTTCCTCCATCTTTCTTCCTTCCTCCTTTTCTTCCTTCCGTTCTTCCTCCCTACCCCCCTCCTTCCTTCCTTCCTTCCTTCCTTCCTTCCTTCCTTCCTTCCTTCCTTCCTTCATCCTCCTTCCCTCCCTTCTTCCCTCCCTCCCTCTCTCTCATTTTCTATCCACATCTGCTGGTGCTGAGTGACTGCTGTTTCTGTGCTCTGGGGTCACCTCTGCTGGTACTCAGGTGACCTATGCAGTTCTGGGGCTCAAGCTGGGCTCAAGACAAGCGCAGTGCCTGCTGGACTGTGTCTCTGGCATCCCCCCACCCCTGGCCTTTTCAGCCTTCCAGGAAGAGCTGGCAAATAGGCCTCTCTCTCTTCACTGCCTTGAGGGCAAGACCAGCCAGTATTGGCACTCTGGGATCCTGGCGGTCTGAGCATACATTTTATTTTGGGGGGGGGGATAAAATATTTTTATTTAGGGAATCTGAAAAGGGAATGAAGGAGAGAGAGAGAAATATCCAAGCCCATACAGTGAAAGGAATTGCATGGGGCTAGAGAGGTAAATATAGCGGGTAGGTACAGGCCTGATACCACACATGGTCCTCTGAACCCATCATGCTGTGGCCCCTGAGTGCAGCGCCAGGAGTAAGCCTGAGAACTGCCAGGTCTTAAGAACAAAAGGAATCACGAATCCTGCATGGAGATCCGGACTGCCGGGCAGGGATGTGCTTGAACATGAGCCCATTTTATGGAAAAGCCTTAAAGTCTAAAGGGCCTGAGCACCATGTGTTGCCGTGCAAGCTGGGGGTTTATTCTGATAGAGAACTGTGGCTTTGCTCATCTTCTAGAAAATCTTTAGTTCCTTTTTTGGTGACTGATCAGTTGCATTTGGTAATGTCTCAAAAGGCATGATGTAATAACCCGGGAGCTTCATGCCATGAGGCTTTAAAGGGATCTTTGCCCCTACTTTACCTGCACCAAGTGTTCCATGTACAGTGTATTTTTTTTTCTTTTTGGGTCACACCCAACAATGCACAGAAGTTACTCCTGGCCCTGCACTCAGGGAATCCTGGTGGTGCTCAGGGGACCATATGGGATGCTGGGAATCGAACCCGGGTTGGCTGCGTGCAAGGCAAACCCCCTACCTGCTGTGCTATTGCTCCAGCCCCCTACAGTGGTTTTTTTTTTTTTTTTTTGCTTTTTGGGTCACACCTGGCGATGCACAGGGGTTACTTCTGGCTCTGCACTCAGGAGTTACTCCTGGCGGTGTTCAGGGGACCATATGGGATGCTGGGAGTCGAACCCGGGTCGGCCGCGTGCAAGGCAAATGCCCTACCCACTGTGCTATCTCTCCAGCTCCCCGTGTATTTTTTTGAATAATAAAAATATGTGACTTTTCAAGCAACTTCGGTCAAGCTAATAAATACCGCAAGGCATAAGCCTGTTCCATCTGTAGTGCCTTGTTTCACCTTTGCACAAGACCCTTAATTTGGATGGACAGTCATTCTTTACCTTCAACTGGATGCTGTTTCCCAACTGACAAGTCCAGGCTTGTCGGGATCACACGCTGTGGGTCCCAGGAGACCCAGAGTGTGTCCTTGAGATTGGCTTTCGGGCACCTAGAAGTACCACAGCACATTCCAGAGAGGTGGATGCCCCCTGCCCCCTTCCTCCCCTTGCATGGTCTTTCCGCATTTAACTCTGTCGCACTGAAACGCAGTGTTAGGCCTAAGTTCAAGTGAAAAATGACTACAGGAAATACATGCATTCAGGAATTTTTTTTTTCTTTTTGGGTCACATCCGGCGATGCATAGTGGTTACTCCTGACTCTGCACTCAGGAATCACTCCTGGTGGTGTTCAGGGGACTATATGGGATGCTCGGAATCGAACCCAGGTCATCTGCGTGCAAGGCAAATGCCCTACCTGCTGTGCTATTGCTCCAGCCCCAGCATTCAGGATATATATATATTTTTTTTTCATTCAGGATATTTTTAATTTGTGTGTATGTGTGTGTGTGTGTGTGTGTGTGTGTGTGTGTGTGTGTGTGTGTATGAGTTGAAACCTGGAGGTACATGGGGGAGGGGAGTCACACCTGGCAGTGTTTGGGGGCCGGACCCCCTGGGGCTTCCATGCACAAAGCCTGTGCTCCAGCCCTTGCCCTGCTGGCACCTAGAAAGTTGATTCTGTTCTTGGTTTTGCTTTTGGGGCTTTGTTATTATTTTTGGTCCTGGTGATGGAACCCAGCATCTCCATCCTCAGAATCACTGTGCTGGACAGCTGGGCCATCCTCCCCAGGTGCTGGATGGCTGGGCAGCCTCCCCTGGCCTGAATAGTCTTCACTGTAATTACAGAGCTAGACCAAAGGCCACGGGTTGAAATCTCGGAGGAGCCGTTTTATTCTGAAGTGTCTCAGAGTGGTGGTGTCTAGAACAACACCGGGGTTCAGTGTAGATGTTTACTTAGGGTCCAGGCGGGGGCTGGGCCTCATTTCTTGCTAAGAGACCCCAACACACCAGGCTGGCTTAGCTCTCTCTGTGGCTGACACATGGCTTCCCCCACCCTGTAGGCGGCTGTGTCGACTCTTCAAGAAATGGGCCCAGGAACGACGTTCAGCCCAGTCCTCGGGGACTCTTCCGTGGACCCCAGCAAGTAACTCAGTTCTTCTGTCTTCTCTCTGTAGGGATATCCCAGAGGGGGCCCGAGTGACCTAGGGGCCCCGTGTGCTCCTAGCTGGTGGGAAGGGAGGGGGTTAGCTTCAGGGGTTCATGATGCTACGTTTGACATAACCCCACATGTGCTTACATTGATGGGCCCCAAGCCCAGGGCCCCAAAGCTGCCCATCAGTGAAGCATTTAACCCCGCGGGGAGCATTCCTGTTCTGGCGCAAGGCTAACTTGCCACCCGCGGCAGGGTGAAGAGCCTGGTGTTCTGCTGCGGCAAACACTTCTACGCCCTGCTGAAGCAGAGGGAGACCCTGGAGGCCAGGAAGCAGGAGGTGGCCATCATCCGGGTGGAGGAGCTCTGCCCCTTCCCGCTGGACGCGCTACAGCAGGAGATGCGCAAGTACCCCCAGGCCCGAGGTGAGGCCTCCCGCTGACCCTCCTGTCAGTCTCCCCTTCTCGCAGCAGGTGCCCCTCGTTCTTGTGGGGACGGGTTGGGCCGCACACTGGGAGACAGTGCGGGTGCCCGTGAGGGCGAGAGGCCAGCCAGCTCAGGGCCAGGGCACACCCAAGTGGCTGAGCATTGACTCTGTCACTGTTACTCATGTGGCCAGAGGTCACTGGGGGGCCCCCAGGTCACCTAAGCGCTGCTCGAAAGGTGCCCCCTGCACTCCTGCAAAATAAAGGCCAGCAGTAAGAGGCCCAGATAATCCAGTCCCTCCAGAATGTGCCAAAGATACGAGTGGGCCCTGGCCCTGGGTCAGGATGGTGCGTACCATGCCAGGTTGGCGAGGCCGAGCTCCGAGAGCGCGTGCCTGGTCTGCACCCCAGGGCACTAGGCCCGCCTGCGCATTCTTGCAGCGTGTTTGTGGTGCAGGAGTTGGCTGCAGGGGCTTGAACGAACTTGCTTCTTTCCTAGATTTTATCTGGAGTCAGGAGGAACCTCAGAACATGGGTCCATGGTTCTTCGTTTCCCCGAGGTTTGAAAAACAACTGGCCTGCAAGGTATAAAAGCCCTCCCTCCCTCCCTCCCTCCCTACTTCCCTCTCTCCTTCCCACCCCCTCCTCTCTCATGTCAGTGTGAGTCTGTGTGTCTGTGTATATGTGTATGGTGAGGGGGTGGGAGTTCTATTTCTTCCGGAATGCAAACGAATGTACCAATGCCCTGTTATCAGTCCAGCTCTTTTAAAGATCATCAGTCCAGTTCTTTTAAAGATCATCAGTCCAGTTCTTTTAAAGATAAACTAAGACACAAAAGCTCATTGAAGGGTGACTGTCTAGGGAGCTACACATTCCAGCATCATGTTAAAGCTAACTTCTGCTTAAAAAGATGAAAGCCCTGACCCCCCCTCCCGCCCCGCTCCGCCAGCACCCTCCCCTGCTCAGTCCCCCCACCCCACCCTAGGATCCCTGCCCTACAGCTCTCCCTCCAGGCCCTTCCCACCAACTCCGCCACCCCTTTCCTGCCCCCTGACACCCGCCCCTCCACACACACACACACACACACACACACACACACACACACACACACACACTAGCCTACTAGCCTGCTCACATCCTGGTTCGCAGATCATTTTCGGGGCCTTTGCGGCTGAGTTCTCAGTAGGAGAATTGTGTATTTCCTAATGTATTAGGCTCAAATCCTTTCCACATTTAAATCGTTACAAGTTAGGATTTGCCACAGCTAAACCCAAAAAGTCGACACATTTATGTAACAGTAAGACATATTTGGGGGGGGGTGCTGGAGTGATAGCACAGTGGTAGGGCATTTGCCTTGCATGCGGCTGAGCCGAGTTCGAATCTCAGCATCCCATATGGGCCCCTGAGCACCGCCAGGAGTAATTCCTGAGTGCAGAGCCAGGAGGAACCCCAGAGCATCGGTGTGACCCAAAATGCAAAAAATAAAAAGACATGGGGGGGGGGTTGAGCCCTGTTCCCAGCCCCACCAGGTGTGGCCCCTACAGCACTGTAGCATTGTAGCACTGTCTTCCCGTTGTTCATTGATTTGCTCGAGCAGGCCCAGTAATGTCTTCATTGTGAGACTTGTTGTTACTGTGTGTGGCCCCTACAGAGTCTTTAAAAAACTGAATAGTATAAAGTCAAGTACCTGTCTCTGCTGCTGGTGCCTGGAATTTCGCTAGGTTCAGCTGGTTATGGACCTCTAGCCAACGCACTCCGTGTAACTCGCGGTTTATCTGAAAGGGTGATGGACGGATCTAGAAGCTAAGAGGAGGGGGCGCACTTCCTGTGGGGAGAGACTTCTGTTCAGATGGCAGTGCCATCGGTTTCCTCTCTGGCCCACCCACAGCTGCGCCTCGTGAGCCGGCCCTCCTTGCCCACCCCCCGCCGTGGGAATCGGGACCGTCCACCAGCAGCAGCACGAGGCAGTTCTCAAGAAGACATTTGCTTGAGGCCCGCGGAAGGCAGCCTCCTCCAGACCCCTGAGATGCTGCCCTGCCGCCCTCCGGTTCCTGAGACACACATGGTGGGATCGGGAGGTCAGATGAACCCGACGTGCATAGCTCACGTTGTGAGAAGCCGACTCCCACCCCACGGCACCCTCAGACATCCAAGGATGTGTGTTAGACAGCTGCGCCACCATCTGGATTTTTGTGACTCCCCCTCTCCCTCCCCACCCCCCCCATTAAGTGCATATGCCCTGGAAAAGTTCTCTCGCTGGGAGTTAGGCCTGTTGATTAACAGCATCACCTCTTGATTTGTTTGATGCATTTCACTTTTGATCATTTTTCACTTTATCCAAATCCTGTGATGACTGTGATTTCCATCGGGTGTTTGCCTGCCTCTGAGAACAGTGTCTCAGGAATGCCGTTGCCAAGTTCCCTCTGTCCAGATTGGTGTCAGTTGTCTTGCCCATTCCTCTTCAACACAGGTCCCGGTGACTGTGACTCAGAGGAGTATCTCTTACCCTGCGTCACAAGTTGAGAAGTTTTAGCTGCAATGAACTTGATTTGGGGGCAGCTGCACTGGCATCGTTTTTCCTGAATCACTATCGCAGTGCTAGCTAGAATGTTCCCTGGGTTCTGGGTGTCTGATGTGGGGATGCAGCCTTTGCTTACCCCGTCTCGCCTCTAAAATTCCATGTTTACAGACGGTATGGAAGGAACACTGTGACGGCAGAACTTCCCCAAGTCAGGAGCTGGGGGATTTTTTGAGATCATCAACCTACCTCCTTAATCTAAAATTAAGCTCACGGAAGCATTAGTGAGCAGCTCCACACCGTGCCTTCCCTTGGTGCTACAGGAGCCGGCCCACCTCCCACTCTGCTACTGTGACTCAACAGTTCTCAGAAATGAGGGGCAGGGTGGGCCCAGAAACACCCACTCTGCCCCTCAGAGTCCGTGTCTAGGCCCTGTGTCTGGTTGACAATGGGCACCAGCAGATTCACAAACCCAGCTCTTAAACACACGCTTAGCGTGTTGATCGACCACCTCTGTCATCTTCACATCCTTTTTCTTGCCTTGGGTATCCCCCCTCTGTCGCTTTATAAATCAGAGAACTGATGACATGCCACTTGGGTAACTATAATCACACATGTTGATTGAGAATGATTATCAATGTTGTCTATTGAACTAGAAATAAAAGCACTGTCCATTTTTTGCAGCTCTCCGTTTCTGAAATTAAAAATATTTCAGAAGTCTTAAGTCATTCCAAAGGAAGTAGAAGGCTGGAGAAATAATACAGTGGTGGCCAACCCAGGTTCCATCCCCTGCACCCTGCATAGTCCCCCAAGCCCCACAAGGAGTAGGTCCGAAGCACTGCCAGAACCCAATCAAAAAACAGTGCTTAATTATTTAGAGCAGCTTCCCGTGATCTTTTATTTATTTATTTATTTGGTCCCCCAAGCAGCGCTCAGGAAGGGGGCGGGGTCCGAAGCCGTGATGCTCCGGTTGAGTGAAACTCACGGGGTTTGTAATTTTGTGTCGGTACCCGCCCACTTATCCTCCTGCCTTCCAGCGACTGGGCGCGGGGACCCTCCTGCAGAGCGGTCAGCGGCTGGCGTCGGCCCGGGCTTAACCGCGCGCTGGAGGCGGGAGGCCCGGGGTCTCCTCGCGGTCGGGGGGACAGTCCAGCCCGAATATCTTGCTTGAGCCCCGATCAGAGCATCAGGGCAGAACCCTGGGTCTGGTGGCCGCAGTCACCTCCGGGAAGGGGCAGGTGGACGCGGGGGTCCGTGTGTGCGTCCGCCGGCGCGGGGTGGGGGGGCTCTGCAGACGGGTGGGCGGCGCGGGCCGGGCTGCGTCCGGGGGGCCGCACTCGGCTCCGCTTGGCGAGGCTGCGAAGGGACAGCGCTCCCGAGGGGACACTGCTAAGAGGTCAGCTCGGGGCCCCGGAGAGAAGGACAGGTTTGGGTGGCCGCGGTTCGGGAGGGTCCGCCAGGCCCCGGGACCGCGGGACGCAGCCTAGGGAAGCGCCGGCGGTGGCCATAGCAACGCGGGGGGCGTCGACTGCGGCGCAAGGCCGGGGAAGGCGCCCGGGGGCGGGACCCGTGGGAGGGTCACGTGTCTGGGCGGAGCCTGGCGGACGGAGGGTCACGTGCCGGGGAACGGGGAAGGAGGGACTAGGACTCAGCAGCCGGGCGGATCACGTGGTGGGGCGGGCCCGGCGGGCGGCGGGTCACGTGGTGGGGCGGAGCCTGCGGCGCCGGCCGGAGCGCGTCTGGAGCGGGATCCGGGAGAAGCTACGCTGACGCCGCGGCCCCGCGCCCGGCCGTCCCCGCCGCCGCCGCCATGGGCAGTGAGTCGCGGCGGCACGGCCGGGGTGTGGGCGCGCGGGCGGGCGGGCGCGGGGCCTGGGCCGAGGCTGCTCCCGGCTCGGCGCTCGCCCGCCCGCGCGCGCGCCGGCCGAGGCCGGGGACAGGCGGGCCCGAGGGGGGGGGGCGGGAGCAGCGGGGCCGCCCCCGCGGCTCTTCCCGGCCGTCTCGGGGGGCTCTGCCGCGGGCTTGAGGGCCTAGCCCGGACCCTCGGGGCCACGCCGAACCCGGGCTGGAGCATCACTTGCAGCATCGGGCCCGGGCGGGAGCATCCCTGGCAGCTGGGCCGGGGCAGGAGCATTCCTGGCAGCGGGGCCGGGGCTGGAGCATCTCTGGCCGCGCGGCCTGGGCTGGAGCATCCCTGACAGCGGGGTCCGGGCTGGAACATCACTTGCAGCATCGGGCCCGGGCGGGAGCATCCCCGTGCATCGGGGCCGGGGCTGAAGCAGCACTTGCAGCATCGGACCCGGGCTGGAGCATCCCTGGCAGCTTCGGGCCCGCGCCGGAGCATCACTTGCAACGCGGCTGCTCCAGAGATGCTCCTCGGTGGAGCCTGGCTCGCGAGGGAGCGGGAGGAGGGATGCAGGAATGGGGTCTGTCCGAGGCGGGCGGGGTGGGGGGGGGGTGCGTCAGCATCGTATCAGGCCACCGGCCAGCGGTAGGAGGGGGATTTCTCGGGCCAGTGCAGACACGGTTCTCCCCTTGTCACTGTAGAAGGCCAGGAGGAATCTGCCCATTGTGCCTTCCCGAGATAACATCTGTCCTTAAAGGACCTTGCTTGGCCTCTTGTACATCATAGCAAGTGGTCTGGGAGAACAGAACCTTACAGTGAAAGGTATAGGTCATCCCCCCGACCCATATCATGGCACGCGGAACATCCCTCTGTCTTGGAGGAGTAGTGACCAAGTGGAGCAGAGGGGGTCTGCTTGGGGTGCTTTCTGGGGAAGCCCATTCATTCCGTGATACCGCTCAGGGATGCATTTCGGTCTTGGTCGTTTTGAATTGGTCCTTCTGCAGTTCTAGCCCATTTCCTCTTGCGTTTCCCTCATCTTCCTCCCTGATGGCTTCTGTTTCCTCCTGCTATGGTTGTTATACTGCATTTGCTCTTTTCTTGGCTGCGTTGGGACTTGAACCCAGAGTCTGCTGCAAGGCACTCACCTCACCTGTCTGGAAATGAGCTGCACCCCAGACAGTTGCTCTCTGACCTGGTGTAATGAGGCTCCTTGGATTCCTTCTTTTATGGATTCATAAAAATGTTGGATACAAGCAGGGGAGAGCAAAATCATGGGGAAATCTGTATTCCTTTACTTCTGCTGATTCGTCCTTAAATCTCTTCGATTTTTCCATCCTTATTTCTCTTTTGTGTATTTGAAATTGGAAAGCATTATAATTTATTTGGAGGTGGGGTTGGAAAAAATTACAAGAAGAAAGCATTGGTATTTGATTCTATGAAAAAATAATGTCTCTTTTTAAAACCTTTTCACAGGGACATTTATTTATTTATTTTGCAGTTAAATTTTTAGAAGTTATCAAACCTTTCTGTGCAGTTCTACCAGAAATTCAGAAACCTGAAAGGAAAGTAAGTATAACATTTTTATGATGTCAGGGGTAACTAAATGATTTAGCATGATGAGCTAGTAAGAGTGATTTACTTTAACCCTTTTCTGGTTAAAATGAAAAAACTTATCACCTGCTCCTTGCAAGAGGCACAAGTGAAAAAAACTAGTATGGACCAGCAGCCAGCAGCTCTCTTGTTTTCAGAAATGATGATTCTCAATACTTTTTTTTTTTTTTCTTTTTGGGTCACACCCAGCGTTGCACAGGGGTTACTCCTGGTTCTGCACTCAAGAATTACTCCTGGCAGTGCTCAGGGGACCATATGGGATGCTGGGAACCGAACCCGGGTCGGCTGCGTGCAAGGCAAACTCCCTACCTGCTGTGCTGTCGCTCCAGTCCCAGGGTTTTGTTTTATTTTGGGGGCCACATCTGGTATGGTGCTTAGGGAACCAGAGGTACTACTGGGAATTGAATTTGGGTTGGCTGCATGTAAGACAAATACCTTATATCTCTGGACCCAGAAATGACTTTGTCGTATTTTGAAGTCAGTCCAGTGTTAGAGGGAGCCTTTATAACAGCTGAGCTAGGAGTGAGCCTAGTGTGTGTGATTAGCTGGACCAGTGAGTAGACTTTCATAGAAAGGAATTGCAGTTGACTAAGTTGGCCCCTCCCATCTCTTGATTTTTTTTTTCAATGTGAAACTATAATGCATTGAGAATACACTGTAACCAAATCATCCTTCCTCAAATTTTGGGGTGAGAACAACTTTTTGGAGCTAAGACACATCTGAGTAGTATTACTTACCCCATGCTGGCCAGGGGTCAGGTATTCTTCTACCTGTACTTTAAATTTGCCAGGAAACTAACAGGAATAAGGATCTGAAAATGATAAAGGCTTTTATCAAACTTAGTGCGTATTCACTTTTTTTCCTATGGACTTTTGGGCCACACCCAATGTTACTCAGGGGTTACTCGTGGCTCTGCACTCAGGAATTACTCCTGGTGGTGCTTGGGGGATCATATGGGATGCTGGGGATTGAACTTGGGTTGGCTATGTGCAAGGTAAGCAGGCTGCCTGCTGTACTTTTTCTCGAGTCCCACTGTTTTGATTTTTCCCTGACCGGTCTTTATTTCCTTTAGTTTGTAAGGCTAGTGGTTCCCGTTGGTGTCCTGCCTCCGGGAACTGCCTCCTCGTGGCCTGGGACTGCCCCTCTCCCAATCTGACTGGGTCAGCATGCCTTACCCGCGATGCTCATGCCCTTTTCAGTGAACACAGTACACTGTACCGAAGAGTCTGCTCTTTAAGTCACTTAGTTCTCCTTCACGTCGGAGTCGGTGCCAAGAGCACTGTCTGGACCTGTTCTTGGTGTTGGCCCTTTCCAGGTTTTGAGGATCCTTTCCTGTGCTTCCTCTGCAGATCCAGTTTCGAGAGAAGGTCCTCTGGACTGCTATCACTCTCTTCATCTTCCTAGTATGTTGTCAGGTATGTGAGCCTCACAGTAAGTACGCGTGCGTTGTTCTCCGACAGCTTTGTTGTTATGGTGAGAAGTGCGTTTCTGTGGAAGGAATGTATTTACTGAACTGTTGGTGCCCGGAGCTCCTCTCACCGTGGCTGGACCTGGGGCTCCTGCATGCGGCCACGCATCCCACCCTCCACGCATCTCCGTGGCCATTCTGAGCATTATTAATCTTTCTCATTTGAGTGACAGCGTGTGTGTCTTGCTCTGTTGGGGGCAGCATGGACCACACCCGGCAGTGCTCAGAGATGGTACCTGCCCCTTGTTCATTAGGGACCTGGCAGTGCTTGGGACCACAAGTGCCAGGGATCCAGCTCGTTTGGTGGGTGCAAGGGAAGAGCCTTACCCTCTGCTCCTCAGGCCCTCTGGCGTGCTTCCCCCCCCCCCCCCCCCATGGTTTACTTGTGCTTTGAACAGTTTGTCTCTTTGTGGTGCTTGGAATTAAGACCCATGGCGTCCTGGGGCCGGAGTGATAGTACAGCAGGTAGGGCATTTGCCTTGCACGCAGCCAACCAGAGTTCAATCCTTAGCATTCTGTATGGTCCCCCAAGCACTGCAGGAATAATTCCTTAGTGCAGAGCTAGGAGGAACCTCTGAGCATCACTGGGTGTGACCCCCCCCCCCCCCCAAAAAAAAAGGAAACAATCCATGGCCTTCCTCCCAAGTCAGGATCCTGGCTGTGAGTACTCTTTCTTTTGGTTTTCCATTAATGATCTGTATGTCTTTCTCCCTCCTTCCCTGGAGTTTTTTTTTCTTTAGAATTAGGATGATAGGTTTGATAGGTTTTATATATAAAATTGTTAAATCTTTGACATATTTATTGCTTCACACCCCTCACCCCCAACACACATACCAGTTTTTATGTTGTATATAACGTTTTCCTCATTATCACGTCTTAGTGTGTATTTCAGTGTTACAGAAAGCCATGATCAGGAACATTAGGGCTCTGCTGTGATGGTAAATTTAATCATGCTTTTGAGTAAAAATTTCCCAGACATTAAGTCCATACAACGATAAAAGCTTGGGGCCAGAGTGATAGTCCAGCGGGTAGGGTCCCTGAGCCCTGCTTGGAGTTATTCTCGAGCCCAGAGACACGAGTAAGCCTTGAGCACTGCTGGGTGTGGCCCCCAACAACAAAAGCTTGACCTGCTGACATTACAGAGTTGTGTGGATTAAATTAGATCATGTAGGTGAAAGTATTTTTAAATTTGTGTCAGAGGCTTTTTCTCTCAGGTGAAGCCCATATTTTCTCATTTCTCTCCTCACATTTCTCTAAGTAAATTCCTTTCAATAAAACCATTTTGCTTCACTAAAAAGTAAAAGAGGTACATGTTAGGTGTGTATGTATGTGCATGTATGTCTGGTGTGTGTGTGTGTGTGTGTGTGTGTGTGTCACACCTGACAGTGCTCAGGGGTTACTCCTGGCAGTGCTCAGGAATTACTTCTGGGTGGTGCTCGGCCGGTCATATGGGATGTCCAGAATCGAACCCCGGTTGACCGCGTGCATGGCAAATGGCCTACCTGTTGTACTATTGCTCTGGCCCTGTTAGGTAGTTTTAAAGAATTATATTAGGAAGCTCTAAGGCACACTCTCGGGAAAACCAAATACATCATTTCACAGTGAAATGATAGGATCATTAAAGTATTTTACTTTTGTACTTAGTTTACATTTTTGTTTTGTTTCAGTTTTGGGTCAACACCCGGCAGTGCTCAGGGCTTACTTTTGGTTCTGCACCCAGAAATTATTCCTGGCAGGCTTGGGAGACCGTATTGGGTGCTGTGGATCGAACCCAGGTTGGCCACGTGCAAGGCAAACACTTAATCTGCTGTGCTATTGCTCTGGTCCTAAAACTGTTGAATGACCAGGGAGAGAGAACTTTTATTTTTTATTTAATTTAATTTATTATTATTATTATTTTTGCTTTTTGGGTCACACCTGGCGATGTATAGGAGTTACTCCTGACTTTGCACTCAGGAGTTACTCCTGGTGGTGCTCAGGGGACCATATGGGATGCTGGGAATCGAACCCGGGTCGGCCACGTGCAGAGAGAGAACTTTTAAAATAAAGAAAAGTAGGAAACAAGAGTTATTGATCATATTCCAATTACCTATTTTAAAAATTTTAAAACATTATAGGGATTCCCCTCTTTAAAAATATCAGGCGCCAGAAAGAGAATATTAGGGTTAAAGTACTTGCCTTGTACACAGCTGACCGGGTTTGATCCTGGCACTTTATACAATTCCCAGAACACAGCCAGAAAGGAGTAATTTGTGAGCACAGGGCCAGGAGTGAGTCCTGAACCCTGCTAGGAATGACCTCCCCAATCCCACCAAAGCAACTGTGTGTGTGTGTGTGTGTGTGTGTGTGTGTGTGTGTGTGTGTGTGTGTTCCTGGGCTGAACAGGATTGAACCGTCGGGCAGGTTAATTCTCTATATTGCTCGATGCCTGGATCGCCCCCTCCTGGTGTGAAAGTAGACACATCTCCAGGGAGTGAGGCTCTAGGCCACAGGAGTCAATGCTTCACGTGGCTGAGACAGGAGCAGTTCTCCTTGTCACTTACTTGGTCATCTGCAGTCCCATATGTGCAGTGTGACTGACCTTGGCTGTCCTTAGCATCCTCAGCATTGCAAAAGTCCTTTTAGGACTACCATGCAAAGATTCTATTTACCAATAGGAGTATGTTTTTCTTTTTAAAAAGTGGCATCATTGGTTTACAGTGTTAAGGAATCTCAGGGGGTTAGTGTCACATACACCTCTGTGTGGTGCTCACTCCTTTCCACCCTGCGGCACTGGGCTTGGGGACGGGGCCGTTCCCTGTGCTCAGGAACCCTGTCAGGGAGCGAGAGCCAGCTGTTTGTGTGCCGGGCACCTTAGCCCTGTGAGCTCTCTCACTCCCCAGGGAGTAGTGTCACAGATTGCGGTAAAGAGACATGAAACGTGATGTCTTCAGCCATTTTGAAGAGTACTGCTCAGTAGAGCTAAGTATATTCACATTCAGAACCCTTTGCAACCTCCCACACCTAGGGCAGTTTCACTGGTGACATGTTGCAAGCAGTGTGTATTTTCCTCTAAGGACCTTTAAGTATTTGTTACTTTAAGTACTTGTTTGTTACTTGGGAACCTGGAAGTGTTTTCTTTTGGGGAGGAGGTGCTCTCAGCGCTGCGTATGGGGCGCGGGTGCTGGACAGTCCATGCTTGGCCCATTGATGTGATGGTGCTTGGACACAGTGGTGCTCAGAGGGCCGTACAGGCCAGTTACACAGTTCCCCAAGGCGCTGTGCCTAGTAGCAATACACAGTGAGTCCAGGCCCTAGTTGGCCTCTGCATGCCAGGCGTGTGCTCATATCCTCAACCATCTCCCAGTACTTGAAGTAGAGTGGGCTGTTGAGAGTAGGTGGTTGTGTGTTGCAGCCTTGAGGGGAATGCATTATGAATGCAGGGCAAGCTTGATTTGTGTTATGCGTCTGGGTAAAGTATTTTCTGGAATATTCCAGATACCACTGTTTGGAATCATGTCATCGGATTCTGCAGATCCTTTCTACTGGATGAGAGTCATTCTTGCATCCAACAGAGGTATGAGCTGCTTTTTTTTTTCTCTCCCTGTACCTGACCAGATGTCGGATACACCTGAAGGTGTGCAGGGAGGGAAAGCACTATCACTGGAACTTCCTGCCTAAGAGGCTGGCCCGGACATGGTTCCCCCAAGGGCACTGTACCTAGTCGGGATGCACAGTGCTTCCAGGTCGTCCTGGGTGCTGCCGAGTCATGCTGCTTTCAGGTGTTTCATCGCGGAAAGATGCCTGGGCTCACCTGTGCACTGAGTTCATAGGAAACCTCCGGCCATCGGTGGGCCCCCGGAGCTCAGCCTGAAGGGGTGGAGCTGGCCTCTGGGGTCAGCCGGACAGGGCGGTGGGACCTACAGCGCTGCTATAGTGAGAGGGCAAAGGCGCTTCCTGCATTAGTGAGTTGTGATCCCAGGTTTTGGGAAATCGTTGATTCTGCCCTTCCCTCCGACTGTCTGTTGCTGTTTCTGCAGTGACTGAGGGCCACACACACAGAAGCCACCCTCATGGTGCCAGAGGTACCACTTGTCAGTGCTTCTGGGACCCCACTGGGGCTTGCGGGCTGGTGCCAGGATCTGAGCTCCTGTCCTTACCAGCCTTGGAGATGATGGGGTTTAAGGTGTCGGGGTGATGTTCAGGTTTTTGGCAGTGCCTGGAGGTCAGCTCTGGGCCTCCCACCGAGGGGGCCGTGTGCAGGCCTGGAGCATCCAGAGTCTAGGAAGCACCTCGGCCCTGCGGTGGGTGTGTGCTGACAGGGAGCAGTGACCAGCGAGGCTGTTGAGTGGAAGGAAGGGGGAGGGGAGGGTGGGGAGATGGAGTGAGAGGAGTGGCGAAGCTTTCTGGCCTGTAGGAGGCTCCCTTCTTGTCTCTCCTTTCCATTGTAGGTTGGTTAGTATCATTGTCAACAGGGCCGTCACAATTCTGTCACACTTTTTGGACCTGTTTTGTTTCTCTTTCTGATTACCACAAGGTGTGTGGTTCACCCTAAAAAACAAAAGTTGTAACTTTTCTTTTCTGGTGTCATATGATGCTGGGGATCAAAATCAAAATCCTGGTGATGGGGCCGAAGTGAGAGAAGAGCTTGTCGGGATTTGCCCTCCACATGGCCAATCCAGGCTTGATCCCTGGCACCCAAAGTGGTCCCCCGAGCACTGTCAAAAGTGACCCCTGAGCACAGAGCCAGGAGTAGGCCCTGAGCACTGCTGGGTGTGGCCCTCCCCCAAAACAAAACCAGTGAATAAAAATAAAATTCCCAATGATAATTGGGAATATATTGTCCCCTGGGTTAGAGTTACTCCTAGCTCTGTGCTCAGGAGTGGGGGTGGGGGGACAATATGGGGTATATGGAGTGCTGGGGATAAAACCTGGGTTGACTGAGGCACTTGCCTTGCATGCAGCTGTCTCAGGTTCAATCCCCGGCATCCCATATGGTCCCCCAAAGCCACCAGGAGTCGTTCCTAAGTGCAGAGCCAGGAGTTAGCCCAGAACACTGTCAGGTGTGGGCCCCCCACTCCTTCCCCCCAATAAAGAGACGAAAGGGTGTTTTCAGGCATTAATGTTTAAGGAGTTGGTAATCTGACCCTGCGTTGGTCCCCAGCACTGGTATAGTGTCCCCACCCCTAGCCCCAGTTTGCTTGCTAGTGTTGAAGCCTGTGTTTGGGTGAACGTAGTCCAGGCCTGGGCTGGGTGAACCTGTATTTGCATCGGCAGAGCTGACCTTCCTGTCCTTTCACAGGCACTCTCATGGAGCTGGGCATCTCCCCGATCGTCACATCGGGGTTGATTATGCAGTTGTTAGCCGGAGCTAAAATCATTGAAGTTGGAGACACACCCAAAGATCGAGCCCTGTTCAATGGAGCCCAGAAACGTGAGCCGCCCCCAGCGCCGAGCTCCCCGTCCCGGCGGGTGCCTGGTGGCAGGGACGCCCCGAGGTGCCTCTGGTTGTAAGCGTGTGCCTCTCCCCATTCTCACCAGTGTTTGGTATGATCATTACCATTGGCCAAGCCATTGTGTATGTCATGACGGGCATGTACGGGGACCCCGCCGAGATGGGTGCTGGCATCTGCCTCCTCATCATCATTCAGGTAAGGAGCCCGCCCTGGTGGCCAGGGGCCCACAGTGGCCGTCTCTTCCTCTTCTGCAGGTCTTCTGGTGGTGTCTTTAGTTTTGAGTGATTTAATTGCATTTTGATCATCACCTGATATATAAACTTCTAACTTATTATGTAGAAAGTTCCAATCACCTGATATATCAACTTGTAACTTACTATGTAGAAAGTTTGATCTCTTAGAGCAGTTTCACTGTTTTGTTGTATGATGGATTACAGATCAGTGGTATTTCCTTGACTCTGGGAGGCATGTCTGACACACTTTCGTGTGTGCAGTGACTTCGTTCACCATCGCCTCCCCTCCAGAGGTGGCAGCTGTGTGAGTCAGGAGTTACATTGTGAGTTTGGTCACCGGACACATGTGTTCTTGTAACGTGTTTGGGTTTTATTACTGGCCAAAAATAAATAGATTTGTTACTGAAATGAAGTTTCATATATACACAAGCACAGAAAGATCAGACTAGGTATAAATATATCTAAATTTAAAGTAACTTGTTTTTGTAAGTAGAAAATAACATTTTGCTGTGCAAGTTATTATTGTTAATATTTTTTCTTAGGGTGTTCAAAGTAATGCTTTTACAATAATAACTACAGTTAGTGAAGTGGCATATAAGCAGACATGCATATAGCCTGGTTTTTAAAAATTGATGCTTAGGTATAGAATTTTTACAAATCTTGCTGTAACTTTTTTTTGCCTCGAATGTGGCACTTTTTAAAATCTCAGGGCTAGGATGAAGGAGACATTACTGGGGCCTGCTTGAGGCAACTGACAACTATCTTTTTTTACTTTAAAAAAAAATCTTATTTTTTTAGCTGCCATAACTATTTTAAAGGATGTCAAGTTTGGAAGATATTTCTCTCTTGTATAATCCTTTAAAAAATCAATTAAAGGGGCCAGAGAGATGGTATGGTGGGTGTAAGGTTTTACCTTGCACATGGCTGACCCTGGTTTGATCCCCAGCACTCCATATGGTCTCCCAAGCCCCGCCAGAAGTGATCCCAGGAGTCAGCCCTGAGCACTGCTGGGTGTGGCCCACCCATTCCCTGCCAAACCCCCACATCATGTAAAGAAGTAATCCGAGAATGTGTTGTGTGCAGCTCACCCTGCACTTTGGAAAGTGAAGCCCCATCACAGCCGGGACTAGCCCTCAAGCACTCTGGGTGTGGCTCCCACCCCTGCCTTCCCCCAGCAAAAAGATGTTTCTGTTAAAAACTGGCCATCAAGGTCCTATCTTGGGTCTCTTGGAAATGCCCCTGTCTTTTCCATAAGTTGTGATTATTTCAGAAAAAAGTTTTGAAATAGATGAAAGAATAAAAATCAGAAAAATGTTAAATAACAGCAAATTATTAGATTATTAGCACTGATACTGTGAAATCTGAAGCTCTCTCTGATTGGCAAGGTTGACTGTTACTCTTTTAATAAGAAACTTGCCACAGGAAGTTATTGATATAGAAAGTTAAGATCGCCGTCTCGTATAAAGAATTACAGATGAGCGGCGTTTCCTTGTTTCCTTGCTTTGACTATCACATAGGAATTGGAAGGTTGTTTTGCGAGCACCTCTTAAAACAAGGAGAGTCTTTGTCCAGGTGTTGGCTGGTGTCCCTGAGCCGGGGATGGCTTCTCTGGGAAGATGCCTGCCATTGCTGGTGGGCCGCAGGGTCTTGGGTGTTTTCCCTACAAGTTTGTTGGTCTTTCTCCTTCGAAAGCCCTGCGAGTCCCTAGCCCCCACAGCTAGAGCCGGAGAGGCTACAGGTGGGAGGCCCCTGAAGGCTCCCAGTGCCTCCTAGGGAGACCGCCCGCAGGTGTCACCTTTGTTGTGGTCTCTTAAATCACTCATTTTTTCAAATGTTAGAAGAGCTTTTAGGATAATTTGTAGCGTAAGACTTACCTAGTATTCTGCTGAGGATGTTATTTCGATTCTAATGGAATTTCATCTAGCTTATTCTGATTAAGTAAATGGACTTCTTAGGGGCCAGTTACGGATATCAGTTGGCACAAAATGGAGTTAAAAGGATTAAAGTTTTTTAATCAGTATGGGAATCCCAAGAACAGTTATAATCCAGTAACAAAACAGGCAAAAGGAATGAAATTTATGCTTTGCATAAATGCTGCTGTGTAAGTATCTGTGTTGTGGTTAATGTACAGGAAATTTTCAAAGTTTGATCTCAGAGTGTGGGGATCCTGGTAGCCCGATGCCACTGTTGGAGACGCCAGGGTTCCCCGAAGACGTGATGGGGGCTCACTTTAACATGGTTCTGAAGCTGTTACGTCGGCATTCCTCCCGCCCGTATTTCATTCACGTGGTCAGTGCTCAGCTAGTGAGTTGGGAAATGTAAACAGCCACGGTTAGAGTGAGGGCCACCGTGCACGCAGGCAGTAAAGGCCCCACCTGAGGGGTTTTCCTGCCTGCTTGAGCGAACTGAGTGACTGCATGTGGGGTGCACAGGTATCATTGTTCTAGCCGGGGAGATCATGTAAATTCCAGGTGTCTCATCCTCCTCATAGACTTTCATGCTTCCTGCTGTCTTCCATCTCATTTACTCCTTTAGAAAAACACCTCCTCGTTCAGATTTCTCTATAATTCCTTTCTCCCACCAAGTTTTCCCACATAGGACATAGGTGAATCGCTGAGGTGTCACGGACATGGGTCTGAATGGGGCCAGAGTGTTGGTTATGGAGGGATATGGCGTTGCCCAGGTGTCCCAGACAGTTGTTTAGTCAAGACTTAGGAAAATGCTTTTTGGTTGACTCACAGTTGGGGCTGAATTCCTGCACGATTGGGAATGTGTGCTTACTTTGTAATCGTGGGTGTCATGAAAGCTCAGTAAGTCCTAACTTCTCTCTTGTCTTGTTGAAGTGTCAACCTTGGTTTTCAGACAGGAAAGGATGGGCATGAGCTCTCTTAGAGATGGCGAGACTCGTTTTCTTCCGGTCCCGAGTCAAGTCAGACTCACGATGTAGACAAGTTAGGCTCTGTGCAACCATTGTAAAGGCAGTTAAGGGAAACACCACAAGGTAAGCTCACCCCTGCTGGGTACTGAGTGGCCCTTTCCTCCAAAGGGGCAGGGAGAAACGGCCAGGATGGGGGGCTTCTTGCTGGGAGGAGTGCAAGAGTGGAAAGCAGGGCCGGGGGAGGTGGGCTCCGGGGTACGGGCAGGAGCTCTGGCTGGCAGAGCCCTGGATTATTTCTGACGCATGCTTTTAACAGACCTGTCTTCTCCAGGAGGAAAATTAAGACTTTTCAGTTTCACAAGAGAGAATATTGCTGGAGGCCACCAGGGCTTATGCCCAGCTGTGCTTGGGAGACCATGTGACGCCAGGGACATTGAACCTTGGGCCCGCGGGTGCCCCTGGAAGGCTCTGCCCCAGTCCCCCTCAAGGGGCTCGTCTTATTTTTTTAAAATCATGAGCTTATGAACATGGTGAACATTCTTAACTGTCTGCAGGTTCACATTGTTTTGGTCACTCTGAGTATAGGATGCGTTCTTTCATTGTTTTACTTCACGTACATGCGCATTTATACTCTCCTTTTTGACTTATCCTGTAGATCTGTGACAAGCATCCATGACATGTGAAGGCTATATCTATTGCTTTAAAATGTATCAGTGTAGTTTGTGTATGTTCCTTCCCTCCCGGCAGGGTGCAGTTGCGTCTTGTTATTAGGATCCAACTGCCCTTTGGCTTACTCGGAGGGATCTGGAACGTGTCCCGTTTCCTGCTGTCATATTTGGCCAACCGTGAACACTTCTGTTCTGCTGAGCTTTCCAGTAGATGCTGGGAACATGGCACAGGAAACGGTCCAGACCCGATTGTAAATGCACCCGAGAGTTGGAATGTCTGCTTTTTAATGTCACTCGTTTCCAGTCCTCGATTGTCCAGAATTGGCTCTTGACTAAACTAAAGCTGTCGAAAGACGCAGCGTGGTCATGGTGATGCTGCGGCCCTAGGCTTAAGCCTCAGTGCCCACGAGGTGTCGGTGGGTGCCTCTGCCCCTCTCTGCTTCAGCTCACTTGCATTTCTTTCCCCACAGTTGTTTGTTGCTGGTTTGATTGTGCTGCTGTTAGATGAGCTGCTACAGAAGGGTTACGGCTTGGGGTCTGGGATTTCCCTCTTTATTGCCACCAACATCTGTGAGACCATTGTCTGGAAGGCCTTTAGTCCCACCACTATTAACACTGGCAGAGGTACATTGCGCAGTGACTTCCTGCACGAGTCTGGCTGGGTGTGTGCTGGAGAGGAATGTGGAGCGACGCTCGGGACGCCTGGTGGGGGGGGGGGTCGGCGGCAGAGACTCTGGGGGCATGAGCTGCTGATTCTGTGACAAAAGAGTCCTGCCTAAGTTTTGGCCTTTGCTGTTCATTCACGTTCTCCGAAGATGCAAACAGGTTTTTAAAAACCTCGCATGCTCAGTCAGGGCTGCGGAAACCATGGATTTGGCCAATGGCAGAGTCTCCAGGGAGAACCAGAGGGTAGCGATCCAGACTGACCATAGGGTGGTGTGGTCGGGGAGTCCTCCGCTTTGGCTGTGTCTGCTGGCACTGCAGTAGCTCCTCTGTTTGGGCGATGGATGTCCTTTTGCCTGTCCCATGCCCGTCCCCGCCGCTCTCCAGTGCCATCCCGAGCGTTTGCCCCGGTTAACATCTAAACTGACGCAGCCTTAAGAACAGAGCAGAGGTGGGTGTGACGATCTAGTCGAGTCACGTAAAGACATGCTTGATCAAGAAACATCGGCTTTTGATTCTAACATCTTTACTCTGCTTTGCTGCTCCTCCCCCTTCACTCGTTTTCCTTTCTTCAAAGGAAAGGGGAGACAAAGCACTGTGGTCTAAGTATCTGCTTTGGGTTACTCTCCCGTGGATTCTTTTTCAATCAAGAATCACTCGAGAAAATTGAAACTTGTAAAAAATACCAATTTTTTTTTTGCCTCTACTAGAAATCTTTTTATAGAAGCCCCACACATGGCTGTATCAGAACGTTAACCTGGATCGGTGGTGTTTAACTCGTATTTTTTTGCTGTGTTCTGAATTTCACGATTCTGTTTGACGTGGGGTGGCGCTGGGTGCAGAGTCTCCAGTGGCTGTCTCTCGGCTCTCCAGGTACCGAGTTTGAGGGAGCGGTCATTGCGCTGTTCCACCTGCTGGCCACCAGGACGGACAAAGTCCGGGCCTTGCGGGAGGCTTTCTACCGGCAGAACCTGCCCAACCTCATGAACCTCATCGCCACCGTGTTTGTGTTTGCAGTCGTCATCTATTTCCAGGTACTCGGAGGGCCGCCCTGGGGGTGGGAGGACACTGCCCTCTGCTGGAAAGAGGCTGTGGAAAAGCCGGAGTCTCTGACCGGCTGGTGTCCCATTCTCCCCGTCGCGCGTGACGCCCCCGCCTCTGGAGCAGAGCCGGGTCCTCTGCCTGCGGGCAGGGTCGAGGGGCCTCCTCAGCTTGACGCTCCCCTTCCTCCCGCAGGGGTTCCGTGTTGACTTGCCCATCAAGTCAGCCCGCTACCGAGGACAGTACAGCAGCTACCCCATCAAGCTCTTCTACACCTCCAACATCCCCATTATCCTGCAGTCCGCCCTTGTGTCCAACCTGTATGTTATTTCCCAGATGCTGTCTGTTCGGTTCAGTGGCAACTTTTTAGTAAATTTACTAGGACAGTGGGCCGTGAGTATTTTATTCGTTCATTCTAAGTATTTAAATGTATTGTACTTTGCATTTCATGGTGCTCCCCCTTCTGCCCACGTGTTGCTTAATTGTCCGGAGATCTCCCCTGATAATTCTTGGTCAGCTGGGCCGGCAGTGCTGGGTCAGGCCGACTCCAAGTGCTCGTCCTGACCCTGCGCTTCCTCCCACGAACCTTGTGGTTATTGTTTTAACTGAAAAAGGTGACAGAGAATTTAAACAGTTGTCCTGGCATTATCAGATTCACTTTGACCAGCATTTATTACTTACTGGAGATACTGGTGCGTGTTGGGCTGGAGAGAGGACTCACTGGGCTGAGCACATGTTTATATGCGGGGCCCAGGTTTGACCCCAGTACCGCTGGACTGATGCTAAGCACAGAGTGGGGCGGGGTGGGGGGGAGGGCTGAGCACTGACAGGTAGCATTACCCAAAACCAAAAGAAAAAAAAAACAAGCATTAGTGAGCATTGTAAAACGGAAATTGGCTAAGATCTTTTTATTATTTTGCTGTCTAAGAAACATCTCATGTAAGTCACCTTTGAGGCTGAAATCACAGTTGCTGTCATGGAAGGGATTTCCTGTCTGTAAACTCTCCACAGTCTAACAGGATTATTGAAAAGCAGTTTTGGGGCCGGCCGGGCTCAGAGGCACCTCGTGCTGCGAGGCCATGGTCCTACTTACTTTGCCCATCCCTGAACCTTCGCTCACTCACTTGCTGGTGGTGACTGGTGGTGACTTGGCCTCAGTCCACCTGGACAGGGCCCAGCACTGGTCACGGGATCCAGTAAGCTCTTGACTGCCACCGAGAGCTGCTCTGCACAGCAGCATCTCCCAAAGAAATCTGGCTCCTGGCCATTGTCCTGAATTGTTTGGCTGGAAGTCTGTCAGTCACCTGACCAGGGAGCATGTTATTCCCCACCCCCAGGACAAACTGTCACTGTCACTGTCATTGTCCTCCCATTGTTCATGGATTTGCTCAGCGGGCCCAGTAACTCTCCATTGTGAGACTTGTTGTTACTGTGTTTGGCATATCAAATATGTCACGGGTAGCTTGCCAGGCTTTGCCATGCAGGTGAGATACTCTCAGTAGCTTGCTGGGCTCTCCAAGAGGGGAGGAGGAATTGAACCTGGGTAGGCCAGGTCGGCCGCGTGCAAGGCAAACACCTTACCTGCTGTGCTATTGCTCCAGGACAAACTAAAAAAGAAACTAAGATCTTTTCTTCTTTTGAATAATATGTAGCTCTAGAATTTGTATTCCATCCTAGAATGATATTGTTTTAAAGCCATTCTGAAGTGATCATTCACTTTATGCTGCTATCTTTTTTTTTAATGCTATCTTTTGTATTTATTATAGGTCATCCATTTGTGCCATTACGAGTTTTTGGTTTTTTTTTTTAAGAATGTACTTTTTTACTTTTACTTTTTTTGCTTTTTGGGTCACACCTGGCGATGCTCAGGGGTTACTCCTGGCTCTGCACTCAGGAGTTACTCCTGGCGGTGCTCAGGGAACCATATGGGACGCTGGGAATCGAACCCGGGTCGCCCACCTGCAAGGCCAATGCCCTACCCGCTGTGCTATCTCTCCAGCCCCTGTTACAAGTTTTTTAAATGAAGATTTGACTACAGTTTAAAAGAATATTATCTTCAATCTTATTGAAGGAACTAGGAGTACCCATATGTAATTTGCTCATTTTCCACTCATAGACTTTGATTACTTGTGATGATGGTGGAATGTGGTCCTTGCTTCGTGGCCACTAGTTTAATAGTAACAGAAGGAGACTTGAGCCACTCTAGATTGTGTTCTGATCGCGACTTAGTGTCTACCTGTTTCTGTTTTTGAACGATATTCAGGCTCTGTGCTCAGGCTCACTCCTAGGGGTGAAGGCCACATGGGGGTGCGGGGACGGAACCGGGGTTGGTGAAAGGCAGCGCCTTACCCCTGTATTACTCTCCAGCCCCATCACTTGTTTTCTAATTATTCTTTTGAACTTTGGGACACACAGAGCAGTACTCGGCCTGTGCCATATGCTGGTGCCCCGGGGTCGTGTGAAGTAGTTTCAAGCCCTGACCTGCATATTCTCTGCCACTTTATCTACATCCCAGCCCTGGCCAAGATTCTGTATCGTGCGGCATTAGGAACTTGGACTTGTCTCCAAATTTCTTTTGATTTGTAGTTATTAACTATAGGGGCCCAGTAAAAAAATAATTTGGAAATGATAAATTCAGAGTTCATTTGGGGAAAAAATGTTTTTCTATTTTCTATCCCCAAACTTATATTTAATGTAATTATGTGCTGTTCTCATTGTATTAAAAATATTCAAAATGTCTGGGTAAAAAAGTGTCCCATCGTAAATATGTACTGTGATACATCTGCAGTCTAGAAACTGTTTACTCTCCGTGGTGGGTTGTTTAATTGACTGCATTAAATAGGATGCTTCAAAATGAAAATGGCATGTAGAGGTCTTACTATTTTAATTTTTTTGCCACACCTGGCAGTGCTCAGGGCTTCCTCCCGACTCGTGCTCTCAGGGATCACTCTTGGTGGTCTCAGGTGAAGATACGCGGTGCCAGGGATTGAACCCAGGTCCGCTTCCTGCAAGGAAAGTGCTTTACCCGCTCTACTATCACTCTGGCCCCAGACTTACTGCTCTTGCAGTTAGAAGATTTCAGGTCCTGTTCTGTTTTGCTCAGTGGTAGAGCACTTGCCTTGCATGTGTGAGGCTCGGGCATCAATCCCTGGCACCACGAAAAAGAAAAAGAAACCTTAAAATCGAAATACAATTAGAGATTAATTGTGTGACTGTTTCACTTTGATTAGGAGGAAAGGGATGTCCTTCCTATGGATACTTTTTTTTACCTTTAATAGAGATGCTTTTGAAGGCATGAAGGTCTGGGTAGTAAATGGTTATATTCTGTAGGCTTGTCGCTCTGTTTACCCGAGCTTACCCTTGGTCACAGTTCGGGAGTTTGCTGGCTGTGCCGGTGTGTGCTTGGCCATTCAGAGTCGGCCCTTTTCTTCCTTACTGTGTAGGATGTGAGTGGCGGGGGCCCGGCTCGCTCTTACCCCGTGGGGGGTCTGTGTTACTACCTTTCCCCCCCGGAGTCCATGGGGGCCATCTTTGAGGACCCTGTCCACGTGGTCGTGTACATCATCTTCATGCTGGGGTCCTGTGCGTTCTTCTCCAAGACATGGATTGAGGTGTCCGGCTCCTCAGCTAAAGATGTGAGCATTTGGTTTACCTTTCAAAAAATGTGTCATTTGTAGACATCAAACTGAAACTGGTGTGCTTGGTCCACTGTTTTTGTAACAGAAGCTTGTTTGTTTGTTTTGGGTCACACCTGGTGATGCATAGGGGTTACTCCTGGCTCTGCACTCAGGAATTACCCCTGGCGGTGCTCAGGGGACCATATGGGATGCTGGGAATCGAACCTGGGTTGGCCGCGTGCAAGGCAATCGCCCTATCCGCTGTGCTATCATTCCAGCCCCCTTAACAGAAGCTTTTATACATGTACCCGTGTTTGGCAGGGCAGGGTGGTTCCCTAGGAATGCTGAGGATGCAGTGCTGCTCAGGCCTTCAGGGCCACCCCTGGGTGCCGGGGGTCAGACTGGGCCTGTTGCTCTCTTCTGGGCTCTTCACGCTCTGTCCTGATGCAGTCACGAAGCCTCAGGAGGCTTCCCGGGTTTCCTGAGCGTCATCCGAGCACATTGGCAGATCCACAGGATCAGGCCTTACCGGTAGACTCACGCTCAACCTTCAGTTTCCCTCCTGGAGGCAATGCCAGGAAGGAGACGGGCAGCTGCCATGGGGCGTTTGCCATGCTGACAGCCCCCGTCTCGGGTGGAGGAGGCTGGGAGGTGTCTGTGGTGCAGTGTGGCACAGACGTGGCCACGGGAATCAGGTGCATGGCTGTCTCTCGCAGGTGGCCAAGCAACTGAAGGAGCAGCAGATGGTGATGCGCGGCCACAGAGACACCTCCATGGTCCACGAGCTGAACAGGTGAGGCTGGGCGCAGGTGAGAGTCGGGCTTTCCTGTTGGGCTTTTACTGCCGTCTGTTCTGTATTTGTTGAAATTCTTAAAGCATTTTTTTTTCTCTGTTGTATATAAAAGAATTAAAAGTTCAACACAAACTTAATTGCTTTTCCAATGGAATGGATACTTTTGTTTTGGGGCCACACCCAGTGAAGCTCAGTGGTTAGTCCTGGCTCTGCATTTAGGATACTCTTAGTGGTGCTCGGGGGACCATATAGGATTCCGGGGATCGAACCCGGTTGACTGCGTGCAAGGCAAATGCTTTCCCCACTGTACTAGCACTCTGGCACACGAAATGACACATTTTTAATGGAAACAGCTTCCCACACTTCTGGGCCGTGTTGACAGTTGATGGGAGATTCCCCTGTGGGCTCGCCACCGGAAAGGGGTCCCCCCAAGCTGCTGCCCCGCGTGGGCCTGGGTGTCTTGGCAGTGTCACTTCTTGCTCTCAGCAAGTGCTCTGGATCATTTTTTTTTTTCGTTTTTTGGGCCACACCTGGTGGTGCTCAGAACTTACTCCTGGCCGTCATCAGGGATCATGCCTGGTGGTGCTTGGGGGGACCACTGTGGGTGCTGGGATTCAAACCCAGGGTCTGCATATAAGACAAGTGCCTTACCTGCTGTTTTATGGCTCTGTCCCCTCATTCTGCTACTCTTATCTACCATCTCCCCATCTCTTTTTTTCCAGAAACGCAATTAGAATCCCATTTCCTAGGCTATGTACAGCCAGCAGGGGGCGCTGTGGGAGAGTCATCAGTCTGGTCACGTGAGCCTGGCCCTGGCCCTGGCCCTAACCCTGAGCATTAGGAGGGGGCTAAATCACACACGACCCTGACTCTGGCTCTGAGAATTAGGAGGGGGCTTAGTCACCCACTGGGCTGCGGTATTGGGCTAGATCACACCGGGATATGACGCTTGCCTCACGTGTGGCCCACCTGGGTTTCATCCTCCGCACCTGAGCCCCACCAGGATCCCTGAGTGCAGAGCCCAGAGTAAGAAGCCCTGAGCAGTGCTGGGTGTGGCCCCCAAATAAAACATAAAATATTGAATCTGGAGGACTCTCTGCCATAAGATTCATTTCCTTTCTTGTTTGCTGGTTCACCTAAATTTTTGTTTTAGGGTGGTGGGAGGGGGCAGACTCCCCAGGGTTGCCATACCCAGAGGTGCTGGGATGGAACCAGCCTGTTCCGTCCTATGTGCTGCTCCGGGCCGCTGCCCATGCCTCACCTCCCACTGTGCCTTCCAGGTACATCCCCACGGCGGCGGCCTTCGGCGGGCTGTGCATCGGCGCCCTGTCGGTGCTGGCTGACTTCCTGGGCGCCATCGGCTCCGGCACGGGGATCCTGCTCGCAGTCACCATTATCTACCAATACTTCGAGATATTTGTTAAGGAACAGGCAGAAGTTGGCGGGATGGGCGCTTTGTTTTTCTGAATGTTCCGGTATCTCTTTGTGTGCGTGAAAGGGAAAAAAATTTTGACACGTTTGTTTTTGTCAAACAATGCTGGTTCCCCTTTCTCCCCGCGGTTTGTTTTGAATTGCTGACTGGCCCTCTGCCGAGGCGGGCACCGAGCGCCTGTGTGCAGCATTAGGACCGGCTGCCTTAAACTCACGTTTACACGAGTGGGAAGGACACGCCCTGTGGGCCAGTGACACGGAGCCCCTGTCCCCGCCTTGCTGCGCGCAGTGTTGGGGACGAGGACGCAGGTCCGACGTGTGCCAAGCCCAGGCCACCCGGCACCCCAGCCTGTTCCAGAATCAACATCGTCCCATCGCCACCTCCCAGTATTCCTGAGCTTATTCCATGAGTTCTGGAACATTTCTATCTATATTTTAGATATAATTTTTATACTTTTTTAACTCATAGTATCCACGATCCCCTCCTTTGAGTTGTCCCTTTTCCAAGCAGCCACGTAGCCCAGATGGGCGAGACCAAGTCCTGGTCGGGTGGGGTCCCGGGAGGCCTGGCTCAGCCCCTTCCTCTCCTGCTTCCTCATGGTGCGCACGCAGCGTGCTCCGTGCCCGGGACTGCTCCCCCGCCTGCCCCGCAGCCACTCGAGAATGCTCGTCGACACACTAGAGGCCCCGGTTTTTTTTTTCTTCTTAATCCCTGAAGCAAAATTCTAATCCTCACGCAGCGACTGTAGTTCAGCGGGGGTGGACAAGAGAGTAATTCACGCAGGAATCTGTGTATGCTGTTGTATTTCACAGCAGCGACATGAGTGTAAACTGTAGACAATAAACTTCCATTTAATAAAACTTTCAGTTGTGTTGGAAAAAATAAAACCTGACACGAAACATTCTAAGATTGTTTGTGTAGGTCCTTTGTGTCCTTACAGAACCTGCCTGTGGCCTGCCCGAGGGTGGGGGCCAGTGCAGTGGAGTCTCTCGGCTTTGCTGCACAAGCTCTGCAGGCTGGAGGTTCAACCCCTTGTGCCACAAAGCCCCGAGCACCCCAGACGGGATCTAAGAACCAAAGGTCAGATACAGCGGGACAAGATGAGCGTGCTGAGAAGTGAACTGATCTGGGAGGGCCTTGAATTCTCTTTGCATTCAAAGCTTTGGTGGGTGGGGAGCCAAGCGCTGTCTCAGCATGTTCGAAGGGGCCTGGCTAAGCTTGGCTCCCAGGAAGGCTGGCTGCTGGGGACACAGGAGACACAGCATCAAGCCTGGTGTTGAGGGCCTTAGCTGGTCTGGAGGGGAGGGACGAAGAACCCATCCCCTCTCCCCCAGCTCCAAGTTTATCACCAGGGCAATGCCCCAAACTGTCTTAGTGGGTTTTAGAATGAAGAATTTTTGAGAGTTTGATTCTTGAGCGTGCACCAGCAGGAGGGAAGTGCCTTGGGTTCTCAGTGGCCCCAAACCTTCCTGCTCAGAATCAGAGACCCCATTTTACTGGAGAGGGTTGGTTCAGGCTTGGGCTAAAAGTAAATGTCTCAGCACAAGTGTTGACTGTCTGGAGTTTAAGTCCTGCACATACACCGACTTCAGGCAGGAGATGCTTGAATTAGAGGGGCCCAGACCTCCCGGGGTAGGAATTCTGCACTTTTGGCTTTCGTTGAAAATGCCAAAGCAGTAGCCTCTGCTGTGTCACAGCTGACCACTGGGGGTGAGAGCAAGCAGCTGGCCTGGTTGTAATTCAGCCGATTTCTTGAGCCACGGAAATTCCGCTGAGCCCAGACCCCGTCAAGAGTCCATGTCTGCATGTGTACACACTGGCCACAGCTGAGTGTGTGGGGAAGGCCCGGCCTGCCTGACTGAAGGTCGCACACCCAAGCATTCTGTGCTGCTTTTATTGTATGAAAAAGATGGTCTGCATCTACAGGGGGAATACATATCTGCAGGGGGAGGGGTCAGAATTTGAGGAAGGGCACCTCGAAGGGCTTCATGTGGGCGTGCTGCAGGGCCAGGGCGTATGCGTAGACTCTGCTGTCCACCAGGAGCTTCTCTTCGGCCACCAGCGCTGGAGGGCAGAGGGAGTCAGAAGGGCATGGGGAGGCCCTGGAGCAGTTCCGTCCCCTCAGGGTCCCTTTGGCTGTGAGGGGAAGCTACTGCCCACCCCATTCCCCCCTCAAGTCCACCTGTGCCTGGGAGGGTGGAACTGGGCATAGAACACGCCCTCGGGCGCCTGTGTGCATCTCCCTGAGGGGTGTCCAGTCTCGTAGGCGGTCAGGGCGGAAGTCTGTCCTGGGAGTAAACAGCTCACATCCCGTTCCTTTTTACGTCAGCGGGGAGTGATGAGACTGTCCCTACTGGGCCAGGGAAGCTGGTTCCTTCACCCTCTGCCAGTACCTACAGGCTCCTTTCCTCTCCTAAATTGGGAGGAGGCTGGCCGGTGGGCGGGAGAGTGGACACCTCTAAATGCAGAGGAGCAGGCGGGAACCACACCTGCCTCTGAGGCACATGCCAGCCAGTACGGGCTCCTCCATATCGCTCCTTTCCTCATGTTTGGGTTTCCGGGCCACACCCAGCAGCTTGGGGGCCCACATGCAGTGTGGGGACTGGTATTGGAGGGGTGCACTGCAGGTGCCTCAACCTCTGGATTTACTGTCTTTCGGGTCCCATTTGTTCTTGTTCTATGAAGAGAGCTGAGAGGCTAAGGATTGTGTTCAAAATGCTGACGTCTGCACAGCTGGCCAGCAGAAGCCGAGTAAACACCTGCCGACGGTCTCTCAGACCAGGTGCTCTCACTGTTCGGGCTAGAGTTTTTGTTGAAAGGCAAGCCAGACTCTCTGGACAGCTGATTGCCCACAAGCAACAGACACGAGCAAGAGAAATGGGGACCCCTGTCTCACGGAAGGAATGGCCAGAATGGCCATGTTTGAGGCATGGGAAAGGGTTCCAGCCTGGCAGGGGAGCAGCCCCTTCCACAGGCACCGGCCAGTAGGTGTGCAGCAGGACCAGTTTCATCTTGGGCCCCCGCCGTCTCAGGACGGAGGCCACTGGATTCTCCAGCTGCCCAGGAATGGCCCAGGGAGCACAGGCAGATCTGGGCTGCTCGCGGCAGGGGGCCTGCACTCTGAGCCTGCACCCACACAGAGCACCCGGCTCCTGGCTCAGTGAGAGGCAGCTGACGGGCAGTCGGCCCCAGGAATGGGTGGAAGGAGCAGAACGGTCGGGTTTGCAGGTGAGAACTGAGAATGCAATCTGGACTGGCCTTGCGGGAGCCTGAAGGAGGACGTGTCCTGACCCCAGAGCATTCTGCCCGACTCATCACGCCCCAGAAGGGATGGCTGCCCTCGGCCAACTGCAGTGTCCAGGTCGCTGACCCGTGAGGAAAAACCCAGACATGGATTATCTATGGAGCCCACAGATGGGAGGGTGGGGGACCTCATTAGCATCCACTCACCGGTGAGTCTCTGCATCAGGTCATTCTTTGGTAAAGAAAGCACTTCCACAAATTCTACAACGAGAAAGTGCAAGTGAGGAGAGAGCTAGGGCAGAACCCCGCACCCGGGCAGACCATTACCGCTCCCCCGCGGGGCATGGAGCTGGCTGAGTCACGCACCTCCATCTCCTGCGGAAAAACAGAAGGGCTGGTGTTAGTAAGGCCTCTGGCAACAGAGAAGGCCGCACTGCCCGGCTATTTAATCATACGCGCGGTCCAATATTCTGCCAGGTCCCTGTTCGGCCTGATGGCGAAACGGCAGCACAGTACAGCAAGTTTAAACAGGCCTGGGCTTAGCACCTTCACTGCTCTGAAAGTCCCATTTCTGGGACTGGAGAGAGAAGACAGCAAGGAGGGGCTTGCTCTGCATACAGTAGACCCAGGTTCGATCTGGGCACCCCATATTCCCGAGGACAGCAGATTACTCCGTAGAGAGTCAGGGGTGCACAGCCGCATCCCCCAAGAGTCCCACTGTCCAGGATTAGGCGCATTCTCAGGAGCAGGGCTCCCCAGCCGCATCCGCCAGGCCCCTGGCGCCAGCCAACAAGCCCTGCCTTCAGTCCCAGCAGGAAGGATGCACAGAGCATCTCCCACAGCCTGGACCATGAACGTTTGCTAGCTTGCAAATGGGACACTGCGACTGGCTGCAGCGGAATGATGGAACCTTGAGAACAACTAAATGCGCAGATTTGGGCTCTGCCTGGGGCCCACTGTGGCATGCGTGTTTGGGGGTGTCTGCCTGGGGCTCACTGTGGCATGTGTTTGGGGGTCTCTGCATAGGGCTTGCTGTGTCATGTGTTTGGGGGTGTCTGCATAAAGCTCGCTGTGGGATGCGTGTTTGGGGGTGTCTGCCTGCCTGTCTGCATAGGGCTTGCTGTGTCATGTGTTTGGGGGTGTCTGCATAGGGCTCACTGTGGCATGCGAGTTTGGGGGGTGTCTGCCTGGGGCTCACTGGGACATGCATGTCTGGGGGTGTCTGCCTGGGGCTCAGTGGCATGCGTGTTTGGGGGTGTCTGCCTGGGGCCTGCTGTGGCATGCTTGTTTGGGGGTGTCTGCCTAGGGCTCACTGTGGCATGCGAGTTTGGGGGTGTCTGCCTGGGGCTCACTGGGACATGCATGTCTGGGGGTGTCCTTGCCCGGGGCTCACTGGCATGTCTGGGGTTCTCTGCCTGGGCTTCACTGTGTGCCGGGCTCTGGTGCGAGGCCATGGAATTGGAAGAGGCATTGAAGCGCCAGAATCCAGACCTGCAGAGCAAAGCTCTTCAAGGCCACACAGGAAAGTCCGAATATGAAGCGACTGGAAAACTGACAAGCTACTGGCCTGTAGTAATGCCCAGAGCTGCGGGCTGGGGAGAGAGTGCAGGGGTGAGGGCAGCTGCAACGATTGGGGCATCTGCTTTGCACTGGGATGTGGTCAGTCATGGCTCAAGTCCCCAGCACGATCTCTGAGCAATGCCTGGGGTCACTGCCGGCTCTGCCCCAGACACAGACACAGATGGCCGCAGCCTGAGACCACTCCTCCAGCCTGTGTGAGGAGGAGGAAGGGAGTGCCCGCTTCTCGCTATGCGCTATTTCAGTCGGGCTAGTTTGAGTACGTAGGCAGTGGGAGAGGCCGTTGGACAGGCCCTCCCCTCCACCCATGCCAGCCACTCACCCGGCTTTGGCTTCGGCCTGACGTTGGCTGCGTCGTCCCCGTTGATGGTGACTGTGACGATGTGTGTGGTGCAGTTGGATAGGCCCGGGTCCAGACACACGGCTACGGGGAGGCCGACAGTCACCTCGCTGCCTGCAGCCCCAGCGGAGCGGGCAGTGGCACAGCTGGTGCTGCCCAGCCACTCCCGCATTGCCCAGACATGCCAAGGGAGGACGGCCCGACCTCGCGAGGCTGCCACTCGGGTCATGAGGGAGAAATGACCACTGAGAAGCAAAAACATCTCCAAAGTGAAGACTTTCCTCGGGGTGAGTAAACTCTCTTCCAGTTAAAAGATGGCAACACGGAGGGCCCTCGCCTGCACATGCCAACTCGGCTTCCATTCCCGAAACCCCAAAGGGCCTCTGGAGTGACCCCTGAGTGCGGAGCCAGGAGGAAGACCTGAGTGCCGCCGGGTGTGGCCAAACCCCCTTCCCACTGGACCACAGCTCTGGCCCCCCAAGCTCAGTCTCTGGTCATGGGAGAGGGACATCGGCCCTGTAAGAACCCATGGAGCCCCCAAAGCTGCGGTGACCCCCAGAGCATGCAACAGTGTGGCAGGCCCCTGCCCCGGGCAGTGACACCAACCTGGAGAGCATTCGGCGATGTCCCCTTTGTAGCCCGTTTCCTCCTCCAGCTCCCGCAGAGCAGCTGCTTCTGGGCTTTCGTCACCATCTATGAGGCCTGGAAGGACCCGGGTGGGGGTTGGGGGCGGGCACTGTGATGAGTCCCGTGTGAGGGGCAGCGGCAACCCCTCCCCAGGGCAGCCCCCAAGGGAGGGGAGGAAGGAGTGGCTGCTGTGACGGGGAGGACGGAGCCTCTTGGAGAGGAGTAAAAACGCAATGCACGGTGCCCTGAGCACTGCCAGGTGTGGCCCCAGACCCCCTCCGCTTCCCAAGAAAGTCCCAACAGAAACCCCCTGAAAGTGAGATCTCAGCATGCAGGCACTTGGCAGGGCACTCCCTCTCCCGGGGAGACCAAGCAGACTCGGGGAGCGTCTTGCTGTGGTCAGGCTGTGGGAAACACTTAGTGACAGTGAAGCCAGACCCCGTCCCGAAGCTGGGAGCCCCCCCGCTAGGCACTGAGGCGGGTGGGTGGGGTCACCCCAGGTCTGGGGTGGTGCCTGGTGGCCGCTATGGCAGGAGAGCCACAGGGAGCAGCACGGGCTCAGCCCCCCTACAGGGATCACCTCCTACCCCGGGTCTCACACACCTGCGGGGAACTCCAGGCAGTAGCCTCCCATGGGCGGGCGGAACTGCTTCACCAACACGATACACTCGTAATGCAGGGTCCGCTGCAGCACCGGGATGATGGACACGCCTGTGCGGGGAGAGAGGACGAGGACCCCGGCTGAGGGCCTGGACGTGCCGCCCCCATCCAGGCCACTGTCTGCCGTGTGCTGACATGGAGAACGTAAGTCACACTGCCAGCACTTGGTGTTGGAGCTGCTCTTACCGAAGGCAGCAACTTGAGAACAGCCAGCTGGTAATACTGCTCTTCCTCTATATACACACTGCCCACAACTGCCTTAAAGGCAAATCACAGCGGCTAGGGATGGCCAGCCCGGCTCAACCCCTGTACCGCATCCGTCCCCCAACCCCACCAGGAATAATCCTGAGCACAGAGTCAGGAGTAGTCCCTGAGCGCCAAGCGGAACCAGAATTAAATGGTTAGCGTGGGGTGATGGACACTGAGCCCCACATAGACCATGCTTCGGCTCTGGGCAGACTGACCCCACGCCATGTGACTCTGGCCTCCGTGTCCTCAAAGCAACCAATTGACGGTTTGCTCTCGCGAGAGACCGATAAGCTGTTTAAGAATAAAGACCCTTTGCCCCCAGTTCTTGGCCTGGAAACCAAATGCAACATCCCCCAGAAGTAAGAAGGTGCAGGCGCGGCACCTACAAGGTCCAATTCTGGGGAAAAGGGGCAACGAAACAGAGAGCGGAAGGGGGGAAGCATGGCCCACTGCCCCACCTCTGGGCAGAGCGGTTCTCAGGGAAGCTAACCCAGCGGACAGTTTTCTCCTGATCCATTTCCCCATCAATGCACAAAGCTTAAAGTGGGGCCAAGCCCCCCCTCCCAAGGAGCCCCGTCCCCAAGGAGCGGCTGGAGGTCCTTTGTTCGAAATGAAAAGGGCTTCTGGAAGTCAGAACCTTCCTGGGCACGCAGCACGTGGCTTCAGGCCACGTGATCTGTGATCGGCGGTAGAGCATCACTACCGCATCCCTTCAGAGACACTTGGCAGGACCCGAGTGAGTGAGGAAGCTTGACTCAGTCTCGCAGCCAGCAGAGGAGGTCGGGTGGGAGTTAAGAGCCCATCGCTGCCCCGAGCCGGGGCCACCTACCGTCAGCCGACTGTCCTTTCCGAGTGGTTCGCTTCACAGTCTCCCAGGTTCTGTGCAGGCGGAGAAGACAGTCATCAGCGAGGCAGAGTCGCGGGGTCCCGCGCGCAGCCCCACCTTCACACACACCAAGCGTGCAGATGGGGACAAAGCCCAGAGGGCCAGCCCGGGGTTCCGAAAAGGACCCCAGGGAGCCAGGCCTCGGGGACACCCTGCCCAGTCGCATCAAGCCCACAGGCCGGCCGGGGCAGTTTCCCGCCCCTCACCTGAGATGCCCTAGAGGTGGCCGGCGGGTTACTGGCCGCGGAATGACCCGGCCTGCATGTAAGCGAGGGAGGAGAAACGGCTACGCTCTGCCCAGCGCTCTGCTTGGCTTCTCCTTCATGGGAGCCACAGGCATGGGGCCGTGGGGGTATCGGGCCCATTGGGTGACAGGGGAGAGACGGGAACCGGGGTGCGGGCGTGGGGCTCAAGGAACTCTGTCACTAGGAACCCAGCAAGTTTCTATTTAAAAATTAATAAAGTCCCCCCCCCCCAACGTTTAATATACTTATAAATTAACAAACACCAGACCTCTGTGTGGGCCAGAGCGAGATAGGAACGAGGACAGGTGCTGTATGAGGCTCTGCCACAGTCCCCGCACAACATGGCCTCAAGCTCGGCCAGGGGTCACTCTGCAGCACTGAGCTACTTAGCCACAGAGAACGGCCAGGTGCGGCCCCAGAACACGGACGCTGTGGCCGGGGGAGTGGCGCGGTGGCGGGGCAAGCGTGTGGCATGTTTGAGTCTCCGGGCTCGGCCCCTGCTCCACAGCAGGTCCTTCATCACCGCACCCAGCCACCCGCGACGGCCACAGGTTCTGTGGCGACCCCCAGCGCCCCAACATTCCTGTTAGTAGCAGAACCCAAGCAGCCACAGTCAGTCAGTCAGCGACAGGCCACCGAACTCGGCACCTCTGCACAGGCTCTCTGCCGCCTCAACAGGGGAGTCCCGAGCGACGCTGAAGGAGACAGTGGTGGAGAGGGACAGGGGTCCCATCCCCCATGGGCTAGGAACAAGGAAACAAGAGACAGGGGCTCAGGATTCCAGAGTTCCCAGGAAGTCAGCAGTCACAAGGCCTGCGGGCCGCGCAGCATCGACGCTCTGTGAGAAATACCGGGTCTGTGAGAACCTCAGCCATGTGAGAAACCCCGGCTCTGTGAGAAACACCGGGTCTGTGAGAACCCTAGCTCTGTGAGGAACACTGGCGCTGTGAGAAACACGGGTTCTGTGAGAAACCGGGGCTCTGTGAGAAACCCCAGCTCAAGCGGACCCTCCCTTCCGTCACCTCAGCCGACCCCTGCAGCCTTGACTGGAGGCCGGCTAAACCCAGGCCCGCTGTGACGGCATCGAGCCTCTCCTCACTGCAGCCAGCGCGACCAGAGAGGGGAAGGCTGCCTTCGCCTTCCTCGCCCCTTTCAGCCAGCTCAAAGTGGAAGGGGACCGGAGGTGACAATGTCAATGAAGGTGCCCGGGGACAGCCCGTTTCCACGCCTTTGAATCTGAGAACTCTCGTTGCTGCTGTGCCCTGTCGGTGATGGACCAAATACTGGGTGAAGCCCAGCTGGAAAGGGCAGCGCTGCCTGCCACCACCACCCCCCATGCCTGACCTCTCGGGAAGAGGGGAACTGACACAGGGACGGACACCCAGAATCCTGGCGCTGTGGCAGGACCCGAGACTGAACAACCCCAAACCCCACGTGACTCTGGCGCTAGGTCCCGAGGCAGGAAGGGTGGGAGGCGCAAGGGTGTGAGGGAAGCCGGTGCTGAGTCACTGAATCCAACAACTCTCAGGGACGGGCCCCTCAGGCCCCTCCGTCTCTGTCTAGACCCGCATGGGCAGAGGACGCCTGACGGCAGCCCAGGACTCCTCTGACACACCTTCTCTGTGTCTCCCTGATGTCTTTTTTTTTTTTTCCTTTTTGGGTCATACCCGGTGATGCACTCAGGAATTACTCCAGGCGGTGCTCGGGAGACCATATGGGATGCTGGGAATCGAACCCAGGTTGGCTGCGTGCAAGCAAACGCTCTACCCACTGGTGCTATTGCTCCAGCCCCTTCCTGATGTCTTTAACCCACTGTATCACCCGTCGTTCCGGGGGAGTGGAGTTCATCAGAGGCTGGTTGTGCCGAGGACAGATGTGTCTCCCAAATCCTCTGCCCCCCTCCCCCATCACAGGAACCTCTACCAGTTTGGGCTACACCCGGGGGGACTCAGGGATCACTCAGGGTACTGCTTGGGGGACCCTAAGGGGTGCCAGGGATTGATTCCCAGTTAGCCACATGCAAGGCCAGCACCCTGCCTGCTCTACTATCACTTCAATATTGACAAATGGAACTTTTATAAGAATCAGTGTCTATAAGGTAATCTAGACACTACATTTAGTGATGTTCTCAGATTGTCTCAATCTGCCTTAAAAAAAATTTTCAAAGATAAGTAATTTATCTTAACGCTTTTTTTTCCTGGTTATAAAAAAACTAAACGGAAATTTTAGAAGAGAAAAAAAAAAGACAATCACACAGCTGCCGTTACTCTGTTGCTAGTTTTCTTTCTAGTTTTTGCTGATAATTCCATTTAAATGGCGTAATGCAATTTTCTATTTGCTTATCAACTTGCATACTTTTCCCACATTGCTAGCTCGTCTCCACAATCTGCTTTGCAGGCGGCTGTTGTGGATTTTACCAGGTGAATACATGCAGCACTTCCTGTTTCTAAGATGCTCAGGTTGTTTTCAAGTTTTTCACTTTAAATTCTGATGAACAATTTCCATATATAAATGTGAAAGTAAGGGAGAGTCACCTTAGCACAGAGCTCAGAGTGGGGTCATGAGGACAAAGGGTCTAATACCTCCATGTTTGGTGGTTCTGTGTGTGTGCATATGGCGGGCTACTGGTACAGACTGTGAACTACCTTACCGCATTTTTCCCAATTAACATTTCCATGTGCAAAGTAGAAGCAAATAAAACCCAAGTTTCCCTCAAACCCAGTAATGTTCTCTGGAATTCCCCTAATTTAAAGATGAAAAACTAGGTGCTGGGGAGCTCCTCAGAGGGTGCAGTTAATGCTTGGTTGGAGCAAGGCTCCCAGTTTGGCCCTCACACCGCCCTCCATGGGCCTCTGGGCCAAGTCCTGTAGGGAGTGACACGTCCCCTACTGGATGCCTCCCTCTCTCTAATAAATTTAAAACAGATTAAAAGTAGTTTAGAAGTATGCAACCAGTACCAATAGCTTTTCTGCTTTATCAACCAAGTTAGGTTCAGAGCAAATTCTCTGTCTACACGAATCTGCTGAGGCCAGATGGTGTGACATTAGAATCCTGATTGCTTATTGTCTTCTACATTTAAGAGATTAATTCCACCTTGGCATAATTAGACATACAAAACACTGATAATGGGAAAACACCCAAATTATTTAAAATGAGTTTACAATGAAGAGAGGCGGCCTGGAAATAGGGGAAAATTACAACGAGGAAAGTCGTAAAGTTTCTGCCAAAGCCCAGAGACGCAGAGAACCCCGAACCAAGCACTTTACAAAAGGTGAAAGAAGTTTACCTTATTTTACCGGTAGGATCCATGTAAGTTGTTTTTTCAAGTTTGACCCATTTTCCTTCTGAAATCAACTAAAAGGAGATCAGACAGTTAATCTGGCACCTCTCAAACCCAGCAGCTGTTTGTGCAGGTGTCTGCATGCCCATGAAGACTCCACGCAGCTCTCCCTAGCTCGTGTGTGTGTGTGCCCATGTGCATAGGTATGTGTGCATGTGCGTATTTGTGTGTGTGTGTGTGTGTGTGCGCGCACATGCACTTTCAATTCTAAGCAGGAAACACAATGTTTTCAGCTGGGGCATTTAGGAGGGAATCCTAGAGGTAGAGCCCCAAGACAGTATAGATCAGGGAAGGGAGTGGATAGGACGCGGCGTGTAGGGAGGAGAGCATGTAGGTTGGGGGAGTTGCTCGGTGCTGGCTTCTGAGCGAGCACCAGTCACAGGCATGCTGAGCTCATGGACAGTTCAATGGTATCTTACTGACAAGGCCTGCAGGAGGGCTAAAGGGGGACTCCGGCACCCCCAGGTTTCCTACCCATCTGCGGGGCAGGACTAAGCTACTCAAGGTGCTTGTCTTAAACTGAGACCGGGCTAAGCCACCTGGGACACTACTCTGAACTGAGGCAGGACTAAGCGACTCAGGGCACTTCTCAGAACTGAGGCAGAGCTGAGCCACCAGGGCACTCCTTAGAACTGAGGCAGGACTAAGCCACCTGGGCGCTTCTCTGAACTGAGGCAGAGCTAAGCCACCCTGGTCGTCCTCGGAACTTGAGGCAGGGCAAAGTCACGAGGGGCGCTTCTCTGAACTGAGGCAGGGCTAAGCCACCCGGGCGCTCCTCGGAACTGAGACTGAGTCACACTGTGTCCCTGGGCAAGTCTGCTCTCACTAGCCTCCCTTCCACTCCCTGGCAGCAGCACATCTGAATAATGCCCCTGTCTGTCCCACCAGCATGGAATAGGCCTTAAATCCGACAGCCGTTTCTCTGTGTCCCCACAGAGGCAGGCTGGAGAGGACAGGGCTAAGGCACTTCCTCACAGGCTGCTGACCCCGGGACCCCTGGCAGCACAGGGCGAGACCAGAGTGCCAGGCTGCATGGTCTGAGATGGAGTCAAGGTGACGGTTCCTTCGGGAAGACTCTGCTCGGTAGCTACCTGGAGTCGCAGACGCACTGTTTGTTGAAAACTGACAACATGGCTGCAACTGTTCTTGAACACCCAGGCTGGGACGGCAGTGGCGGGATGGGAAGCCCACGGTGGAAATGACTCAACCCGAAGGCTCGTGCGTGGCTCATTCTTCCACTGGGGAAGGTTCTCACGTGAATAGAAGTGGTTGTGACTAAAACCATCTGCGTCCCTAACGCGTATAGTGAAGGGGGGTCACTCTAGGAGCCAGAGCCAAAGGACAGCGGGGAGGGCGCTAGCCTTGCCCGGGACTGGCCCGGGTTCGATCGCCGGCATCCTGTATTGTTCCTTTGGTGCTGCCAGGAGTAATCCTTGAGTTTGGAGTCAGGTGATAAGCCCTGAGCACAGTCAGGTGTGACACACCAAACCCAAAACAACACTTAAAAAAAAATGCTTCTGATCCCAAAAAGGGAGCAATGACAATGCTCATTACTGTCATCTGTAGGGAAGGGATATGTGGGGTTCGGGTCACACCTGGCAGTGCCCAGGGCTTCTTCCCCATCCCTGTGCGGTTCAGAGGGATTCCAACCAGGGCCAGGCCATACAAGGAAAGCATCTTAACCCCTGTCCCCTCTTTCCGACCCCACCCCATACTGACTTTAACTAAGAAACGGCCTTTGAACCAACACACCTGGGCACTTCTTCAGGACTCGATGTGAGAAGGGGGCGGGGGGGGGGAGGGGGGAAGCTTTACCTCCTCGGAAATAATAGTCTGTCTGGAGTTCTGCGAAGAAATCGTTTCCTGGTTTTCCATTTTCAAACCAGTTGGCCTCGTTTCTCAGGTGAGAGAAGATCGCACTGCAAGAGAACGAGCGACATCTGTGAGAACGTTCAGCAGGCCGAGTGTTCGTCCACAGCCACAGGGAAAAGCAATTAAATGGCAAACGAGGGGCCCCAGAGCCAACCAGCTGCTGCTGAGGGCAGGAAATGGCTTGATCCCTGCGGCAACACCAGGGGCGACTCCCCAGCCAGGGCCAGGAGAGCCTCAGCACTGTCGGATGTGACCCCCTAATCAAGAAGACCCCACAAAACCTATGTGTTACTGAAACTCTGTCGTGGGAAGACCTGGGTCGGCCGTGGAAAGTCAGGACGAGGTCGGCAAGTGCGTGCAGGAAGGAGCTGCCTGCCCGAGGGGCCCAGCCACTCCCTCCACCCCTGGGAAATGTGACCAGGTGTCTGGAGCCAAACCTTAAGGCCTTTCCTGGCAGAGAGCTGGAAGGTGCTGGAAGGTGCTGGAAGGATCTAGACCTCTTGGGACCACTGCTCAGCTATGTCCAATCTCCAACCCCCTCCCCCCAGAAGCTTTCTCAGACCCCTCTTTTTAACACTCGTTAATCTCATAAAACCTAAAACTTTCTTTCCAAATGAGCGTATAGATTTGCCACTGGTCGACACTAAGCGTGGGGTGCACTGTTCCAGTCCTCCCTGTGAGGAAGCCCCAGTGGGCCCCGTCCCCTCCCATCCTCACCACCACCAGTGTTTTCTCAGTCTCAAAGTTCCTTTGGCTGAGCTGTGTCAGTTCAGTTTTGTTTACACATTGTGCGTGAAACCGCCCAGTCCCTGTCTTCCCTTCCCTGGATGACTGCTTAACACAATCACCTCAGGTCCCTACTGCCTTCCTTGAGAGGCTTCCCTTAGGTCAGAGCCCAGTGTTGGTCCAGCTTCTCGTCCTGGTCCCATACCTTCGGGACCTCTGCATGTGTCCTAAGGAAACCCACTGTCTGAAGTTGGAGCCCGATGGCCCCCGTTTGGCTGCGTGTGAGGTAACACCACACAGCCAACGGTATTGATAATACTGTGAGGGAGGTGTGAGGGAGGGCGTGGACTCCCAGGCTAACGGCTACAATCCATTTCCTCTAGCTGGGGAGATTCCTTCATTGGTGGAACCTGCGTGGTCTACAAACAGCTTTTCTACCTGCAAAGCTGACTGACGGTATGGCTGTGTCTGGAATTATAGGCTGAAAAGAAGGTTCTTTTAGAAATTTGGAGGCAGTTCCCAGCCCAGCCCCCGTTTCTCCTAGAATGACGCTGATCTGCCACGCCTAAACCAAGGGAAGCTCTGATTCTGGTGCCCTTCAAGAGCTGTGACTCTCCCCTTCCCAGCCCTCCACGGCAAGGCATCCCTCAGCATTCCCAGGTGTACTGTTTCTATCAGGTGTACTGTTTCTATCCCCCAACTCTGCCCGGACTCCTATCTCCTACTGGGGAGGAAATCTTTCCCACTTTCTACCAAGTGTCCTACCTCCTGGACACTTGGTTTTACTCTTCTGGTGTCTTGAGTCGCGCCTGGCTGTTCTTGGGGGTCCTCCCGACAGCTCTCAGGGGACCATGGAGCCTGGGACGGAACCGGGACCCTGTGCAGAGACTGCACGCGCTCAGCCCACTGGGCAGTCTCTGGCCCAACACACACTTCTCTTTCCACAGCCCGACTCTTGACACTGGTCACACACACACACACACACAAAACCCAAAAAATGACTGCTCATGTCACAGGGCGCGAAACTCTGGGTGTGGTGAAGGACGAACTCCAGGCAGACCACTCCGTGCTGAGAAGCAGGCGAGCCTGGGCCTGCTGCGGCTGGTTCTCAAGAATATGCCCCATCTGCTTGTCATTATGTGATTAAGGGAGTTAAAAACTCAATTTCAAAACTATCTTGGCACACAGTTGAAAGACGCATGCTTCCTGATTTCCATCAAAGCAGAAGATCAACGATCAACTGCCTTTCCTGAGAGCGCCCGGGCAACTCAACGGGTGTGCATGGGAGGGGCGAGGACAGTCCCTCCTCAAATGGAACCAGACACACAGGCACAGGAAGGATGCTGAGCCTCTACGTTACACTGTGTGTAAAGAAACCACCCCCTAATGGCTCAGAGACCAGGTGTAAAACTAACCTTCCTGATCCTGTGCTGGAGAAAGGTCAAGGGGCTGGAAGCATCTCTGTAGTGGGAGGCCCCTGGGTCACAAAGACTCTGGTGCAACCCCCATACTGCTGAGTAGCACCCCTCCCCCAAACTCAACCAAACAAAAACCCAAACCCCCAAATCTTCATGATCTTGGATGAGGCAGTATTTTCTAGATACAAAATTATGGCACAGCAACCAAAGAAAATTTTGGACTTGAGCAGAATGAAACACTTTTAGGGGTCGGAGCGCTAAGGAGGGCCAGTGCTTGGGGGCGAGTGTGTGCCTTGTACCTGGCACTACACCTGGTCTCCTGAGCAGAGTCTGGAATAGTCCCACCCTCAAACCCCTCCCCCCCCCAAAAAAAAACCAACCAAAAGCGTATCCTTTATTCTTCAAAGGATACTGCCAAGAAGAGTGAAAATAAAACAAAAAAAACTCACAAAATGGGCAAAAATGATAACCCCATAGGAAACTTGCACTTGAAATATGTAAAAATAAACCTCATACAAAACAGTAACCAAAAGACAGCCTAACAGAGAACAGAGGGACAGTACGGGGCAAAGGTCCCAGCCTTGCAGAGCATTAGTCCATGCCATGGAACAGAGTATCCATCCTCGGAAAGAAACCAAACACGGTTTCACGGACCAATGAAATGCCACCACATGGGTGGGCCCTAGAAAGGCTGCAAAAGGCAGGACAGGCTGAACCATGTGACTTCAGGGGGTCCCAGAGAGGCAAATCAACCGACAGAAAGTGGATGAGCTGTGGCTGAAGGAAGGTGGAGGGCCTCTGAGCTCTTAAAGGAGGAACCCCAAGAAGCAGGATTTTACAGTTCAAAGGGTGACTGTATGTGGGGCTGGAGCTAGTACAGCAGGGAGGGCATCTGCCTGGCATATCGCAAAGCCAGGTTCGGCCCCGCAGCCCATAAGGTTTCCTGGACACTGCCAGCAATTACTCCTGGGAGCTGAGTCAGGAATTATCCCTGCGCATCATGGGTGTGGCCCCTAAACCAAATAAGCCCCAGGAAGGTGGACATGATCGTGGTGATACCCATGATCACATGGGGGGGCGGGGGTTGTTGTCAAAAGCTGACGAAGGCCCTGGCTCCCTGAAAGTGGTAGGCAAGTGTCCCTGAGCTTTGGGGCTAGTCTCCGGAGCGTCACTATGCTCCACTGGGCCTTTCTGCTGTACAGAAGTGATTTCATTTAATACAGTATTATCAATACCATTGCTCTGAAGATTTTTCCTTGGTGGGGCCAGGGCGATAGGACAAAGGTAGGGTGCTTGCCTTTTATGTGGCCAACCTGGGTTCGATCCCCAGAACCCCATATAGTCCCCTGAGCCCCACCAGGAATGACCCCTGAGCACAGAGGCGGGAGTCACCCTGAGCACTGCTGGATGTGGCTTGAAAGCACAAACCAAAATCAAAAGCTTGTTCCAGGATGCTTGGCCCCATGGCGCGGGTGTGACAGCTGGCGGTCCCAACCACATGGGGTGATGCGGTGGCGGTGGGTGGCACATGGTGCTGAGCACCAAAGCCAGGGTCTGGCATGAGCCTGTGTCCTGCCCGGAGCTTGGCCCCACCCCTGGCAGTGATTCCTCTGGAAGCACCTGGGGTGAGACAGTGCTTGGTTCTCACAGGCAGTCTGCAGGATCCCAGGCCGAGAGGCGCGGTGGCCACGTGACAGGTCAGCCCAGGTCTCAGCGGGGAGTGGCTGCCTGCCTGCACCTGCACCGCTGCGCCCGCATCAGGAGCCTGATCTACCTGGATCTTCCTCCCCACGTTTGCTCCCTTCTGTCAGGGACACGCAGCAGAGAAGGAGAGCTCCCTCCACTCTCAGACCCGACAGAGAAACCGGCCTTTCGAGCCGAGTGGCATTCAGGGTACAGGAGAGACAGCAGCGAAACAGTGGGGCGGGTGAAGCCAAAGGCCAACTGTGGTGTCAAAAGTGAGTTCACGCCAAACTCCTTTTCGACACACCAACCCTGAACCTGGGAACGCGGCCTGGGCAAGAGAAGCAGCAGTGAAGGCAGAGCGCAGTCATCCTGAATTTTCTCTGCGAAAAAGGTTTTCCATCTTTGGCTTCTCAGAAAGTCAGGGCCGGGGTCTCTTTGGCCATTTCTACTTGCGACCCCTTCTCACCCCAGACGTTTTTCCAAGACTTTAGGATACAAGCCAAGTCTACAAGACACTTACTGATAAGAAGCCATAAAGGAGTCACACATTTATATTTAAAAACAAAACCTTCACATTCTCTTTTTTTTGCTTTTTGGATTACACCTGGCGATGCTCAGGGGTTACTCCTGGCTCTGCACTCAGCCTTGGTGCTCGGAGGACCATGTGGGATGCTGGGAATCAAATCCAGGTCGGCGGCATGCAAGGCAAACGCCCTACCCTCCGTGCTATTGCTCCAGCCCCCACGACCCCTACATTCTTGACGTGACTCACAAGGGGTTGGGCGCCAGTTTCCTAAGGGAGGGCGGAGTGCATCTAATTCAGAAGGCCCCGCGCCTCTCCCAGGGACAGGGACATTCTCCCAAGTCAAAAGACAACGTGAAGTCACTTATCTGCTCCTTCAGGCCCCTTACGTGTCTTACAGATTTTAAAAGTGCTGTTTTTGGTCGCAAAGCGAGAAAAATCAAACTTAAAATAAAGAATGTAATTAAAACTCAAGCAGGGACCATGATTCACAGTGTTCCACAGAGAATCTCAAAAGTCCCACTGAGCCATTAGCATCCAAGGCCCAGGTGACCCATCAGAATCCCTGCTCTTGAGAAGGTGAGGCAACCCAGGGTGCCCCGCTTTCAGAACTGCATATACAGCACCTGCTTCCAGCCTGAGGCGGGGAACAGGCAGCAGAACACGGACAGAGGAACCAGTAGCGCACCCTGAAAGGAATTGATCCAAAGTGACCGGTTTCTGCCTGAATAACTTCCAGACTGTGTGGCTGGTGAAGTTAAGCTCAGGCAGGTTCAAGATGGTCTGTCTTGGCTGCGAGTGAAGGCAGAAAAGCCAGCAGAGCCAAGAGGGGCGGGAGGGAGCGTACAGAGTTTGAAGCACTCACCTTGACCGTGGCCGAGGCGGGTTTGATGCCCGTTATTCAAGAGAGCCTAAGAGAGCCAGGAATAAGCCCTAAGCACTGCCAGGTGCCACCCCAACGCCAAGATATTATCAGTAATAGTGAATAAAATTAACAAAAGGAACAAAGAACCTACAACGACAGTTATAATTATTAATCTTAAGGAATCTATCATTTATTGGTTATAACCACACACACGCAAGACAATTTTGCAATTTTTCCCTTGTGCCACGTTTCAAATCCTGCTTTTCTTTGCTGACAAGGACCCTCAGACAAGGAAGATGTTAACGCTGGCAAGTCACTGTTCTCTTTCATTTATGCTAGGTGTGGCTGGCAGGTGGGCAAGGAGGGACTCGATCTTTTACTGAATTATGCTAGTAGGTGATTGAGCATCATTCTGAACAGATGACTCAGAACTGTTAGCTCAGGCTTAGCAGGAGAGCTCCCCCAAGTGACCCTTGAGAAGGTTACTTATTACAGCCACACAGGAACAAAACGGAGATAGAATCTGACCTAAAGGCTGGGAGCCTTGGCAAGGAAAAATTTAATACCCTGCCCACAGTGACATATCCCACATTCCTGAAACTTGCTCTTTCAGGGGCTAGAAGCTGATTGGGAGATGGTCTTAACAGAGCTTGAGGCAAGAGAAAGGGGCGCAAGAGGATGCAGATCTGAACTCCTTGACTTCCAGCTAGCGGCAAGACAGCTCCAGGAGAGCAAGGGGGAGCAAGAGAGGCAGCTGAGTTCAGACGGCTGCAACACACGTGTATGGCTGCAGCACACGTGTACATATATCCGGGTTTGATTGCTGGCAGGACAGTTCCCTGAGCACAATCTGGTCTGCGCACCCCCACCCCTCCACCCCAGCACTTCCAAGTGAAGAAAACTGGTAGGTACCAATCTAGTTGTTTAAGTATTTAAAAGAAAAATCTTTTTCCATTATTTAACCTGTAATTACATACTGCCCCCCACCAATTCCTTCCCATACATGAGAAAAAGCTGTTCTTCCTCACTGTAATGCTTTTTACTAAACTGAAGGAACCTGGATCAAAGCTATCACGTCATAGCTAAAGAGTCAAGACAAACCAGGTGGCTAGAAAATAACAAAGGAATTGAGCCAGCTCCATTCAAGGGCTAGGTGCTTTTGGCCCCGGGCTAATGATGCTGGTTAAATGTGTAACAAATTGGGGAGCGAGGAGCCCAGGATCAAACACAGGCCCTCGGAAAAACCAAAACCGCTACCCTTCAGCCCTATAGCTATTTCTCAGGCCAAGCTATCGCGCTGAGCAGCGTCTCAACCAGCATCCGGCGCCTCTCGAACCCCGCAGTTTCTAGGATTTTAACGCCCCGACCTCGCCCAGAGTAGGTCCTTCATTCCAGCGTCCTCCTCCATTCCTACCCACTCCAATCTTCAACAGAAAACGTTTCATCCACAGTCAGGCCCTCAGTTCCAACTTGGTTTCCAGGGCAGATGTTTAGTTAGAAGCCCCTAAGCAACACCTGGTATTCCCCCCCCCCCCAGCCCATCCCCAGCAAGGGTAACATTGTAACCGATTCACATCTGCTAGGAAACTGTATCTTTCAAAGCAAAGCGCGGGACAAAAACCTGTTAGCCGGCTATTTTCCGACAAAAGGAAGCAATAAGGCAGAGCATATTCCCGTGGGGGGCTCGATGCCGGAGAGAGGGGGGTCCCCCTCCCCCGGAGAAGCCCCCGCGCAGGTGCTAGCCCCGAGTCCGCCCGACTCTAAGCAGGGGCCCGCGCAAGTGCCAGGCTCGTCTCCCGAGGCAGAGGCAAGGCTCCGAGTCGGCAGTGATTTTTTCCATCCCTTTACCCAAACCAAAAAAGAACTTTCTTCAAATCCCGCCTTCTGGTCGCCCCCGGCGCCGGGGGGAGCGCGAGGGGCGGGAAAGGGGGCGCGCGGGACCCTCCCAAGCCGCTGGCCCCAGGACCCTGCAACAGGGGCTGCCCCGAGAGCGCCTCCAGCCGGGCCCTCCCCCGCGCCCCGCAGCCGCTCCCAGACCCGTGCCCGCTTACCCCCTGCCCGGAACGCGCGCCCGGGCGCCCAGTGCAGCCACTGCAGCTGTGCGCACCCCCTTCCCGCCTCCCCGGGGCCCCGCGACCCCTCCCAGGGACCTACTCCGAGGTGCTCCCGCGGGCGGAGGGCGGCGCGGCGGGCGCGCGGCAGCAACCTCCCGGGGCGCCGAGGCTACAGCGGGACGCGCGGCCGCATCCCGCGGAGGCAAGCTGTGAACGCGCGGCCCCTCCCGGCCGCCGTAGCTGCCCGCGCCGCCGCGACCCCGGCTGCGGGATTCCCTTCCGGGTCAGCGCGGCGGGGCCGGAAGTGGCGGCGCAGGTGTGCGGGCGCAGGTGTGCGCGCCGCCGTGGCCGCCGGGGCGTCGAGGCCGGACGCGCGCTGCCGGCGGGACGATGAAGAAGGAGCAGGTGCTGCACTGCCAGTTCTCCGCGTGGTACCCGCTCTTCCGGAGCCTGACCATCAAGAGGTGACGCGGGGCGGGAAGGGCTCGGCCTGGCCCCGAGCGGGACGTCGCCGCGCTTGCTGCCGGAAAGCCGGCAGCTGGTGACAGTCCCGCCCGGGCTGGTTAGGGCCGGTGGTGGGCAGCCCGGGGAACCCCTCCCCGCCTGGCGGCGCCCGCAGTTCGGGTCCTGGGAGGCGACGCCGCGGGAGGACCTCCTGCAGAGCCCCCGGAGCGACTTGGACATCCGCGTCCGGGACGGAGAGCAGAGACTGGCCGTCCGCCACCCCCTCCCCTCCCCCGGTTGCAGCGGTCGCGGCTCCGGCACCGGGACTGCAGTGTGGCTGCAGAAGGAGGGGGATCGGCTGGAAAAGTTGAGCATCTCCGTTTTGCTCCCTCGCCCGCTCCAGGCTCGCTGCAAGCTGCCCACATCTGCTTTGGCTCCAGCCGTAGAGGCTACATGATGCACCAGGCCTGGGGGCTTCCTGTCCCGTCCCCCACCCCCCAGTCGATGACGTTGAGCCATCCATACCTTTCGAAATCGATTCTTTACTTTTTTGATGGGGGGGGACACACATCTGGTGGTGCTCAGGGCTTCCCCCCGGCTCAGCATTCAAGGATCTCTCAAGGCGGTGTTAAGGGAGCCCATATGGGATGCCGAGTAGCGAACTTGGCTCTGCCACGTGTAAGGCAACCGCCTTCCCTGCTGTACTGTAACTCAGGCTCCTAAATCTTTCTGTTTGTCCAACGTGGAAGTTAGATTGACTAGTCTCCTAAGGCCCACACGGGTGGCCACGGTCATCTCCTAAATGCCAGGGAAGGCCCTGTGTGAGCAGAGAATAGCACGCTCTGAACATTTTTGTGGGGCACCAAAATGTGTAATACACAGAGCATATTTCAAGTTGTTGACGTTCAAGTGACTGTCAGAAGCAGGCTGTAAATGGCTATACTTACCTCTTTATTATTACTGTTGGGCTTTTTTTCTTTGACCGTGCTGAGGATTAAACCCAGACCTTGGTGAGTGTAAGGCAAGTGCCCTAGAGCCGTTTGACACATGTTTTGGGTTTGTTTTGAGACCACACCTGGTGGTGCTCAGGGGTTACTTCTGGTTCTGATCTTAGGGATCACTCCTGGCAGTGGTCGGGGGGATCATATGGGGTGCTGGGGTCACATCCCAGTTGGCAAGGCAAACGCCCTACCTGCTGTGCTATCACTCTGGCCCCTGTTTTATGTTTTTCTAGAAAGGGATATATGTATTCTTTAGGGTCAAAATAATAGCATTCCTTTCAGATATCTGTGCCAGGGCTTTGGGAAGGGGACAGAGCCATGTTGCTTAGGGGGATTTAGAGGTACTGGGGATCGAGCCCGGGGCTCCCACATGCAAAGCTGTGCCCACCCCTTAGAGTCCCCTCCCTAGCGCCTGTGTCCTGGTATTTTGACGGTTCATCAGAGTGAGAGGCAGATGTCCTACCCTGAAGTTTCTCCCTGGTCCGACTTGACCTTGCTCTCCCTTCACTCTGATGAGGGCACGTAGAACGGGGAGCCCTGGGAGAGGCGTTTCTCTCCCTGCTGGTCTCAGAAACGAGGTGCCCCCAGCCTCCACCGCCAGCAGGCTCATAGACTGGCAGCTTCACTGTGCCCTTCCCATCTCTCCCTGCTCGACAGGCCCCGAACCTTCTGACATTGTTACTCCTGCCATACCACTTTGGCCTCATTCCCGGGTGGGGCTCATTTGGTTGGTTTCCCCGACCCGGACAGTTGGGCTGATTGCAGAAGCCTCATGTGGTGGCCGCGCTGCTCCTTCTTGTTAAGTTTCTGTCTGCTGGTACCCAGGCAGTATCACAAACCGCGCTCCCTTTATATTAGAACGAAAGGAATGAATCATTCACAAGTCGCTCAAGCTCGGATGCCTGGCTCTGCCATGGTGGGTCTTCCGGGAGTGACCTGCCCTCATGTGCGCTTTCTCCTCCAGTGTCATCCTCCCGCTTCCCCAGAATGTGAAGGATTACCTCCTGGATGATGGGACTCTGGTGGTCTCAGGCAGGTAAAGTAGCGGAGAAAAAGTTCTTGAACTTTATCCTTAAGACATGTCAAATTGGATCTCGCCCTGACCATGTGAAACAAATGTGTTAGCCTTAGTGCTTTTCTCTGCTGCATTCTGTCTGATTCCCTGTTTCTCGGTGGTGGGGGGTGTGTGTGTGTGTGGCGGGGGGACACTCTGGGCTGTGGAGCTTGTTGGGGTCGCACTCAGTGATGGAGGTGGTGCTGGGGCTTGAACTCTGAGCCACATTCCTGCTGAACCTCACCCCCGCACTCTCCTCCCTTCCCCCATGGTGAGAATTACCATTGCTCACTAGTGCTCCTGAGTCCTCAACAGTGCTCAGTTAGTTTCATCTGACGGTGCTGTGGAGCAAGGAGAATGGAGACACGTAGAGTGTCTCCCACAGCCCCTAGACATGGTGGCCCACGTATGTGGACCTGGTCCCCAAGAAGCCCTTCACGTGTGACAGCGGCTTTCAGCTCTGCACATGGGTCTTGCAGTGTCACAGGGGATGTGCCTGTGGCCACCTTAAGTGCTGACCCGAGGGGAACCTGAACCCTTGGGCTGGGCTCAGCGTGGTCGAGTGAGTGCCGACTCTTCTCTGCAGCACCCTGGTCCTCAGGGGCTTCCCAGCCCGGGGCTTTGTCATGGGCGGGGGGTGCTGTTCCTGTTCCTTGGCCGCTGTGCCTGGAGGTCCCCCAGGCCTTCAGCACCTGCCCACACCCCAGGAACATACCCCTGGTCCGCTCCCTCGGCCTTCACGCTCCTCGGATCCTGGGCATCAGCCTGATTGTGAGCTGCGTCCCGAGACCCCCATGTCCTGGCAGTTCCCGGGAAGAGCCGTGAAAGTCTCCTGTGGTGTCTCTCCTCAAGGGGCTGCCCCGACCCCTCGTTTGTCCGTTTGTTTCTGCCCCCCTAACCCTGCTCTCCCTTTGCGACCAGCTCCCTGCACACGCAGGGTCCCTGAACCTAGGCCAGGCCCCGTGGCCCCTTCCTGGCTTCAGTTTTGCTCCCCGCCCTTCCAGGGAGGAGCCCGCCACACGCACGCAGCCGGACAGCGACGACGACGACGATGACGAGGCGGAGGAGATACAGGTTAGTGCGGTGGACAGGGCGGGCTGTGTTTCCCGGCAGCCCCACCCCCCGCCTCTCCTCAAAGGAGGGAACGGACCATATACCACCTCTTTCGTGGACTCCTCATCGAGTGCTCTGGGGAGAGGGTCTAATTTTTGACCTTAGCATGGTCACCAAAGTGAGAACATCCACCGAGGTGTCCCTCAGGCACCTCCTGTGTTCAGGGGTGATGTCTCCCATCAGCGGGGTGCCTGAGGGGGAGCTCCTGCCTGCGCAGTGCCCGAGGGGGCTCCTATCTGGGGGTATCTGAGAGGGGGCTGCTTTCCGGAAGCCCAGGCACCCTCTGAATGTCATGTCTTGTTTCTGTCCTCCATGCAGTGGTCCGATGACGAGAACACGGCCACACTGACGGTAAGGGCAGCTGGGGGCCCCCGGGATCTGTCCACGGCTCGGCGTTTCAGGTGTCTCCTTGTGGGCTGTGCTCATTGTGCAGGAAGATGGCCTGAGTCGCTGTTGGCTACCCTAGAGCAGAGGGAACACCGTGCGTCCCTTTTGCTTGCGCCTCCTCCCGGGAGGGTAGCTCTGTGCAGTGCATGTGTTGCCTCTCCAAGGTTCTGGGTTCCATGGAGAGAGTGGAGCTTGGTGCTGTTCGACTTCTGCCACCAGGAGCTTCGTCACCTGAGGGATGACTGGAGGTGCCCCGGAGTATAGGGGACACGGAGAGCTGCCTGCAGCTCACTAGTGATCACAGCGTCTTTCCTGTGCTCTTCTCTCAGAAGGCTGCAGGCAGGGAGTGGCTGAGAGCCCTGGCCTCTATCTGGGCTTCCGGCCTGGAGCAGGGAAGTGTGAGCTCTGCCTCTGGGCCCAGCCCCGTTCCCAGGGTTTCTCAACAGAAGGAGCCGCTGGGGCCAGAGCAAATAAGGCTCTTGCTGACATGTGGCGGGCCTGGCTCTGGTCCCCAGCATCCTACAGGGTCCAACATCAGCGTGTGTGCATCCCTTGGCCCCAAAATTTGTGTGCTGAATGCCAGCCTTTCTTAAATGTTGGTCTTGCTGTGTTTGTGGGTATGTGAGCACACATACCTCAGGTACAAAGTCATAACTGTAGAGGAAAATGGCCAGTTTCATATACTGCGGGATGGGGGTAGGAGCCTATGGGAAGGCAGGGGGAGGACAGAACCCTTTGATCTGTAACTTCCTTTACCCCTGGGAAGACTGGAGGTCGCGCTTAATCACGTGTGCGTGGGACAGCAGCCCGCCGCCGTGGGCTCTGTCTGTGTGAAGGTTCCTGGTTTGAAGAAAGGCCTTGGAGTGTGTGTGGTGCAGCGCCGAGGAGCCAGGCCACTGGTAGGGTCAGAACCCTCCCGAGAGCTCCCGTTCAGGGGCCTGGGCTGCTGAGGGGAGACTGTTCCTCCAGCAGGCAGGAGTGGGTTCCTGTCTCGGGAGGATGTGCAGGTCCAGGGTGTCCTGGTCCTTCCTGTCACCCCTGGGAATTATTTCCTAGAAGGAGGCTTGGCGGTGGTGAGAGACACCATGGAGGCACACACTTCTCTGGGCGCTCTCTAAACTCACTCCCACTCGGGATTGCGTTAGGGCTCTGACAGCAAAGGGTTCAGGGAGCCCGGCCCCTTTGGGAACGTGATGCAGAGCTCGAGAGCTGCGTGCCAGGCCTGGGGGCAGAAGGAGCCCGCGGCTTGTATTGGGAGATTTCCTGGAATTGGGTGAAAAACGCCCCAGTATGGATCTTGGTGTCCTTACGGACAGGGTGGAGGTGGAGGGGGTGGGGAAGCGGTCAGCACCTTCAGGGGCTCGCAGAGAATGGTGGGCTTCATGGAAATCATATATGGGGAAGCAGAGGTACTGTCACTCATTCTGAAAGCCCTGGGCTCATTTCAGCTAAGCCCATGAGTCAGAGCTGAAGAAGTGGTCACACCGAAGGAAGTGCATTCGTGGACGCCACACGGAGAGGCCGTGCTGCCCAGAGGGGTGGGCAGAGGAAGGGCTGTGAGCAGAGGAGGATGGTGAGCTGAGAATGGCCACGGGATAGACCTCAGGGTCAGCATCAGCCACCTGACTGTAGGGCTGGGTGCTGGGGTTACTGGGCCCTGATCGCACTTCCCTGGGCGAGGCAGGTGGTCCTCACGGACCAGTCAGGGTGTGCCGCTGCCAGATGGGACAGCCTGCCCATCTGGTCGCTGGGGCAGCCCCTCTGACAGATGAGAGAGCCAGCAGCCCCCTGAAGTTGCCTCACACCCCATCTGTTTACTGCCCGCTTTAGAGACAAAATGTCTTGGTCACTCTTGTCTGAAGTATTTACGACATCCAGAACGGAAAGACCATTTTCAGTGGATGGGCATCCTATTTTTGAGTCCTGTTTACACTCAGACGTGCCTGGAAATAGCAGTGTTTAAATAGTTGACCACATAATTTATTCCTCATCCCTCATGAAACCTTTTGGGGACATGTCCAAGACTCCTGACCCATAACCTGACATGGGATTCCAGAGACGTGGGTCTGTGTCCAGGCGTTGCTCTGTCTTTTCCCGCTAAGGAAATGCACCATTCTGAGAGACCGGGCCTTGGGCCTTCCGCTCCCCCACCCCCCCGTCCTGGATCCCCCTCTGTGTGACTCAGGTTTGGTTGTCTCGGGGCAGGTCCTGTCGTCTGAGCACCTGCTGTCGAACTGCTTTTCCCTCTACTAGACAGCAGCTGATGGGGCTTTATAGAGCTGAGCTGAGCTGAGGAATGCTGACGATGATGGATAATGTGGGTTCTGGACCCGGCACACAGACCTGGGTCTGGTTTCCTGTGGCAGCGCGTCCGGCCTGAGCCACGAGGCCTCTTTCTCTCTGCAGGCGCCAGAGTTCCCTGAGTTCGCCACGAAGGTGCAGGAGGCTATCAACTCCCTGGGCGGCAGTGTGTTCCCCAAGCTGAACTGGAGCGCCCCCCGGGTACGGCATCCCCCCCCCCCCCCCCCCCACACACACACACACTTTTCTCAGCCTGTCGGGCTCATCCTGTAGCTGAGAGCAGCTCCAGGGACTGCGGGTATTTCCTTTCCCCGCGGGTATTTTGCTTTTCTGATTTTGTGGTGTCTCTTCCTGGTTCTGGAAGCTCCTGAAAGTTTTGCCAGGATCACCGTCTCTGGCAGTGGTGGGTCAGTTAGAAATCCAAGGACACACATTCTCTCTCTGTCTGACAACTTTGTTTCTCTGCCAAAAAGCCATAAAAATTAGGAATGTACTGGGATTTAGAAACGGCAGTTTTGCGAGGTCAACGGATACTTTCTTAAATGCTGGTTTCTTATTTTAACGCTGGAGCAGTCTGAATTTTTTTGAATTAAGTCTGCAGGAAAATTCACTATTTTTCTAACACAAGGGGGAAAAAAAAATACCACTTGATGTGAGGTGAGCTGATACTCAGCGAATGAGCCTCACCTTCCACGTGGCCTGTGGGCTGATGCTCACATTTCTCGAGCAAGACACACAGGCCCTGAGCTGAGAGGGGCCTAGCACGTGTCACTCAGTCCCAGGGCGCCAGGGTGCCAGGGCGCGGGTGCCTTCTGAGCTGGTGCGTGTTCTGTTTCCTCACGCAGGATGCCTACTGGATAGCCATGAACAGTTCGCTCAAGTGCCGGACCCTCAGCGACATCTTCCTCCTATTCAAGAGTTCCGACTTCATCACCCGGGACTTCACACAGCCGTGAGTGTGTCCCCTCTGGGCCCTGGTTTTGGCTTCTGTCCTCATGGTCCCAGCACTGGCGCCTGCCTGGCACTAGTGCTCAGGAATAGGGAGTCGGGGCTGGAGCTGAGTGCAGTGTGTGCACTGCATGCTCCCCCAAGCACATGGGAGGGACCCCGATATTGTTCGCTGTGCCCTCCCATCACCCTCGGCCCGCCAGAAGAGGGGGAAAGAGTGGAAGTTGAGGCTGCGGCTGAGTAGTAAGACGTGCCCTGTATGTGTGAGGCCCCGGGTCTACTCCCAGGTACCATCAACCATTCAATAAAACAAAACCCATTCTCTCCACCCAAATTTTGAGGCACCATGATTTATAATCCTGTTAGAATCACATGCAGCTTTCTGATAACCCGCGCTCATCTGGAGAATCTGCTTCCTCCTCCGTTGTCTCAGGATCACGCCCCCAACACACACACCCCTACCCCCCATCCCGTCAGGGATTAGCTCAATCTGTTGTCCTCAGGGCCTGTTTCTGCCTTTGTCTGTCTGTCTCCCTGTTTCTATCACCTGTGTGAGAGAGCTCAGTTTGAGTCTCTCCCCCTCCTAGCCTGTGTCACTCAGCGTGATACTCTCCAGACCTGTCTACACAGTAGCACGTTCCATCCCAGTGTCTTTATCCTGTCATCTGCTCTTGGGTATTTGGGTTGTTTCCCGGTCTGGCTATTGTGCATAGTGCTGTAGTGAACCTAGGAGCGCTGCAGTCTTCCGGGAATAAAGTTTTGGGGCCCTGGTAGACACCATGAACTGGGATTGCTGGCTCAGATGGAAGCTCAGTTCTTCATGTTTTGAGAACTGCACTGGCCGCCGGCCTGTCGCTTTCTCATCAGCAGCTGCCGAGGGCTCCTCTTTCCCTGCACCATGCCAACACGGGTTGTCTTTGTTCTTCGTGATGAGTGCCGGGCTCCCTGGTGTGAGGGGATACTTTGTTCTGGTTTGCATCCTCTGATGAGGCGTGATGCAGAGCGTTCCTTCACAGGCCTGTTGGCCACCTGTGTCACAGACTTCCCTTTAACCTAATCCATCTGTTTACTCTCACTGTTAACCTCCTGGCCCAGGTACTTACCTCTGTGATTAGACTTGTTGAGTTACAAGTCACCTCATTAATTATTGATTGTCACCCCAGTGAGCCAGCACGAGAAGGAGCCCCACTGCCCACTCTTCAGTTGGCATTTAGAGGAAAGGACTAAGGGAAAGCGCAGTCTGTCCTTCCTCTCCTGCTGGTGGGGTTGACTCCTGGGGTCAGGAAGTGCCTCTGTTTTCGCAGTATCCGTGAGGCTGTTTTCAGCATAGTTTTAGTTGGTTCTCCCGAAACTAGTTCTTTTTTTTTAATGGTAATTATTTATTTATTTATTTATTTTGAATACTCATCCCTCCACCTGTGACCATTTGCCACCACCACAGATCCCAGTATCCCTCCCACCCCCCACTCCCCCTATCCCACCCTGCCTCTGTGGCAGGGCATTCCCCTCTGTTCTCTCTCTCCTTTTGGGTGTTGTGGTTTGCAAAAGAGTCAAGCCTGATTTTCAGGGAGAAACGTTGGATGATTTACTTTCCATTGATCACTTTGTATATAAGGAGATGTCGGGTTTGGAGTGAATGTCCTGGTTCCCGCATGCCTGAGCTATGCTTGTAGAGGCTCTTGGTCACCGGGGTTCCATCTGGAGAAGGCGGGATGCAGCACCTACCCCATCTGGTACTTCCCAGTGATATGGGCTCTGTTTGGGACCTGGAGCATTCTCCGGGAACTGTGGAGCCCCCCAGCGGTTTTCTTCTTTGTTGCTGTGCGCTGTAAAGATGGCACTGGGGGACGGGTTGTGGGCATGACTTCCGGAATCAGAGGTTACCTGGGAGCCGGGGCAGTCCCATGGCAGCCCAGACTAGTTTTTAATTCTCAAGTTCAGAAGCAAAACATTTCTGGAGGCCAATTTTTTGCCTTACTGGAACTGACAGAGGCTGCCAGAACCTTGACCTTGCTACAGTGCCAGGAATGGAGCTGCGGGCCTCACGTGCTATGGGCATGTGCTCTGCCACTGAGCCCCTCCCATTGGCACCCTACCCACGGCGGTTATGTTTTGTCTGGAGCTGAGGGCACCCCTGGTTGTGCTCTAGGCACTGCTGGGCATTCACCACAGACCTCCTGCTGCGGGGCAGGTGCGGGACACTAGGACCTTCCGGCTGCACTGTGACTGTGAAGGGCCATGCATGTGTTCGATCTGCTTCAGATGACTGCATTTGATTTTGTTTTTTGGGGGGGTACACCCAGCAGTTCTTGAGTTTCTCTGGGCTTCGTGCTCAGAGCTCTGTGGGAGTGACCCTTCTGCTTCCGACGGGAGCTTTCCCACTACATTCCTCTGTCCTCCCCTCCAGCTCTCCCAGGCTCCAGGCTGTGCCTAGACCCCTCAGGAGGGTCCCAGGGCTCCGTTTCTCCTCACATAGATATGGTGACAGCCCCTCTCGCATGCATGTCACCTGCTGTCCTGCTCTAGCCATGGCCCAGCCTGCCCCAAGTCTCCCTGAAGACAGCCACGTGGATGGGCATGGAGGATGCGCCCACACTCACGGGCATGAGTTGAATGCCGGAACCCTTTCGTTCATTTGCCCATTTTCCCTCCAAAGGTTTGTCCACTGCACGGATGACTCCCCAGACCCAGGCCTGGAATATGAGGTGAGAGGCTTGTTTTTTCTTTGTTTTTTTGACTTGTTTGTTTGGTTTTTGGGTTACACCAGGCTCTGCACTCAGGAGTTACCTCTGGCGGTGCTTGGGGGACCATGTGGGGTGCCGGGGATCGAACCTCGATCTGGGGTATGCAAGGCAAACACCTTCCCTCCCTGCTGTACTGGCTCTCTGGCTCCTGTAGATAGGAATCTCTCAGATGCTGGTTCTGGGCTTCACCCCTTCCCAGCAGACCATCATCTGACGCTCTCCCGTGCATGTGAGGATGTGGGATGCTCACTCCACCGCTGTGGAACTTTGCCTTCCTGGATTTGTACCACCCTGTAGAACTAGTCCTAGAACTTCTAGGACTGTCCTCTCTTCATCATCTCTCAGCTCCCGTCCTGTGCTTTCACAGTGGTCCCAGCCCACCTGACCGGACCGTCTTGGTGTGGGGGGTGGGTTTCACTTCTGGGCTTGTGCCATGCAGGTGGGACAAGTTTGCCAGCCGCCCAGCAGTCTCTGGGCCCTCTAGCTCTTGGCATTGAGGTCTGTGTACACTCTGAGGTCTTCTCTTTGACTTAATATCACCCAACGGGCATTTTTCCGGATCACCGAACTTTTGTTTTTAATTTTTGGGTCTGCGCGCAGCAGTGCTCCCCTGACCATGATTGGGGACTGTCCGTGGTGCCAGGGAACACAGCAGGGCTGACCCCTGTGCTCTGCGGCCCCTCAGCGGTTAGGACAGTGTCTGTGTATGCAGGGCACCTTAGTCTCGCAGAACAGCTTTGTTGCTCAGAGCTAGACTCAGGAAGGAGATGGGGCTGGAGCCGAGGGACAGCAGCCACGGCGCCTGCCTCACACCCCATATGGTCCCCAAGCACTTCCAGGAGTAAGCTCTGAGCACAGAGCCCGAGGTAACCCCTGTGTATCGCTGGGTGTGCCCCTGCCGCCAGATGGTTTCTTTCGCCCTGCTCTGAGACGTTGGGATGCCATTGTCTCCCCACGATTTATTTTGCCAGAATTTGCTATAGTTTTTTTTAGGATGGCCATTATCATGTTAGTGCACGCGATTTGGAATCCAGTCCCCAAAGTCTGCAAGAATGACATTGCCAGAGTAATTAAACACCAGACATTGCACACGGAATTCTATGTATAGCCACACCATCTGTATTTAAAGACGCAGGCCGTGAACAAAGCACCTGTCCCATGCCCATGAGGCCCTGGCTGCAGTCACCAGCACCACAGACAGAGCAAAACCATCACCACCAAACCCCAAAGAGGCAGCCGTGGCGAACTTGTCACTCAGTGCTTGCTGTGCAGGTGTGAATTCCTGAGTTCAGTCCCTGCTTTGCAGAGCATAACAGAAAACCATGTGAAAGGGAAACTGTCCATGTGTGCTAGAGTTCATGCTCAGCCTGCCGGGCCTTCGTGCCTTGGGGTACAGCCTCCCAGGAGAGCAGAGAGCTGCAGGCTGGGGAAGGGCGGCTGGAGAGGCATGTCCTGGGCAAGCAAGGCTGGGAGATGGCTCAGGGCTGAGCTCAGACTTTGCACACGGGAGCGCTGGCAGGGGCCCGGCCCCATGAGGACCTGGAGCATGTGGCCCCAGAACAGACAGCTCCTGCAGCATGTGGCACGTCACTGCAGGCTTTGCAAAGCTGCGCCTCGCCCTTTCCAGCACTGGCTTTGATCTTTTGTTTGTTTGGTTTCTGGTCTCGGGACACAGCCGGTGGTGCTCAGGGCGTACTCCCGGCTCTGTGCTCAGGGGTCATTCCTGGTCGTGAGAACCGTATGCCGTGCTGGTCTTGAAGCAACTATGTCATCCATATGCAAGCAAGTGCCTTAGCGCCTGGAGACTCTTTCCGGCTACTTCATTGGGGTGGGGGTGGGTCATCTCCCAAGGCACCCCATGGTGATGCTCAGCCTCTTTAGACAGTGGCTCAGTGCAAGGGCCGAGGCTGCAGAGCTGTTGGGCCGGCATCCTGACCACTATACCTCTCCCGGCGCCCCCAGCCCTGACCTTTAAGAGGATGAGAAGGTCGTGGAAGTCTTTCCAGGTCACCGACAGTGATCATTCCCTGGGGAAGTTTTAGTTCTGACTGTAGAAAGGAGCTTTGGGATGATTTTGTCCTCTGTGACTTCAAAGGGTTGAGGATCCTAAGTAAGAGGGTGGCTGATGACTTCGTGGCCCTGCTTGTGACAGTTCCGTATGCCTAGTGGGCATCACAGGAATAAATGGATCTTGTCCCATTGAACTTGGTCCCTGCATTCGAGGTCTCTACCCCATACATGTGGAGGGAGATCCACAGGCACTTCTCAGCTGGTCCAGACAGTGGCTTAGGGACCTTTTTTTTAAAAAGACATTTGATAACAACTGTGACTGAGATAGAGTCTCCTAACCTGCTGGACACCCCCTGTCCCATTACCTTATTCTCATTTTCTTTTGCTTTGTCCACAGCTTGTTCTCCGGAAGTGGTGCGAATTAATTCCTGGGGCTGAGTTCCGATGCTTTGTAAAGGAAAACAAGCTTATCGGTGAGATTGCTTAGAGTGGCTATTCAAGACAGACTTCACCATCTGTGCCTCAGACCCTGCCTTTATCCCAGGGTGGGGGCTCTGCCCACTGTTGGCAGGGCCGTGTGCCAGGGCCACAGAGAAGAGGCTCACCAGTGCACCCTGCCTGCAGCATGCCCAAGGAAACCGTGGCTGGGGTGCTTCCCACATCACTGCGTCCCACCTCAGTGCAGCTAAGTGTCACGCAGAGCGAGTTTTTGTTTGTCATTGGAGCACTCACATTCTAGCAAGACAAACCGTGTCAACCAGTAAGTGCATGCTTGAAAAGCCGCCCATGGGCCAGGTTGCAAGCTCCTCCTGATTCATCCTCAGCACCACACGCTCTCCAGCACCCCTGAGTAACCCTGCCCCCAAGAAAAAAACCCTATTCTCTGTCATTCATTTTTATTTTCTTGCTAGCACTTGTTCCAGTCAGATATTGAAGAGAATTTATTTTTGTCTTGGCATGTTTTTCATGAAGTAAAATATAGCTTCAACTGAGAAAAAATATGGTTTTAACAGACTCCGACCAGCACATTTACTGAATGTAATGTTGACCTTGTTTGACTTGCCTAAAAGAAACTTGGGGTGTTTGAGTTTACCTTGCCTTTAGGGATTCCTGAAAAGACTGAATGTGGACACAGCCAAAGAAGGGGCTCCGCAGGGGATTGGGGTGCAGGGAGGGGAAGTCTTCCGGTGTCCAGCTTCTGGTGTCCTAGCGTGGTCCCGAGCAAGAGCACTGCTCTGGCCCACTCCCTGTGCAGCACTTGTGGGAGGCATATGGCGAGGAGCATTTTGAATCTTCCCCAAGAAAGTGGAGTTTGTGGAGAAAGTCATTTGTGGAATTAATTGGGAAACTTCTAAAAAGCAGTTGACCTTACCAGCAGGCTTACAAGAAGTGCTTTCATTTTTTGCTTTTAATGCTTAGGGCTTGAATCCCCTTGTCAATGAAAGGACCAGCGGTTGCTCCAATGTTTATATTATGCTTAGGGTTTGGGGCTTCTCCTGTCCACGGGAGTCCTCACAAGTTTAGGCTTCCCATGGGGTCTTTCCCAGCGTCGGGAGGGGCTTGTATCCCTGTGAACTGCAGGGTTATGCCCATGGGATTCCTGTCTGCCTGCCCTTCCACTCCTCTTGCTCCTGACGGGTCTTGGTGTCCCTGAAAGGACGTTGTGCCGTGCTGGGGGTGACACTGTCTCCTCGGCAGGCGTGTCCCAGCGGGACTACACGCAGCACTATGAGCACATCTCCAAGCAGAAGGACGAGATCATCCAGGGCATCCAGGACTTCTTCCAGAAGCACATTCAGTACAAGTTCCTGGATGAGGACTGTGAGTATGGCGACGACTGGCCGGATGACTGGAGACAGAAAGCGGCCTTACTCCTTACTTGGTGCAGATCATGAAACATTTCACTTTGTTGACTAGAAGTAGTTCCTGATGATTTGCCTATGAATTTTACCTTTTGTAGTCAGAATCCCTTTTTATCATCATTTTTGTTTTGGTTTTGGGCCACACCCAGCAGTGCCCAGGACTTACTCCTGGTTCTGTGCTCAGGGATCACATCCGGAGGGCTCAGAGGACCATATGTGGTGCTGGGGATCGAACCCGGTTCAGTCGTGTACAAGGCAAGCGTCCTCCCCACCGTACTATCGTTCTGGTCACTGGTTTGGGATTTTAAATGTAAGGGCTTAAGATTGAGAGTAGATAGGGGAAGGGAAATCATAAGAACACTCTACAGGGTGCCCCTGGATGTTGGAAGTTTTGAGACCATGAAGCATGAAGTCACTGGAGTCACTCACTCTTGAGGAGCGAATCAGATGCATTTTGATTTTCAGGAGGCAGCTTAGATGATGGAAAGCCAGGAGTTAATGCTGTTATTTGTCTCGTTTTCTTTCCCAGTTGTGTTCGATATCTACAGGGACAGTCGGGTAAGTCGGGGCTGCACTGAGCTGGGGAGTGAGTGGGGCTGGCTTGGATCTGGCGGGCGAGGCTGCTGCGGAGGGGCCAGGACCGACCCCTCCTCCTCTTTGCCTCCCCCCCCCCCCCCCCCACACACACACACACACCAGCCTCTTAGGGCAACGCAGGTGTTTGGACAGCAGTGTGGAGAATGTCCCTGTCACAAACTGTCGGGAGACGCAGGTTTTCAGCAGCGACCTGATGTGATGTGTCCTGTGTTTAGGGGGTCTGTGTCACAGATGGCCGTTTGGTCCTGCTTTCTGCCCGGGCGGGTGCCCCATGCCTGTCCCTCCAGGTCTACCCCAGTGTCTGTAAGCTGAGCAGGCAGTATGAGGCGGCCCTGAGATGGGGACCGGGCTGGGTACTTGCCTTGTCTGGTCCTCCAGGAGTGATTGACCCCCACGAGTCTGGGGAGCTTGGCTCTGGGCTTGACGCGGCTTTGTCTTGGGTGTGGAACTGACCGGGGCTTTGAAGTAGGTGTATAAGACGTTGAGGCGGACGCTCGCTCGGTAGAACGGGACAAGACAACGGGCACGCTGGAAGCCACGCTGTTCCCTCTGCCGTCAGGGCAAGGTGTGGCTGATCGACTTCAATCCCTTTGGGGAAGTGACCGACCCGCTGCTGTTCACTTGGGAGGAGCTGGTGTCTGGGCCGGCCCTGCGAGGGGACGACGGGGACACGCCTGCGCCGGAGCAGGAGCAGGTGCGTGTCAGCTGCGCCCATGCTGTCCTGGGCCGAAGGCCCTCGGCATCTCCCCCATGCCCGCCTTCCTCCCCCCACCCAGCTGAGGTCCCCGGAGCCCCCGCCTCTCCCCTTCCGCCCACCTGCGCCCCCTTCCACCCCTGACTCACCTCAGGCTGGGCCGCCCCAAGCTGCCTCGGCCGCATACCTGTGCCATGGTGCTGGGGCGACCCCCATGTGTACCTCGGGGCAGCTCAGGTGGTGCTGGGCCATGGGACCACAGGCACAGCCCATGCTGTAGCTCCTGGGCTTGAACCCCCACCTCGCCCCTCCCGGCTGAACGGACGCGGGTCAGGCCGCTCCCACGGTGCAGCCCCTCTGCCCACGCCCTGGCCCCTCCTGGCTGCCCACTGCCCGCCCCCTCCTCGCCGCTGCCCCAGCAACCCCCACGCAGCAGCTTCTCAGACGGTCGTCGCTCCTCGGACCAGACCGGGGTTCTTCCCTAGGACTGGGACATGTGGCCCCTCACGTGCCCCGCCCCACAGGCCCCACCCTGATGCTTCACCCCGCCCAGATTCCAACACACGAGCCCACACACGTGCTTTCTCCTCACGTGCCTTCCCTCCCACAGCCCGCCCGTGTGTGTGTGTGTGTGTGTGTGTGTGTGTGTGTGTGTCTCGGGAGGTGGGGGATGCCCCCAGCCCCGTCCCCACCCTCTCCCCTCTGGTCTGTGTTTGCTGCGGGTGGGGTGCTGAGGGCCCCCTGTCGCTGCGCAGGACATGCCGGCCTTCCGGTGCACGGACAGCGCGGCCACGGTGCAGCCCAGCCCCTACCTCAGCTACCGGCTGCCCAAGGACTTCGTGGACCTGTCCACGGGGGAGGATGCGTACAAACTCATCGACTTCCTGAAGCTGGTAACAGACGAGCCGGGGCGTGGGGGGTGGGGGGGGGGCCGGGAGGTCCCCTGCCCCTGCTGGGGATCCGGCTGGAAGGTGGTTTCAGCGCTGACCTGGTTTCTCCGACAGAAACGGAACGAGCAGGAGGACAGCTGAGGCGTGGCCGGCGCGGGACGGATGGGAGCTGAGCCCCCGGCGCTGCAGAAGCCTGGCACGGGCGCTGTTGGCAGAGATCGCCTAATCAATAAACAGGTCCGCGCCGGGCCCCGCCGCGCCAAGAACGCTCCTGTCTCAGACCGAGTTGCTTGCTTTGGGACTTCGTCTGTTCCGATTTACCCATGGTTCTATGCTAATATTTTTATAATTATCAGTTAGACGGGCGCTCTTATATCTGTTACACAAAAAGGAATTCTTAATTACTGCTTTTTCCACTGGGTCGGGGAGTAGCACCTTACGTCACCATAAGGTGTTTTTCCCACTTGGGGGATTTTTCAGGGTGATTTCCCAGCCTCTGGGGTGGGGTGCGGTGCAGTTCCGTGCAGCTCCCTGGGAGTGCTCCCGCGCCCGCAGCCCCCCCCCCCCCCCCCCCACCGCCGTGTGGAAATCCTGCCTGGGTCCCAGTACCAAGGCGCGAGAGGAAACTCTTGGGGAACTGCAAAGCATCACGACTCAGTGTCACCCGCAGGGTAAGCCAGGGACACTGAATGAGCACAGTTTGGATTTTGACTTGGCGCCTGGAGACTGTGGGGTATTAGCTGTGTTGGCCTGTACTGTGCCCTGAGGCCCTGTGTTGGATCCCGGCACCAAAAATCAAAGCAAAATCCTGGATCTTGGGGCCATCGATTCCGTTTTGCAGGTGGCCCTTTGGGTAGTGAAGTTCTGGATCCTCAGCATGACTGAGCCCAGTGACACACGTGTTCAGATCGCACCAGGCCAGAGCTGCTCTCCTGCCCCAAGCAGGTGCTGTGCCTTGTCAAAGGGTCTATTTCTTAGCCAGAGAGCCCAACCCCTCGCTTTCTGTCTTGGCCCACTTCTAATCGCTTGGAATTTTGCATCTTGAGGTCAGGTCATGATCTCTGGGCCCCATGTCCCCCCCAGCTTTGCAGGTCGGTTGTCCAGGGTGCCACGGCCTCCGTTGCCCTCCATGTTCATTTGCCTACCGCGGAGGGTTCCCAACGGTGACTTGATTCAAGCTGAACCACGGAAACTGCCTTTGCCAAGAGGTTACTTTGCCAGTTGAAAAAAGGGAAGTGTTTGATATGAATAGGAAGCATTTACACCATCTGTAATGACAAGGTCCAAAATTTGGCACGCTTTTCATAAATTCTCAATTCTTGCTGTAAAACTTACTAAAGTTTTGCGTTGATTTCCTTGAAATGGTTGGGGGTGCACGTAGCAGAGGCTGCTGTCTGCATGACACACCCAGGAGTGTTTGGTTTCTGGTGGGTTTCTTATAGATAGTGGGACAGTCACACAAGCTCCTGCTCTTGCCAGTAAGGTGACAGGGCTTCTGGAGAGGCCCACAAGGAACCCACCACCACCATATAGGTCCATACCACTCTCCTGAGGTAGGCGGGCACCTTCCTTGGACAGAATCAAGAACATGACCAGCTGGACTTCCATCCCAGCACCTCAGGGGCCCTTGAGAACTGCCAGGTATGATCACAAAGCTAAATAAAGCAAAACTGGGCATCTTCAATGGAAAAAATCGTTCTGCCCCTGAATTGCTTAAACTTTTTCCAGTTTTCACCTGAGAAATATTTACATGACCCATATAAAGCAAGAATACAAATCATATACGGAGAATAGGGCCAGAGCAGTAGAACAGCAGGGAGGGCGCTTTTTTTGCATGCAGCTGACCTGGGTTCAATCTCCAGCACTACACCTGGAGGCCCCAAACCCAGCCAGGAGTGATTCCTGAGACTGCTGGGTAGACATCAAATTTTAAACAATTTCATTAAAATTTTTTATTCTTTTTCCTTTTGAGGATTGAACCTGGGTCTGCTATACAAGGCAAACACTACCTGTTATACTATCTCTCGACCCCTAAAACAAACAGTAAAAAATTTTCATGTCCCCCCCACATTGAGTTACACCGTGATCAGGACCCCACCCAGTTCCCCTCTTCCCCGCCCCACCTCTTTCCTATTTCCAGAGGGGCTGTGCTTGTCCTGAACCACCCAGAGCCTTGACCTCAGTGGAAGGCTTTTCTCCCAGGGCTTCAGCCTGGGGCTGTCACAGTAAGTTTCCATCAGCACATACTATTAATTTCTAGAATTATCTGAGCCAGGGAACTGGCAGTGCAGCAGAGCCTGTGCCTCGCCTGGGTGAGGTCTCGGCTCTGGAAAGGTGATGCTTTGAGGTCAGAGAGACGGTGCTAGCTAAGGCCAGGCCTTGGGGGCTGGTCCCTGCCGGGTGGCCAGCTCTACATGTTTCCCTGGCATGATGACATAGCCTGGTTCCCATCGCCCCACTGCCAGGACACTCTTGCATGAGCTACTTTCTCTGGAGATTGCCCCTAAAACAAATCTTTTCTCCAAAAAAGAATATATATATATATATATATATATATATATATATATTTTACTAAAGTACAAATACATCATATGTCTGTGAGAGGAACTAGATAAAAAGTATGCACTGTGGCACTGTCCTCCCGTTGTTCATTGATTTGCTCGAGCAGGCACCAGTAACGTCTCCATTGTGAGACTTGTTGTTGTTTTTGGCATATCAAATACACCACGGGGAGCTTGCCAGGCTCTGCTGTGCGGGCAGGATACTTGGTAGCTTGCCGGGATCTCCAAGAAGGACAGAGAAATCGAACCCGGATCAGCCACGTGCAAGGCAAACGCCCTACCCGCTGTGCTATCACTCCAGCCCAGATAAAAAGTTAGGAAATATGGAAAATAGAAGGACTAAACTGATTTAGCTTCATGCTGTGTTGGGTGCTGCCGGACCTTGTGTTCCCCGGGGGTGAAGTCAGGGGCTCCCCTAGACGACGCCTCTGCTGGACCTTTTCTGACCTTGACGTGACCCAGACAGAGGGAAGAAGGCGCCAGGGCGGATTCTTAGAGGGAGTGTGACTTGGTTTCTTTGCTGTCCTGACTTGGGAAATTGTTTCCGTCCATCGGAGGAGCAGCCCTGTGCTCTGTTGGGCTGCAGGAGCGTCCAGGAGGGCCGGGGGCTCTTTGTGGGCCTGGCCCGGCCTGGACAAGGCTTGGGAGGAGAAATCCCAGGCCGAGGCATAGTAGCGCGAGTAAGGGCCCATCACCACAAGATGGGCAGGGTGGGCTGGATGCTCTGCTGCTGCCCTCGCTGCCCTTGCCTAGCGTCCAGGGCTTGAGCAGCGGACACTCAGACGTCCTGGACAGGCTGGTGCAGGCCGAGTCCACAGGGCAGGACAGAGGCACCAATGCCCGGAGCAGCTCCCGTGCCTGGACAACAGAAGGCCTCGTGCAAGGTACGGACTGGGGGGGTGCCAGGGGAGACCAGCGGGACGAGGGGGACAGGTCGCTCTGGCTTCTCCATGGGCACACGGAAACCTGGAACAAGGTGGCAGGTAGTGAGCGAGAGGAAGTCAGACGGGCCCAGGCAGCCGGCCTGCAGGTGGGCAGTGGTGCTAAGGCCCGGTTGGGGGCAGGGAATCAGGAGGATGGGGCCTGGGAGCCAGGGAAGATTCTAAGTCCCCGAGACTCAGCCAGGGAGGGCCTGGTGAGAGGGGAGGGAGCACGAGGCATGGCAGGGGAACCCCACTGGCTGGACGGTCACCTAGTGAGGCAGGCCCGGATTTTCCTGGGGCACCAGCAGGTGTAAGTGGGCAGGAGGGGCAGCAGGTCTGAAGACCCAGCTCAGAGGACATCGGGGCGCGTCCCCGGAAGTCCATCTCGCACACCTGTCGGGGGAACTTGCTGGTCCAGCTTACTGTTTCATGGAGGCGTCACGGCTCGCGGGGTAGCTCAGCCCTCCAGAGACCCTCCAGTGTGGGGGCCCGAGGGTGGATTCGGGCAGGCGTCACCTGCTGGCCTTCCTGGAAAGTGTGCACACCTGCACACAGAAGTGCTGTTTGCTCTGGGGTTTTCCAGGATCTTAATTGGCCATGGTTTGATTTTTCTTTTTTTTTTAAATTTCACTTTCAATCAAAGATGATGAACTCTGTTCTTTTTTTCAATCGTTCATAATAATTTATTACATTCAGTATTCCAACACCAACCCCGGCACCATTACACCGTCCCACCACCATCCACATCTGCCCCCAATGCTTGTTCTAAATAAGTTGTTTCGTATTGCTTGTTAGGAATAATCCGCTAAAAGTAAAAGTAAAGTAAAGTAAAGGCCCTCCCGTTGATCATCAATTTGCTCGAGCGGGCCCAGTAACGTCTCCATTGGAGACTTTGTTGTTACTGTGTCTGGCATATCGAATACGTCACGGGGAGCTTGCCAGGCTCTGCCGTGCGGGCGAGATACTCTCGGTAGCTTGCCGGGCTCTCTGAGAGGGGCAGAGGAATTGAACTCGGGTTGGCCATGTTGGCCGCTTGTAAGGCAAATGCCCTACCGCCGTACTATCGCTCCAGCCCCAAAAAGTCTTTTAGACGAAAGTGTGTGTAGATTGTTGGGGCCATTAAACCCTCGTATTAGGGATTGCTAACATGTCACAGATGCCGTTGTATGCCAATATAGGCTGTCTTTTACATACACACCGCCCAAATGCAGAGTGCTGCTCTTGGTCTGTCAGTGGGGTAGAAACTGTACTTTCTACGTCACTGACTTTCTCAACCATTTGGGAGAGTCCTAATCTGTAGAATCTGTAGGATTAGGTGGATCACCTGACTTTATTTGTGTGTTTGAGTGAGGTCTGAGCCACACTTGGCAGTGCTCAGAGAGCACTCCTGGCAGTGCTCCGGGACCCTATGTGGTGCCAGGGATTTAACTGGGGTTGGCTGTGTGCAAGGCAAGACCCTTCCCTGCCATAGTGTCCCTTGGGCTGACTTGGAACACTGTAAAGACTTCAGGTGTGAGTATAAGTGACCTACCCACTGGGCTGAAAATAAAAATACTATCTCTCCAGCAGGATGGTCACTGTCTCTGCCGGACTCTGGGTCTAAGTGTCCTTCCCCTCCCCTCCCCTCCCCTCTCCTCTTTTTCCTCCCTCCCTTCCTTTTTTCTTTCCCCTTCCTCCCTCTCTTTTTCCAATGAGGTGGGGTGGGGCTTGCCCAGCAGTGCTCAGGAGGCCCAGAGGCTACTCTAGTGACCCTCAGCTACCTGGGCCGGATGTCTCAGCGCTCAGGTTCGGGGGCACTGGCTGCGGGATGCGGCTGTTTCAGGAGAGGGGATGTTTCCCAAAGGAAAATGGAGACACCTGCAGAGGGAAGAGCCCGGGAGCAGAGGCAGAGCCTGGCAGGCTCGATGCCCACTGCAGGACTCTCTGCTGAGGCGTCTGCCACCGGCTGCCGTGGTCTCCTTAGAGACCCACTCCAGCCACACAGCTTTGTTCTCACTTAAATCATTTTTAAAAATCACTTCGCCATGAGATAAGACAGTTCTTAAGTTGTCCATGATTGCTTCAGCCCTACACCCGTCCCTTCACAGTGCACATTTCCAGCCCCCTGTGTCCCCAGCTGCCCTCCTGCCTGGCCCCGCCCCCACTTTCCTCCGGCTTCTCACCTGCCTCTCACGGGGCGATGCGGCTGTGGTCTGCGGCGTGCTCTGTCTCACCTGGGAGCTCTGCCCTGCTCTGGCTTCCCGGAATCATGCGCAGACGATCCTCTATCCACGGGCCCGCAGCTGAGCGAGAGGCCTGGCACCTGGGCCGCAGTTTCCTATGGGAGAAGAGCCCCCACAATGACTATGTTTGCCGGAGCACACCTCCTTCTCCCAATGCGGGCCCGAGTGGGAACATCAGGGACCCTTCCTGGAACTTACCAGAAGGCTTCGGTAAGCGTGTGCTGAGATGAACAAAAGAGTTCAGAGTTTGGACAGGTGGAAATTCTTTTTGTTTGGGGGCCATACCCGCAGTGCTCATGGCTTCCTCCTGGCAGGGCTTGGGAGACCCTGTGGGGTGAGGGGCTCTGTGCAAGGCAAGACGGACTGTCTGTGCTGTCCCAGGAGAGAATTCTTATCCAAAGTGTTTTTATTGTTTTCTAAATGTAGCCAACCATGTGTTTATTCTCGCATGGATTCCCCCAGCACCCTCTGGAGAAAGATTTTATCCGTTGCTCCATCAAGAACAGTCCCCGAGGTTTCTGTGACCTCATCTGTTATGTCCGCATGAAGCAATAGGACTCAGTGAACAGGGCTGGGTGTTTCGCAGTAGTTATTTGGGGGGGGGGGCGGGAGGAGTCAGTTGCTGGAA